TTAGGTAAGCTGATTAAAAGCTAATGGGAGGGCGTGGGTTGTTGAGATGGTCGCCATGGTTGTCTGCCCTCCCGTTGATCCTGACCTAAAAAGGCTTAAAAGCTAAAAGCTACGAAAAACGGCTCTGGAGCCACGAAAATAGCTCCTAATCAAACGAAACTCTGGGGATCTCCTGATCGACGAATCCTGAACCTAATGACTGCAAAAACGGTCGTAAAAGGTCACTCCTAAGACTGGTAACGTTGCGGACGAGCTACTGGGTGGTCGCTACTGAACAGGAGTAGCGTGGGTACGCTAACGGAGGCACGAAAAGGGCTACCCAACTGCCAATAACTAGCCCAGTACCGATCAACTAAGATCACAGCTATAAATAGCTATAATCGGTTGATCGGCCAGCTGAAAACGGCAGCTGGGAAAGGGGGACTGGAAAGGCAAAAACGAGGAAGGCTAGAAAGGCATGGCAAGAAACGAATGAATAGCTATAGGTCGTAATATCTACAGGTCTAAGTCTGGCTAATGAAAATATAAGTGCGCGACCCATATAAATATATATCGAAAAGGCTACGTGGCCTAGATCCACCGTACTACTACAGCCTCCCTAGTTTAATTAATCCGTAAGGAGTAATTAAACTCCTAATAATAGGTGCGGTGGCTCTCGTTTCCTACTAAGCCTAATTAACCTAATCCCGATCAACCCTAATCAACTAAAAGCTAGCCAGTTCAATCAAAGGCCAACAGGATAAGTCAGGAAGAAACAGGTCTTCAACTGGGAGCGATTACAACAGCAACAAGTGGGTAGTGGTATGGGTGACTGACTGCAGCCGTACCTAATCCTAAACCTAATTCCTGATCAATCCCGAACCTATTCAATCGCTACCAACTAGGAGCTAAGCCAGTTCAATTAACGATTAACAGGAAATAACAGGAAAGATCTGATAATAAGAACTAGGCTAGCGGAGCTATAACCTATAAACTAACCTAATCAACCTATTCCTAATCAACCCTGATCAACTAGGAGCGAGCCAGGTCTATTAGGGCCATTAAGAAATAACAGGGATCAATAGTTAGGAAATAGGAACTATAACGGGCAGGTAAAACAAGCGTAGCTCCCGTGAGAAATAAAGAAATAATCCCATATGATGTAACGTAATCCCGTCCTTCTCGTTCATGACTAGCTTTGCCGATCCTTTTCAACTAATTCCTGATCCTATAAATTAATTAATATATCCTATTCAAGGCCCGTTTCTAATTCGTTTCTGGCTATTATTCGTATAACCGTTCCTATATTCGTCCGGTAATATCTACCGGGCTTCCCTTGACCCTCGATCCCTCCCCTATACGTAGTTCTAGGGGCTCTCTGGGCTCTTCCTACTAACTATATATCGGTAAGGGCGACAAGAGGGGTCTCCGGGCATTAACTTATGACTCGTTTCTTTCCTGTAGCTATTTCTAGGCTTTCTTATTTAATATTCTATTTAATTCGTATATCGCGGTATCGTCTGTAGGTCTATCGCGCTAATCGGTAGGTCCCGATCAGGTTCGTGGGTATAAGGTATATCGGTATCTTATTATAGTAATTAAGGGCATCGTAACACCTATCAGTTAGGGAGAAACCTCCCCAGGTACCGTAACTGGCTAGCAGGGATAAAACAAGGGCAATCGGAGCTATCGGCAAGCCTCTTGTAATTGAAATAAACCGATCGGAAAGGACTAACTACCTTTAAGCGCGTGCGAGGTTATAAAAAGGGGGTAGTAGCGGTAACTTAGTCAGATCAACTGAGGGCGAAAAACTGCCATCTAGGCACTATTGAAAACGAAGGCGAAACCGGGTAAAAACGGGCACAGCTCCTTCAAAAGAAACAACTAAGAAACGAGGATAGGATAGATCCACTAATCGGCGAACGAGCTTTTAGGTAAGCTGATTAAAAGCTGATGGGAGGGCGTGGTTGTGATAGTCGCCATGGTTATCTGCCCTCCCTGTTGATCCTAACCTGAAAAGCTAAGGCCAAAAGCCACGAAAACGGCTCTGGAGCCACGAAAATAGCTCCTAATCAACTAAAAATCAGGGAATCTCCTGATCGACGAATCCTAAACCTAATGACTGCAAAAACGGTCGCAAAAGGTCACTCCTAAGATGAGGTAAGGTCGAGCTACTAGGTAGTCGCTACTAAACAGGAGCAGCGTAGGTACGCTAACGGAGGTACGAAATAAGGACTGCCTAACTACTAATAACTAGCCCAGTGCCGATCAACCAAGATCACAGCTGTAAACAGCTGTAATCGGTTGATCGGCCAGCTGAAACGGCAGCTGGGAAAGGAGACTGGAAAGGCAAAGACGAGGATGGCTAGAAAGGCATAGCAAGAAACGAATAAATGGCTGTAGGCTGTGATATCTATAGGTCTAAGTCTGACTAATGAAAATATGAGTGCGCGACCCATATAAATATACATCGAAAAGGCTACGTGGCCTAGATCCACCGCACTACTACATTATCTTCCGCTAACGGATTCCGTCGGATCCGTTAAAGGACGTATTAAAATACGCCGTCCGATTCGTTTAAAGACTATCGTTTATCGTCCGTTAGCGGAGTTTAAAGGACTCCGCTTAAAGGCGTACTAAGGCGCGCCTTCCCGTTTACTACTAAGAGGCTTAGGGCCTCTCCTACCGTTTAGAGGCTAGAGGCCTATCCGTATTACTAGCGGAGCCGCGAGGCTCCGCCGGAGGACGTACTAAGGTACGCCGTCCTTATTCATTTAAAGACTATCGTTTATCGTCCGTTAGCGGAGCTAAGGATTCCGCTTAAGGGCGCGCGGGGACGCGCCCTCCCGTTTATTACTAGCGCCGCTAGCGCCTATATCGATATTAAGAAACCGGTAGTCTCTCCGTAAACCGCTAGTACCTCTAGTACCTTTATCGAAGTATTATTATTCTAACGCCGAAACCTTATCGTATTTCTCGTTATTCTAACGCCGTTTCTTTTTATATTACGCCTCGGGCGTTCTTAATTCGTCGACGAGCGTTATGCTTTAACGCTTTACTATCTTTCTTCGGAAAAAAATTTTCCGCCGTTTTTAGCCGTATTTTTCGTCGTTCTTATCTCGAAATTACCGTCTAAACTATGTTTTCTTAGGGTTATCGGTCGTTTCTTCGGTTATCTTATATCGGTCCTCGTCCGTAGGTATTACCGGCGCGTATATTTAAAAGCTAATACCGCCTTTCCGACTACTAACTTTACCGTATAGCATCGCCTTTCCTACTATTAATCTAGCGTATTAAGATATTAGTCTACTACTATCGTCGGTTATCTTTTATAAGTACTACCGGCGCGTATATTTAAAATTAATACCGCCTTTCCGACTATTAACTTTATTAGCTACCGCTTCTTTTAGTACTATATCGCCGTTCCTACTACTAATTCCGCTCGCTTCGATACTACTACTTCCGTAAAACGATAAAAGAAGGTTAGTCTAGCTTTTTATTACGGTTTTAAAAGCTATTCGCTAAGTAAAAGCCGTATATTAATAAACTAAAGCTAAACGAGGAGAAAAGGGAAGAAAGTATGCCCTATAGGCCGTACTTACGATAGTTGGCCTTATCCGCCGTAGGTACTAAGGGCTTAATTACGTACTATGCCTTAGTATTAGCTAAGGCCTTACTATAGGCATAGCCTATTATAGTTTATTACCTAATCTTTTATAATATAAATAAAATAATAATTAAGATTATGTAACCTTTTTTTTTAAATTAATTAAGTCTTAAAAATGTTAATTTTTAGTATTCTTTTTTAAAATCTCTTTATATAAAAAAAGAAGATAGTTAGAAAGGTAGAATTCTTATTATAAAAATAGGTATGATTTTAAAAAGTTTTAACCTATTTAAAAACGTAGTTTTCTTAAAATAATAAATTAAATAAAAATGAAAATAAAGAATAAAAATAAGATTACTTAATACTAGCTATTTTTTTATTTATAAAATAAAGTATTAGGTAATAGACCTACTTTATTACCGTAAAAAAATAGGTAAATATATCGATATAAGTATAGTTAATGAATTTATTAATAAATTATATAAGAAGCTATTAACGTAATTTTAAAAAACCTTAAATTATATATAACTTCTTATATTAGTAAGTAGAAATTTCGAAAAGTTTATATGTTACTTTAATTAAGCTAATTAATTACGTAAGTAAATGTTCGATTTTTCCGATTTTTTCCCGGTCTTTTACGGGGATAAATCGTTTATATATAAACCTATATAAAATACCTAGCTCGCGAAGGGGTAGTCTAGCTTACCTATTACCGACCCAACCAGAGGGTAGCTCCTTCCCTACGTATAATTGAATATTCAACCTGCACCTTCCTACCTACCACACCCCTAGGGTGTACGTACTGAAAAGTGGAGTTTTTTCCCAGTTGTAGCTATGCGACTCCGTAGTGCACCAGACGCACGCCAGGACCACCAAAGCTCAGGTTAAAGCAGCAGCAGCTCAGGACCACGTCCAGCAACGGAAACTACTGAGGGCAATCCATGCGTAATGCAAGTAGCTGTTGTTCCCATCAGGTGACGAATAACCTGCTGTGATCTATGAGTGAGGGTTCCTTTAAGCAAGGGCATTGTTATACAACTTCTATGGAACCTGCTACAGAAAATACTGGCTGTATTCTGGTATGTTGATATTATCATCCTAGGTATGTACTTCCTTTTGTATTAGTGATCACCAGGCCACAACGTAAGACGAAGGATCTACTCAGGACTATGCATGCCAAGACTCGGTGATGCAGCAAAGCGGGTGTTATAGGTGCCGGGTTGCGCTGGTATAGCCACAGGAGCCTGTAAGAATACCTTTATATTATGCAGTAGAGGGGATTATTGGTCTATCGCGACTTAATTCTGTGTATGCGTTCCATCGGGGGTCGGGGATATTCCAAGTTCGGCCGAGAAATTGATGAATGAGTCAAGAACGAGGTTGAGGATCTGATAAGATTAGATCCAACCCGAATCAGGTATACCTACATGAATTGTCGCATCGCATCTCGCCCGCGTCTTCTCAGTTCCTCCTATGTCTCACCTAACTGTCGCGCCACTTCCCGCTTGGTACGATGGATGGGGCCTTAACGCCCAAACCCGACCGTCGCCGCCGCCGACCGGCCCTCTCCTGCGTTAGCTGTAGAAAGTCTAAGGTCCGCTGTGATCGCAACCAACCCTGCGGCGCCTGTGTCCGGTCCAAGCACAAGACCTGCGTGTTTGAGCCTCAAGGCGCGCCACACCCACGCCTATCGGAACTGTCACCCGTCACCCCCGGCGCGCTTCGACCGAGCGATGGCCAGCTCAGGGCCGTCCATGCCGAGATGGCCGCCAACCCCCTAACGAGTGGGTCGACGCAGGCACACCACGGCGACGGGTCCAATGAGGACCATTCTACCCTTTCCCTGAACGGCTCAACGCCCGTTGACTCGGCCTCGTCCCAACATCTCGGCCAATCCTTTGACGTGACTTCGCTGTTGCATCGGATTGGCGAACTGGAGCGCCGCCTTGAGGAAACTACAGGCTCTAGACATGTTCCTCGGGTCTCCGCCAGCGACCCCGAGTCGATATCGACTTACCCCAGCTATCTCACCGGGGACTTGTACACCATGAATAGGAGTGTCATGTCCAAGACGAGGTATATGGGCCAAACCCACTGGATGAACCAGGTTAAAAGTGTACGTTATCCCGCTACTCCCTGCAGCGTGCTATCGTCCTGACGGTTCGCCCCCCCCCAACTCCCTCCCCCTCCTTCCAGTTCAAACCAGTCTTGGAGATATTCGAGCAGCAGTCTCGAGAGAAGAAGTCGGAGTCGGTGGCATTCACGACGAGATGTAAGGCACTCGCTCGCACCATCAAGGCGCGGCGGACGCCCCAGATGACCTTCAAGTTCGGCACCAACATACCGCCGCGAGAAATCGCGGACAAACTTGTTGATGGCTACATTCGAACGCTGGAGTCGGTCTACCGAATTTTGCACATACCGTCCTTCAGAAGAGAGTACGAGGCCTTCTGGGCCTCTCCTGACTCGGTCGGGCTCCCTTTCGTCATCCAACTCCAGCTTGTCATGGCCATCGGCTGCACCTTGTACGATGATCTCTTTACGATGCGAAGCTCGGCGATCCAATGGGTTCAAGAGGCCCAGTGCTGGTTTATCCTCCCGATTCCGAAATCGAGGTTGACCATCACCGGCCTGCAGATCATGCTGCTTCTCCTGCTGGCACGTCAAACCGCATCCGTAGGTCAGGACCTCATCTGGATCTCGGTCGGAGAGCTCATGCGCATGGCTGCGTTCATGGGTCTGCACAGGGACCCGAAGAAACTGCCGAAGATGGATCGCCTCCATTCGGAGATACGACGTCGCTTGTGGAATACCATTCTCGAAGTTGCCCTGGAGGCCAGCATCGACTCGGGAGCGGCGCCCCGGATCTCTCTCGAGGATTTCGACACTGGTGCGCCATCTGACTGCGACGACGACCAACTGATAGGTGACGACGACTCGAAGGTTCCCCAATCAGCAGAAACGTTCACGGATATGTCTTTGGCGTTAGCCCTTCGCGCGAGCTTCGCATCGCGCCTGGCCATCGCGCGGTCGCTCAACGAAATCGATTCGCAGACCACGTACGAAGACACGGTTCGACTCCACCACCGCCTCGGCGCCGCATGCAAATTACTCTCCCAAACGCTCCAGCGATTCGCGTCCAGTCCGCGGGGCCCGACATCCTTTCAGCGACGGTTCGTCGATTTTATCGTCCGCCGGTATTTTCTAGCTCTGCACCTCCCGTACTTCGTGCCGGCTATAAACGAGCCGGCCTACGCTTTCTCGCGGAAGGTAGTGGTCGAGATGGCCATGAAGCTCTATACCACCGTCTTCCCGTCGTCGGCCTCGAATCCACGGCCGTCACCGCCGACGGGCGATTGCCCGAGATTCACGTCGACCGAGGCCGACGACTTTGGGCGGCTCGCGACTGGCGCGTCGAGCATGTTTCGGTCCGTATTGTCGCAGTCGTCGATGGCGGGCGGCTTCGAGCTGCAGAGCCAGCTGCTGGAAGACGACAGCCTGGTGCCGTCCATACCTCGGCCGGACCTCCTCAACGTGCTGCGCGACTCGGCGGCCTGGAGCCACCACCGCATCCAAGCCGGCGAGACGAATGTCAAGGGCTACCTGTTCACCAACGTGTTGCTGGCGCAAGTAGAAGGGCTGATGGCCGGCTTGAGAGGGGCAGAGAACGAGGCGGTGATTATTAGGACCGGCAACGAGGCCGTGCGTGAGAGCTTCGAGCTGCTCAAGCAGCTAGCCGCACAGTACCCGGACGAGGGCGCCATTACTGGCGATCCGCAATTTGACCTGGACCCCATGATGGCGATCGATGACAACTGGGAAAACTCTGTCAGTGATAGCTAATATCAGTCCCCGTGTAACAAACAGCCAAGGTCTTCCGCTGACTTATTAATACCACAGGCCCAGAACGTCCTCTTCGATTTCACCACTATCGAGTCTGCATTCGATGGAACCACGGAAAACGATTTGATGGGCCCGGACTTTTCCTCATGGTAGTGAAGAGCGGGGGCGGGAGAGGAGGGGGGCTTTCTCTCCTCTCCATCACGTAAGTCCGCAAGGATCGCTAGAAGTTGGAGCGCTAATTGTTAACCTTCTTTAGATTCATGTAATATACAGCGATGTAAAATCAACCAGGTAATAGGTAGGTGTTTAGGTATGGGCAGCGCTACAACCAGGGTTTAGGCGGGGGGAGGTTCGAACGACCCTAACACGATGTATGAGAACTCAACTCTGAAGTGACGATCACTGGATATTGTTGTTGACCTGTGAAGGTCGTAGGGTACTGTCAAGGTACATAAGCAATCGAAAAACAGCATCACATTAATTCAACATATTGGTACTCAGATTCAATGGCGTTTTTGTCTTTTGGCCGCTTGGCGTGTTTACCGCCTTTCGGTCTTTTCAATGCTCTGCGAATGTCGTGTAGGCCGTTCTGGACATGAAGATGGACAGAGGTGTTTGAGCAATTGTTGCTTTGCACGTTGATTGCCCTCAAACCCACCGCGATCGACGATGAGGAAGACATGTGGGAAGGCGACAACAGGCAGTATACTATCGCATAATAAAAGCCCTAGCACAAATGCACCTTATACCTACATGTAGGTAGTATTACAGGTAGGTAGGTACCTATCTAGTTGCCAGGAGGGAAAGCAGGGTATTAGGTATAGCGAAAGGGGGGACGGAATCATCCACCTAGCCACCTATTAGCAGCCAGGCACCAGGCCACCACCAGAGATGCGTTCGGCCACCAGAGCTGTATATTCTCAAGTTTGTACAGGCATCTGGTTTACGTCCTTTACGCATAGCCGGCTGCCAGTTGCAGCCGCCGCTACAGCGTGATTCTCTTCGCACGGTTACCTCCGTCTGCTTCCCATCCAACCTACAACGGCAGCGGCAGCAACGACATGGTGCACCAGCCGGCTAGTGCGCGCTCGCCAACCCCCCCACACGAAGGAGCATTGGGAGTGGTTGTTTACCTCGGCTGGCCTGGGTAGATAAAACTGCGGTCATATCTTAACATGCGTCTGTTCCTTCGCAAGTTCGACCCTCTGCACGCTGCCCGTGTCATTCATGAGACTCGATATCCTTGACCGCGCTCCCCGTTCGTGCTCCATTTCGGGACCTCTTCACGTCCGTAGAAATCAAGCTTCTTTTGGCTTGTTGGGTACGTACGGAACAAGCCCTTAATATAGGTAAGCCTGTGTCTGCAAGTCGTATAATGTGGGCGTCTACGTTTCACGCAACATCGCCCCTTGATAATTTCGTCGCCATGGCTCGCAACTTGCCTATAGCTGGCCGCTCGGACGGGCCCTGTCCCATCGACGCTAAAGAAAAATCGAGGTAGGTACTTGTTTCATGAGCCGCCGAAACGGCATCCTCGCTAACTGTAAATACCTGGATGGCAAAAGGAATCCAGACACGTAGAAGCGCTTATTCGACGGTAAGCCTTTAGCCACAAGCCTCCGAGACAGGACCTGGGCAAGTCCCTAAACTGCAGCCGTCGTCAAGACCCGTGCAAGTCCATAATAAACTGCGAACAATAGGACCCGAGTACGTCCCTAAACTGCGAATAACCATACCTAGCCGCGTGGACCACACCCTTACATCCTTTGAAGGCAATTACTCCAAGGTTCTTCGGCTATAGGTGGGCCAGGTCACCATTCCACGACCCGTTCATGCGCGAGGTAGAGGCGACGATGTCAGGGTTAGTAATGTCCTCCACCAAGATGTAAGGGAAATCGACCTAGACAGCGCAAAGAAACGTATTAACATAGGCTAGCATCTGGTTAATATCGCCCCCGAATTGGAATTATTCCTCGGCAGCCGATTCCTAGACGACTACCTCACCTACCGAACGCAGGGCTTCCGAGCCTTAAGGTTTATTTAGGATACTAAGAGCAACAGCGATAGAGAAGGCAAGCTACAACGGGGAACATTAGCAAATAAAGAGCTTTAAGAGAAATACCAGACGGTAGATTCCATTAAATAATAACTTACACCAGAGAAATGAGCTAAAGAACGAAGTCTACCAAGTAGCGCTGTTAGGAATCGAACCTATCCTTCGTTAAGTAACCTACTAATCTCAGAGAACTCCGGTATATTCTCCTCCACTAGTGTTAATAAGCCGTTAGGCGCGAAGCTAGTCTACGGGCTAGGCGACTTCATCACCAACAGCCGGCAAAGACCGGGCCCACCCACCCGTATACCTAGAGAAGGCGCGTAGTGATTAAGAATCTCAGCCACTTTTTCACATCAGGCGCCGACCAAGCCTTCTCGGCCTAGATACCCGCAGACTCCTCATCAAACGGCGACCAATTATTTTACCTACCCCAGAGTAGAAAGGTAGGAGTAATCATCTCGATTATTCTCCGCAGCTTAGCAATTTATTCCCTATCGATAGGCTCTCCACAACGGCGCTGCATGTCCCAATAGACTAGGAGTACTTCGTCTCCAACCTCGGGCCAGTCAGGGGATATAAGTCTGAGATCTGGAGGGTTAGTATCACTCACCCTCCGTTCGTACCTATCTCGGAAGATGTAGAAGTACACAAATACCTCCCACGGGTCCCACCGCCAACGGTTCTCCTGGGTAGGGATAATAGGTAGAGGGCAGGCGATTATCTACGGAATCAGGCGTAATGCGGCAGTACCACCGGCAGTATCGGAATCATTAGCGAGCAAGAAGTGGATAAGCCGATCAAACTACTATTATATCAAAGGGAAGATAGTATAAGGCGAGAATACACGGCACGCGTGAATATACAGCTCCCGGCACTATGGAAATGTCAGAGGAATCTATCTCCAAGTCGACCAAAATACAGCGCCAGGTAGTACTCCTACCTCAATTTCCGTCTCCCCTCGGTCAAATACTATTATGCCCCCAAAGATCCTAGCCTCGACCCAGTATGCTGCAACGTCCGCGAGGCCGTGGGGATACTGCTCAATAGCCTTGTAGGGCCCGTGAGTGAAAGCAATCGGTGGCCGATAAGAGCCCCACGTGCTCATGTCCCGGGGCTCGTCTCTCCATTCATCGTACTCTGCGTGGTGATGGTTTCTTCCAGTGACGTTGTAAAGGCAGACCGCGATCTGGTGACATGACACAGCGAGAAGCTCCAGAAGCCGCAGGTGGAATTGTTTAGAGCCGGGCTCGGTCTCCCGGAAGGCAATAAGAGTCTGAGATGGGTCAATGATCGGAGCGTTGACATGAGAGACAGGAACATCATGGAGATGTACGGTTCTGAGGCTTACAATGAGAGAGAATCGTAAGGTCGTGATGTCAAATGTGGCCCGGAATGCACGAGCCTTCTCACGGGAGCCGGGGCAGAGCGCAGAGTGATTTACGGATGGGTGCCTTCTCCAGGAAGAGTAAAACTCACGACTCCAACACGACTCCAACAAATGATCACGGTCTGTGCCTTGCGTATTTGTCAAGACCCTAGGGGCAAATGGGGGGCGCGGAATGAAAACTGAGAAAGGTTGAATGAGATGAGGAGGAATCAAGTCTAGAAGGTCGCCAGCCGAATGCCTTCAGGAACGAAAGGCTCTTAAGAGGACGCGCTCGAGGGGGAAGCGGTTCTTCCGACCCCGCTGGAATTACCCGACCTTTTACGCCTTTCGCTCCCCCCTTCGGTGTCGAATGCGTGGCGTAAAATATACTTCTTCTTCTCCCCATCTACTTGCTATCTATTGCAGCAGGCACAAGCTAGTTGTAGTTGTGCCTGCTGTCTCCCTGTTGCCTGACGTCATTAGCTGCCTAATACCGGGCAGGCCTCCTCGGCGGCGTTCCTGCCTACGAGGCAGGCAACTGTCACGGCATTCACGGCATCCTCCGACCTCCGATACCGACAATGGAGCTTATACAAACCTTATAGATTTCGATGTGTAATTAGCTTAGCTTAAGAGATAGTATCGATAGCTTTATGTAAACATGTAAGCTTTTTCCCATTGCGAGTCTCGACGTAATCTTGGGATCTAACACTCTGGTTGACAACGACGGGCATACCGGGTACGAGCATGAAGATGGCGGGCACCGGGATGGCGCTGCCGTCCTCGTGTCCTGGCATCGTCAGGCATTCCTCCTCTGTCCGCTTGCCATCCTTCAGCTTGTGTTCTGGGACAAAGGTCCGGAGCGGCGCCTGCCACTGCCTCTGGAAAGCGACTGTCGCCTCCATGTTCATGTTTCAGCAGTTCCTGCTCACCGGCGTTACGGCTGTGGTGCAGGACTCCGATGGGATACGACGACCTTCCTGGTAGCAGGTGTCGTTCAGCATCACCACTGTGGTGAACTTCCCCCAGAGCGCATGGTATTGAGGGTGATGAAATGCGGCATATTGTGGACGGAGCTGGTATGAGAGGTCCATTTTCTTTGCCGACGAGTGCGGCTGGTGACGCACGCGGTGATGATGATGGGGACGGCTCCGTGGACGCAGAACCGAGAGATCTTCTGTCATGCGTCGTCGTCATGACTTTGTCGGATGTGGACAGCACAGACGGGGGAACATTTCCTCTGGCATTACGAGACGAGACGTCACAAAGAGAGATTACTATGGTAGGTAAGCATTCGTGCGACAATGGGCTTACGGCTCCGTTTACTTTCCAAGACCCTTGAAAAGGGGATTGTTCAATTTGTCGCTACTCGTAGGATACTTCTGTATAGTTCGTCTGCTGATTGCAAATACACACCATGTTCCAGCCTACACTACTCGTTCAAGCATCTTCGGTCTCGCGGGAAGGCACCGGGCTAGTTATCGAGTTTATTGCCCAGCGCCAGGGCCTGCTGGTAGATCCACTCCTTCGCCGTGAGGCCGTCGCCGGCCTCGTGCTTGTCGGTGGCGGCGACGCCCTTCTGGTCGAGCCGGCGCATGAGGCACTCGTCCTCGGGGCGGACGAAGTAGACGAGGCTGTAGCGCGGCCAGCGGCCCTGGGAGCCCGGCGACGGGATCACGCGATGGCGCCCCGAGCACACGGCGCCGTCGGTGAACTTGACCGCCGCGTCGCCCAGGTTGATGATGGCGCTGCCCCGCTGCGGCCGCACCCACAGCCACTCCCCCGGCTGGTCCGGCTGCCCGTCGCTCAGCTGCGCCCGCCGCGACGACTCCGACCACACCTGCAGCCCGCCGAGCCAGTTCATGAGCACCGTGACACTGTGTGCGGGCCCGGGAAGCCGAGTTCGCGTCGGGATTAGCGTCGGGTCATCTACATCTCGAGGTCACGGTCGGGCAGAGAAGGATTCAAAGGGGCAAAGGGGCAAATGAGCAAAGAAGAGAGAGCAAGGGGAGATTCGTTCAATCCACTTACGTCCCGAAGTCGGTATGCGACGGTGTCTGGATCTCGGGCATCTCGTCGGTCTCGCGGGGCGGGCCGCGCGTGATGCGGATGTGGTCGCCCGAGAGCTCCTCGATGCGGTGGCGGCCGGTGAGCTCGGCGGGGTCGATGCCGAGGTGCTCGGCGATTATAGTCAGCAAGGTCATGCCGATGGCGTGGGCGCTCCGCACGTAGGAGGCGAAGGCGGGCCTGGCGTCGAGGATGGGGCTGGGCCAGGCGCGGGTCATGCGGTCCTCGGGCACGATCATGTCGTTCTTGGACACGTTGAAGAACTCGGCCGTGTCGCGCGCGCCGGTGCGGTCGGCGACCGACGATCCCGCGTACTTGTACCCGAACAGCGTCTTGCCCATGCGGTGCTGCATCTTCTCCTCGAGTGGCAGCTTGAACACCCGCTCGCCCACCCGCGCGATCTCCTCAGACCCGCGCAGCAGGGCATCGCCCGTCTCGTTGCCCGCCAGCGCGAGGTAGAAGAAGCCGCGCCCCGCACAGGCCTTGAACACGCGGTCCTGCTCCGCCGCGTCGCCGGCGAGGAGCTTGGAGAGCGAGATGGTCTCGAGCTCGACCGTGGGGACGTCGGTGGGGAAGGGGGGGTAGAGGTCCGGCGTGAACTCGACAGTTTCTTCTTCCTTGTGAGGCATAGCTGCGGCTGTCGGTCTGTGGCGATTATTATGTGGATTTATTTTTCTCAATGACGGGTTCTAGAACGCTGAGCGGCTACGCCGATACGGTTTGTACGGTGGTGGGATGACAGAGTAGCAAAGTAGATGACAGAGCTAGAGATTAGGAGGCAGGCTATAATAATCGGAGAGAGGCTAATCTATCTGGTTGCATAAGTTGGGCGTGTAGCTCGCTGCGTAGGGCCTCATATATTAGTGTGAGGATGCCACGCCGTCGACATCCGGGGATCAGTGCCGACGCAAGCTGGGTTACCCCGACTTCTCCGCAATCCCCCCCGGCATTGGAACGCGGGTCCGGCGAGTTAAATATTTAACTGCCCCAGTGGCAGTTTGAGGGAACTAGTGCGTCAGCGGAGGATCACGGGATGTGGCTATTCACGGCGTTTCAGGCGGTAACCTGTTTGGCACTCAGCATAAAGAAGCTCAGGAAGGGGAAGAGGCCCTAACGCCCTCCTCTCTATACAACAACTACGGACAAAGCCGCGGCTAATTACGTCCATGTTTACGAACGGGAATCCCGGATACCCGCGGAGATCTCGATCTTCACAATCCAATCGTCTACACCCACCCTTTACCAGCTCTTCTTGACATACCGTTAGCCGTTCTTTCGGCATAAGAGGCTTTGCGCCAATGTGCATCAAGATCCCTTCCCGCGGAGATAATTGCATCCCGTCTTCACTGCCTCCAAAATTCTCCGAGCGGGGAAGCCATCGGGGTACGCATGTATCTTGCCCTTGGCGGGTTGCTGTGGCATCTAGAACGGCAAATAACGACACGTGCAATTAGAAGATTGGCATGCTCTCACGCATCATGATGTTGCATTGCCGGCATAAAATCACGGTACCTACATCACCTAGTAGTACTGTTAACTACTAGTGAGATCTATGAAGTACTAATTTCCCCGAATCTCACTATATGCATATGTAAACTGTCCTTGTAGTGTATATCTTAAGGCATGCCTGCTTGCCGCGCTGGTCTTTGAACTTACCGCATCCGGATGGAACCGGGAAAATACAAAGACCAGACATATTACCTATATATTCTATTAGCTTGTACGTGTTAAGTAATACTACAATTATCTATAACGACGCTATCGGCATTAGATATCCATCGTCATCGTCCCTAATGCTTCGACCTAACTGACCAAATTCATAGCGGTTGGGTGCTCCGGGAAAATACAGACGGAGCTGGCTGGAAACCCTACGAGGCGGTTAGAATATCTTCTCAAAGCTCACGATCCTGGGCCCAATTGGCATTCGTTTCATCTCACATTCGAAGTCAAGTTAAGCTTTTTTACCTTGACTAACTAGCTGTAGAGCCGGGTGACTATATAAAAACTAAATTACATCGTATCCTGTAGTGTTTCGCACCTCTCCAACGCTGTCAAACTGATTCACAAAAATGGCCCATGCGAACCATACGTAACACCCCAAAATACCATCGTGCTAGTGCTTCCAATCATGAAACTAGTGTCTAAGTGCAACAGAAACGGGTATTACCGGTGCCGTTGGGCTAAATACGTGGAGCCACGGAACAACTCGACGGTATCTAGCGTGATGCACTCCGTGACTACCCGTGTAAGACCGACGAAACAGAGTCGATGTGAGGGCGAGTCTGACGATAATATGATCAAGTTGAAATCTACGAAGGGGGGATTTGAGTAACAGTGTACAGGTTTAGTACGGGGTGGGACAAGAAGCAACGTTGTTCGATAGGGTTTATTGCATCGTACAACTGGGTGTAATGCTCCACAACGTCAACACAACTACCTACCATCATCATCATTAAACATCCAGCCTTTGAAATAAGTGCTAGTACCACTATTGATTACTTCTCTGTTTTCCCTATAGCCACGAAGCCGGCGAATAAGTGTATTTTACCTAATTTCACCATGTCAGCCTTCTCTCGGGATATGCTTGCTCTTCACTCGCGAGCAAATGGGAAACATGTTACACCTCGCCTCCGAGTTAGTGTGCTGTACGTCAAATATTACAGTCTTAAGTGTGCGCTATCAGTGTAGATATGGCATGCCCGCGACACGAGGATGGCATAGAGAAGACGTCTGGGCGACTTCTTGCGAGGCAGCTCGAACGGGCGGGGAAACCTGAGATAATCCAAGGCTCTGGGCACCACCCGAAGGGACAATCCCAGATGGGAGCGAGAAATCCCTTTCGAATATTCAAGCTCATTTGGCCGGATTTATAATATCCCTCTGACTGGGTCGCATCACTACCACACTGGGGTAACCGGCGTGGATCCCAAGCATTTGGCTGGACTGGAATATACCCGAAGATCCCGGGTATCCGTGGATGACGAGGCCCGGGTAGTATTCTCCATTGCACAACATATCACTAGGAATCGAGGAAGGACGAGTAGACTCGATGGTTCTATGCCCTTCTCTCGCCACTAACCTCGTGAGATTGGTCTCCGTTAATAGCGAAATTTTGCTACAATTGTATGCTTGTCTTTGCTGTTTGCGTAGGAGGAACCCAGACCTCACGTAGCACTCCTTGGACACTCTCTGTGGCATCCAGCATGCCCGGAACCGTAGGTATGTGCCAAGGCGCCGAGGAAGAGCCTCGCCCACGCACGGAATACGGTTCCCTCCACACCCCTACCCTCCTTTAAATGGGACCCCATATGGTGATAGGGAGGGCTAGAGTGTGGCAAACCAAGCCGCATATACTTCCGCTGCATCAGCCTCTAGATAAGCAATATCTGCTGCTCACATGGTTACATAGATCGCCGGTAGAGGTCCTTCTTGATGAGGACGGTGGGGAGGGAAGATGAATGCCGGTATTATAAAAGCGTCAGCGTTACCCTACTCACTATTCATGACATTCTTGAATTTTCCACTCACTTGAACGCCATTCCGTCTGTTTATATAGCTAGATAGCTTGCGATACCAATCTGTGCTTTGAAGGTAATAATTGTGCCGAGTCTCACGATATGAGGGAAGAGATAACCCGGGCCGCACAGGCCCCAGAGACCACCACCGCCGAACGTAAGATGGGGGCATCTGAGACTTCTATACAATGCGAAGATCTTGGGAAGCCGACTGCTGTCTCGGTGGATCCCGCTCATCGCGCCCGCGTGGAGAAATCGCTGAAGAGAAAGTTGGACTGGCGCTGTTCGCTCTTCATATTGATTTACATCCTCAACTACCTAGACCGAAACAACATCGCAAGTGCGAGGCTTAGGGGCCTTCAGACAGGTTAGTACATACCTGCTCTCAGCTCTGGGTCCGCCTGGTAACAAAGGAGAGATATTATCTTGCCCCCTGAATACGCTTGGTCTCTTTAGCACATATACATGCACGAGCCGGTCAACTGCCTGCATGCTAATGCTAATATGAATAATACGGGATAAGATCTAAACATCGACGATGTACGTTCTCACCTTGAGAGAATATTCTAGGATTTTATAATCTCTCGAAACTGATGCGCGATAGACACAATACTCGACATGCCTAAGTATCCTTTATATCGGGTACATACTTATGCAAGTCCCATCGAACATTCTGATCAACCGGATCGAACGGCCGTCCCTCTACATCTCGTCCGCCATGCTGCTCTGGGGGCTCATATCTACGCTGACCGGAAATACCAACAACTTCACCGAGATGGTTATCGTGCGGTTCTTCCTCGGCTTCGTCGAGGCCGCTTTCCTGCCCGGAGCGCTCCTCATCCAATCGAAGTGGTACACGCGGAGGGAGCTTGCGACGAGGAATGCGGTTCTCTTCTGCGGAAACATCATCTCGAACGCGTTTTCGGCCCTCGTCGGCGCCGGTGTCTTATCGAATATGCAGTAAGGTTGTCCCGGAATCCGCCAGCTGTGTTTGCGGTGACGAGCAGCAAGGAATACTAGCTAACGCCAACACTCGCAGGGGCGTTCTGGGCCATGCTGCTTGGCGATGGCTCTTCTGGAGTGGGTAGCTACGGGAGCTTCGCGATGACTTATTACTCTAGCTGACGTCTTGCTACAGTTGAGGGCGCAGCTACCATGACCGTCGCTATCTGCGCAGCGTTTATCCTCCCGGACCTACCGCATAATTCGCGCGGCTTCACGGCTGAAGAACTCGAGGTCGCACAGCTGAGAATGGTCGAGGATGTCGGCGAAGCTGACGTCGATGGCGCCGGCCAGGGCCTGTTTGAAGGCCTTGTTATGGCCGTCAGGGACCCCAAGATCTACATCTTTACGCTCTTCCAAACGACATTAACGCTCGGCCTTACGTTCAATGCCTTCTTCGTAGGGGTCCCGTAAGAGAGAGTCGCATGTAAGCGGTCATAGGCTAACCGATCCTTGCAGCCAACTCTTACTGGGACGCTCGGGTTCGATTACGTTCCAACGCTGCTGATGTCCTCCCCCCCGTGGGTCCTCGCGTGCGTCGTCTCGCTGATCAACGCCTGGCACGCCGACCGGACGCAAGAGAAGGTTCGTCACCATCCCCCTTTGTCGAAGAGACCTACGGTTGAGGAGGGGGAAGAACCCCGCGGCGCGACATGCTCGCAAGGCCGAGCTAACTCCCTACGCAGTTCTGGCACATCGTCGGCCCGGTCGTCGCGGGGACGGCGGGCTTCGTGATCTGCATGGCGACGTCGGACGTGGCGGCGCGGTACGTGGCGCTGTTCCTGCAGGCGAGCGCGTACGCGGGGCTGATCGTGTCGTACTCGTGGATCAGCGCGTCGTTCCCGCGGCCGCCGGCGAAGCGGGCGGTGGCCATCGCGCTGATCAACGCCGTCTCGCAGCTCGGCAACGTCGCCGGCAGCTACGTCTGGGACATGGGCGACGACGGCTTCCGCCGCAGCTACGGCGTCGTCACCGCCATGTTCGGCCTCACCGTCGCCGGCGCCGCCCTCTTCCGCGCCGTCCTCGCCCGCCTCAACCGCCGCCTGGCCAACCGCGAGCGCGCGTGGGACGCCCGCCCCGACGTCGGAGAGCGCACAGCCCAGATGGAGCGCCTCGAGAGCCCCGACGAGGCGCTGCGGATGCGGAGGGGGTTCAGGTATCTGTTATAGGGGGGATTCCAGGAGAGAGAGGTTTATCTATTTGGGATGTGAATACTGGTAGAGCATACTTAACTAGACTGTGTGTGCTTCTCTTGCGGGAAATATTGAACGACGTGCCAGCGTAGGCGCCGCCGTTGATCAGGATACCTACAGAAGGGATTTCCCCTTAAGTGTATATAGGTGCCCATGGGTTATCAACTCGTAAAGTGATAGATATTATATCGGTCCTGCTTAAATGAATCAAGAGGACTTTACGATAATAAGTCCGCGGCGTTAACCGAAGATATACCCATTGTTTCTGGTATGAGTATTGGTGGTGAGATCCGAGTTCATCCCCTATTGCTCCCGCCTATAAACACCCGGATGGCTGACCGGATGCCCGCAGCCCTCGGCACTACACTACGAACCCCTCCGCATCGCAGGCTTTTCTATCCTTCTCTTTTCTCTTCCAACCCCCCCTCTCTTTCCACGTATTCCCACTTTCTCTCATCCACACCCTCACACCAGCACATATCCCACCCATTTACCCCGCGCAGTTCGTACCTACCAACCATGGGCCGCACAGAGCCCTCGGTTGGCCGCCCACCCGCCAGCGTCCGCCGCGACGCCCGCGCCAAGCAGGCCCGCGCCACCCTCAACAAGGTGATCCCGGCGATGCTGGCCGCGCATCCGCGCGCGCGCCGCGGCGTCGACGCCTCGGAGCTCATCGTCGACCCACCGCCGGCCCCCGCGCCGTGCTCACGGCGACGAAGCCGCGCCGAGCGCCGGCAACGGCGCGGGCGACGGGCCCCAGGACTGCGAAGACCAGGGCAGCGTCGGCGCTGCGCCTCGTCCCGGCCCCCGCGTCTCGCTGCGCGTCGCGGACACGCTGGCGGCGGCGTACGAGCTGCTCCTCGTGGGCGCGCCGCCCGGGGCCAGCAACGGGCCGGCGGGGCAGACCGGTGGAGAAGAAGACGCCGGGCGAGAGGGGCGGCCGCAGCGGCGCGACCTGGCGAACACGTCGGCGCGCGTCGCGGTGCTGAACATGGCGTCGCCGCTGGGCGGCGGGGGCGGGTTCCGCAGCGGGGCGACGGCGCAGGAGGAGTCGCTGTGCGCGCGCACGGCGCTGCTGCCCGCGCTGCGCGACGAATTCTACCGGCTGCCGGAGCTCGGCGTCGTGTTCACGCCGGACGTGCTGGTGTTCCGCGGCGGCGACGGCGCGGCGCTGCCGAAGCCCCGCCGCTGGTTCGTCGACGTCGCGTCGGCCGCCATGCTGCGCATGCCCGAGGTCGCCGCCGACGCGGCGACGGGGCGCGCGGCGTACGCGGCGCCCGCGGACCGCGACCTCGCCGCGCGCAAGATGCGCGCCGTGCTCCGCGTCCTCGGCGCCTGGGGCTGCGGCGCCTACGGCAACCCGGTCGCCGAGATCGCGCGCGCGTGGAGGCGCGTCCTGCGCCCGGGCGGCACCGCCGATGCGGAGGGGGACGTAGGCCGCGAGGAGGAGCAGAGCGCCGGGAAGCAGAAGGGGAAGCACCGCGGCAGAGCGCGGGCGAAAACCCGCGACGATGCCGGCGCGTGGGGCGCGATCGAGCATGTCGTCTTCGCGATCCAGGATGCGCGGATGGCGCGTGCGTTCGCGGCCGCGTTCGGGCCGGCGCTGCTGGACCCGTGTGACGTGCGGCCCGGCCCGCCTGCGTGCAGCCCCCGCGCGAGCAGCGAGGACGAGGGCGAGGGCGGCGCCGAGGTGGCCGAGCTCCGCGCCAAGGTGCGCGAGCTCGAGCTGCGTGTGGCGGCGGCGCCGACGCCCCAGCTGCGTGCCGGCCTCGCGGCCGTGCTGGCGGGCCTCCGGAGCCAGTTGCCCGCCTCTCGCGACGGCGACGACGAGGGTGACGGGGAGGCGGCCGAGGGCGGAGAAGGGTCCGGCGAGGAAGAGTCGGTGTCGAATGAAGACGGGGAGGGAGGCCGTGCTGGAGGTAGTAGGTAGGTAATGCAAAGAGTCGGGATTTGAAGGCAGGATCTGGGTCTTGTTTAGATGGCCGGGAGTTCAGAAGAGAGAGATCATTGGGATTCGCTCGTACGGGACTGTCTAAGTAACTCGTGCGCAAGGCGATGGCGATATGCCTAGCAACAAGTCTCGTTCAAGATCTAATAGTAGCCATGTATACCCTGCCCCTACCCACCCGCCCCGAGCCCCTAATAAAATCGCCGCACAGGCCGTAACTTCAATCATCATCCTTTACGGAGGCTTCCGTTGCCCTGCAGGAAGTTATTATTACATTTCGTTCGGCATAGTGCTACACATGCGATTCATCCACCCTGTCAAGGTCTATAGACCTATCATGCCCCGACGCCCGCCCCTGCACTCTCACGAACTCTTTCTTCATAGCAGGAGCTCCAGAGGGTTCTCCACGACCTTCTTGAACTCCTTGATCCACTCTGCACCCACCGCCCCGTCGACGACCTTGTGGTCGAAGCTCGCCGTAACGGTGATCTGGTCGTCCCACTCGACTCCGGCACCGTCTTCACCACCGGGGACGGCGACCTTCTTGGTAGTGCCGACGGCCAGGATGGCGGCTTGCGGGGGGTTGATGACGGCGGTGAAGCTGTCGACGGCCGGGTTCATACCCATGTTGGAGATGGAGATGGTGCCGCCTTGGAACTCCTCGGGCTTCAACTTGTTCTCGCGCGCCCTCTTGGCGAGCTCCTTGACCCGGGAAGAGATGGATTCCAACCCGCGGGCCTCGACACCGGTGACGATGGGAGTGATGAGGCCGTTGGGGGTGGCAACGGCGACGGAGACGTCGACCGTGTTGTACTGGCGGATCGAGTCGCCGATCCAGGCTGAGTTGGCGGCGGGGACCTTCTTGGACGCGACAGCGATGGCCTTGATAAGGAAGTCGTTGACGGACAGCTTATACTTACCCTCGGCAGAGCTGTTCAGAGCTTGCCGGAGCTTGAGAAGCTTGGTAACGGAGAGTTGGCTGGTGACGAAGAAGTGGGGGTTCTCCTTGACGGATTCCTGCAGGCGCCTAGCGATAGTCTTGCGCATATTGGACAGGGGCGTATCTTCGTAAGAGGCAGCGGGCGAGGCCGCGGACCCCGGGGCCGAGACGGCCTTGTTGACGTCGTCTTCGGTGATCTTACCTCCGGGACCGGTACCCTTGAGCGCGGAGATGACAACACCCTTCTCCCTCGCCAACCGCTTGGCGGCCGGGCTGATGTTGGGTTCCCTGTCGAGGGCGGTCTCGAGCCTGCCTCCTTGAGAGTACTGTTCGGGTTCGGGAGCGGGTGTGGGGGCCGGGGCGGATGCGGCTTCCGACGGCGCATCTGCCTTCTTCTCTCCCTTGGAGGCGGGCGCCGCAGCGTCCCCTCCGGCATCTGCTAAGCTGAAGGACTGGAAGGCCGAGACGTCGGTGCCTTCTTCGACGAGGACAGCGATCGGCTACAAGTCCACCATCCGTCAGCACCTCCGGAACCGGGAGTGGGGAAGCACAGAGAAGAAGGGGGGAGAGAAAAAGTCACGCACGTTGCCGACAGGGACGTCTTTCTCGCCGGCATCTTTTAGAATCTTAGCGATGACACCCTCTTCCTGGAACTCGAAGTCCATCTGAGCCTTGTCCGTCTCGATCTCGACCAGGACCTCGCCGGGGGCGATGGAGTCTCCTGCCTTCTTCTGCCAGGCGCCAATGTTGCCTGCCGTCATGGTAGGGGACAGGGCAGGCATCTTGACAATGGTGTGAGGCGGGAACGAGGCATAATATCTGGCTAGCGGGACGAAGCCGGATCGGAGGGCCGACGGTCGGAGGAGAAGGCCTTGCCTCCTCAGCAAGGCGCCGAACATGTTGCTGCGGTGGCGGGATAAGAAAACCGTGGCCCCGGGAGTTGGAAAAAAAAAAAAGAGAAGCGGCTGCGAACGAGAAGACGCCGCCCGGACTAGTTGGGACCACAGGTGAGGTAGAAAAGGAACGAATAGGCCAGACCGTGGCAGAGAGGAGGCACTACGGGCAGTTAGAATAGATGGACCGAGCCCAATTGAATTGGGGGATGGCGCCGTAGAGGGAGGGAGGGAGGGAGAGAGGGCCGGAGCGAGGTGAAGGTAGAGGACGGGACAGTGAGACAAAAGGCCTAATGGTGATGTGAGGGAAGGGGGAAAGAAAAGATCGGACCTCAGAGGTTGAAGGGTTGCGGCGTCTTGATTGGTGGCGAGTACAGGTGTATCAGGGCCCTGGGATTTTTAATTTTTTAATTTTTTTATCTTCTCCGTCTCTCTCTTCCTTTTTTTTTTTATAACGCACGAAGGTTGACAATAATAAGCGCATCGCCTTCTTTCCGTCTGGTACGTAACTCGGTACCTTCTTTAGTGGACGCCTGGGGGGGCTGAATGTACCTGTCCAGATACTGTTACGTCCTGCCTTACCTGCCTAAGGTACCTAAGCTCTCAGTCCCCCAGCGCGCTCCCCTCTACGTATATGGCTGGGCACATCCCAGGTTAGGTGCCTACCGAGAACACCTGTCCGCAAGAGGTGCTCGCCCACGATCGAGTGTGGAAGGTCGATTGGTATAAATATCCTCAACACGCCCCATTGCGGAATGTGGTTGGAATCCGTATTCTCTCTTCCACTCAACACATTTTCCCCAAACTCCGGTGTGCGGACCACGTGGGCTGGGCTGAGTCCTACGTGTAGGTTGGGTTCTCCCCAATGAAATCCGTTCTGCGATGGCGCCGTGATTGGCTCCGTGGAGACTGCTGCAGGTACTGCGCAGTACGGAGGGGGGTACCTGGGCTGGATCGACGGCGTGTACCCATGTGCTCGCAGAGAGGTATCTGCGCGCCTACTTTACATACTAAGATCAACGTGCAGGTGGTAAGTTGCTGGGACTCGGGAGGTATAGGTGTGTAGGTATTACATACAACGTCACGCAGTATACCTACGCGCATGTATTAGCGCCGGGAACCAGCTTCGGCCTCTTGTACCACCGAGTGCTGCTCAGGGACCTCGACTTTTCGCAGGTTGCTACGGAATCCGAATTGTCGGGCTAACTATGGGCGAACGTATCCTCCCCTGTCCTGGCCTCGCCGGCGTCCGCCTACACCTGGATAAGTATAAGTATCCTTAATACCCGTCGAGCCCTTAAAAGGCTGCTCCTAGCATCCCGATCGAAAAACCCGCGTGCGTCTGCTTGCCGCCATGACGGGGAACGTGGCATTTCCGACATGGCATTGCTCAATAAAAAGGGGGGCGGGGGGGTATCAGCTTGGGGCCAGCTTTCGGTAGGTTCAGAGACGACTATCGAAATATCCGCAAGCTTCAGCTTCAAGGGTTCTCGATGATGGAAAGCCCCAAGAGAATTCGATCCAACGCGCCGAGACGATGTGGCTGATGACGTAGTGGGCACCCTCCCCTTTCGCGATTACACAGGTACCTCTCAACCTGGCTTGGTGACTTCGCGAGGTACTTATGTCGTAAGCGAGCAATGCCTGTCTGGACATAGGAGAGGTATGTACCTACACCATCTACCTGGGAGTATGCTTACTCATGGAGGTAGCTGTGGCTGTGTAAATAGCTCAGCACGCTATCGTATTACGTACTCCTCTGACCCATCTTGGCCGCCCGGGGCCTGATTAAATCCGTCGCTCCGTATCCTGCCACGGTGCCAATCCAAATCATCCATTCATTACCTACCTACGTCGATGCCGTACAACCCGCCTTGCTCCATATAGGCGATCAGGTAGCCAGCGCTCCCCTTCCAGCCCTGGTCGCGAAACCCAGCGACCTGCCCTCCCCTTGTCATCAATTTGCAATTCGCGGTGGAGCAGCCGGGTTTCCTTTTTTTTTCGTCGCCATTTGCCAGCTTGGCCTGACTGAAGCCGACGGGGAGAGAAGGACATTCAACATTACAGGACCCTTCCCCTTCTTATTTCTACCCCCCCTAATGGTAGAAGGTATTGGTATCGGGTATTGGTTCGGGCCCTTTGTCTGAAGCCACGCAGCTACGGGGCGACTGGAATCGCATTCTCGAGTGTCGAGATCGCCTTTTTTTTTCTTTCTTTTTTCGAAGAACGGGACCCGAGAGCGAAACTCCATAATAATACGCGAACGAGAAAGCATACCTGGTCGGAAGGCCCTCGTACTACCGCGAATTCGATTGTAGACTCGTAACCGAGAACGCTTACGCTTCCTCGTCCTCTGCCTCCCTCTCTATCCGCCGAGCTATCTGCCCTTCTCCGACCGATCCTCCGCGAATGGCACCTACGCCGTCTCCCTAAGCTCGGCGCCAACAATGAGCTCTTTAGTCTTCGTCGTGTCCTCTCTCGAGGCCATCGCCGCGTCCAAGGATGCGCAGAGGAACAAGCAGCTCGCCGAGCTTGCCGAGACTGCCCTCAAGGCCATCAAGGAAGAGGGTTCCCGACTGCCCGAACTCGACGTCGTTTTCGCTCCCCTACAGCTAGCTACTAAGACTGGCAGCAGCCAGTTGATCAATACCGCCCTCGATTGCATACAGAAGCTAATCTCCTCGTCTTATTTTTCGTTGACTGTGGCCGCGACCGCGCCGCAGGGGGAAGATGGCGCCGAGCAGGTCCCCATGATCGACCGAGCTATCGACACGATATGCGACTGTTTTCAAGGCGAAACTACCCCCGTCGATGTCCAGCGGCATATCGTGCAGGCCCTCCTAGCCGCCGTGTTAAATGACAAGATAGTCGTCCACGGCGCTGGATTGCTCAAGGCGGTGCGCCAGGTTTATAATGTCTTCTTGCTGTCCAGGAGCCCAGAGAACCAGCAAGCTGCCCAGGGGACTCTGACGCAAATGGTTGGCATGGTGTTTGAGAGGGTCAAGACAAGGCTGCACATGAAGGAAGCCCGCACGAACCTGAGAAAGCTGGAGAAGCGCAGTTCCAGCAACGTCACCTTCGAGCAAACCGAATCCGCCCTCAACGGAAGCGGCGCCGCCGGCGATGGCGACGTGACACCTGACGAGACCGCGACGGATACAGCCTCCGAGGTCGCGCTGTCTGGGTCAACGAAGGAAGTGGGTGGCAAGTTGACCCTGAAGGACCTGGAGAGCCGGAAGAGCTTCGACGATTCCAACCTAGGCGATGGTCCGACTATGGTCACGCAGTTAATCCCCCCCCAAAAGTCGCCGGGAAGGGCTTCGGAGCACACGCAGAGCGATTCGGCAACCGAAGCAGACGAAACCACCGACTCTCTAGATGCCGAGGACGAGGTCTACATCCGAGATGCCTATCTCGTTTTCCGATCGTTCTGCAACCTGTCGACCAAGATTCTGGGCCCCGACCAGCTGTACGATCACCGAGGACAGCATATGCGATCCAAACTCATATCCCTCCACCTGATTCGCACCCTTCTCAACAACCACATGCTCGTTTTTACCTCGCCCCTATGTACCATTACCAACACGAAAAACAACGAGTCCATCGGATTCCTCCAGGCGATCAAGTTCTACCTCTGCCTTAGTATCACTAGGAATGGAGCTAGCTCTATAGATAGAGTATTTGAGGTGTGCTGCGAGATCTTCTGGTTGATGTTGAAATTCATGCGAGCGCCGTTCAAGGTACGTGAGAGCGCATTCCATCCATCCATCCGGGAATTTCGGCTATCTAACAGCGCGATTATAGAAAGAAATAGAAGTCTTTCTCAACGAGATATACCTTGCGCTTCTAGCCCGTCGAACGGCACCTCCCTCTCAGAAGGCGTATTTCATCAACATCCTGACCAGATTTTGTGGTGATCCTCGCGCGCTCGTGGAGACGTACCTCAACTACGATTGCGATTCCCATGTCGATAACCTATTTCAAACCATCATCGAAGATTTATCAAAGTTAGCCATCGCGCCCGTACCGATCACCCCCTTACAAGAGCAACTATACGAAGAGAGGAACTCGAATTCGAATAGCGGCTCAGATTGGCAACTCAAAGGAATGCTACCCCCTCCGTTAAACGTGAGAGATATCATGCCCCCTAGTGAGGTGGAATCCGAAGTGCCCAAGGAGTACACGATCAAGAGAACAGCTTTGGACTCGCTCGTCGAGGCTTTGCGGTCCCTTGTTAACTGGTCTGTCGTTGGGCGTCCAGACGTCGGTAGCTTGTCGCGTGATAGTGACATAAGGGCATCGGAGGACGTTCGAGAGTCGATTGACCCTTCAGCCACCGATAGTAATCCTCGCTTTGAGTCGCCCATACCTCCGCCCACCCCCATTCTCGACGACGACCCGGCTCAATTGGAGAAAGAGAAGGCCCGTAAAACCGCCCTGCACAACGCCATCCGCCAATTCAATTTCAAGCCGAAGAAGGGAATCAAGCTTCTGCTCCAGTCAGGGTTCATCCCGAGCGACAGCCCCGAGGATATAGGCAGGTTTTTGATATCAGATGAACGGCTCGACAAGACGCAAATAGGCGAATATCTAGGCGAGGGCGATGCGAAGAACATTGAGATTATGCATGCTTTCGTCGACACCATGGACTTCGCCAGGAGGCGATTTGTCGACGCCTTGCGACAATTTCTTCAGTCCTTCCGCCTACCCGGCGAAGCCCAGAAGATCGATCGTTTCATGCTCAAGTTCGCCAATCGTTACGTGACGGGCAATCCGAATGCTTTCGCCAACGCCGACACGGCCTACGTTTTAGCTTATTCCGTTATCCTGCTGAATACCGACTTGCATAGCAGTAAGATTGCCAAGCGCATGAGTAAAGAGGATTTCATCAAGAACAACCGAGGTATCAATGACAACGCCGATCTACCAGACGAGTACCTCATCGGTATTTACGAGGAGATCGCCAGTAATGAGATCGTCCTGAAGAGCGAGAGGGACGCCGCTGCCGCCGCAGGCAATTTGCCGGCGCAGCCGTCGGGCTTCGCCGCCGGACTCGGGCAAGCCCTCTCAAACGTCGGTAGGGACTTGCAGCGCGAAGCGTATGTGCAACAATCGGAGGAAATTGCCCTTCGTTCGGAGCAGCTCTTTAAGAACCTATTCAAGAACCAGCGGAGAAACGCAGCCAAGGCCGGGATCAAGTTCATCCCGGCGACCTCTTTCAGGCACGTCGGCCCTATGTTCGACGTGACCTGGATGTCGTTCTTTTCCGCGTTTTCAAGCCAGATGCAGAAGGCGCAGAACCTGGAAGTGAATAAGCTGTGTCTAGAGGGGATGAAGCAAGCCATCAGAATCGCCTGCCTCTTTGACTTGGCCACCCCACGAGAAGCATTCATGTCCGCCCTTAAAAATGCGACAAACCTCAACAACCCTCAGCAAATACTCGCCAAAAACGTCGAGGCTTTGCGGGTCATATTGGAACTGGGCCAGACCGAGGGAAATTACTTACAAGAGTCGTGGAAGGACATCCTCATGTGTATTAGCCAGCTTGACCGGCTGCAGCTGATCACCGGCGGTGTGGACGAAGGGGCCATTCCCGACGTCTCCAAAGCGCGCTTCATACCGCCGGAGAGATCGAGCACAAATGATTCTCGAAAGTCTGCCGCTGCCCCTGCGCGACGAAGAAATCGGTCCAGCTCCGGGTCAAGGGGTTTCTCCACGGAGATTGCGCTGGAGAGCAGGTCTGACGAAGTTATAAAGGGTGTAGACCGGATCTTCAGCAACACGGCAAATCTCACGGGCGAAGCCATCGTGCACTTTGCGAAAGCCCTGACCGAGGTGAGCTGGGACGAGATCAAAGTGTCAGGATCGAACGACTCCCCTCGTACGTATAGCTTGCAAAAGATCGTCGAAATCAGTTACTACAACATGACGCGTGTCCGTTTCGAGTGGACCAACATCTGGGCTGTGCTCGGCGAGCACTTCAACAAAGTAGGATGTCACAACAATACCGCGATCGTGTACTTCGCGCTCGACTCGTTGCGGCAACTGTCGATGCGCTTCATGGAAATCGAGGAGCTTCCGGGTTTCAAATTCCAAAAGGACTTTTTGAAGCCGTTCGAGCACGTCATCGCGAACTCGAGCAATCTGACCGTCAAGGACATGGCCTTGCGGTGTCTAGTCCAGATGATCCAGGCCCGCGGCGAGAATATTCGATCTGGTTGGAGGACGATGTTTGGCGTGTTTACTGTGGCGGCGCGCGATCCCAACGAGACTATCGTGAACTTGGCCTACGAAAACGTGACCCTAGTTTACAAGACGCGCTTCGGCGTTGTCATCTCACAAGGCGCATTTACGGACTTGATCGTCTGCCTGACCGAATTCTCTAAGAACATCCGATTCCAGAAGAAGAGTTTGCAAGCCATGGAGACGCTCAAGTCCATAATACCGAAGATGCTCAAGACTCCCGAATGCCCGCTGTCCCACAAGCCCAGTCCAGCCCCCGCGCCGGAGCCCAACGGGGTAAACCCAGCCGACGGGCCGCCGAGACAGCAGAGAGGTACCTCCATCGAGGAGGGATTCTGGTTCCCGATTCTCTTCGCGTTCCATGACGTGCTGATGACGGGAGAGGACCTGGAAGTCCGATCTAACGCATTGAACTATTTCTTCGAAGCCCTCCTCCGCTATGGCGGCGACTTCGCGTCGGACTTCTGGGACATCTTATGGAGGCAGCAGCTCTATCCCATCTTCATGGTCCTACGTTCGCGGCCCGAGTTAACCAACGCCCTCAATCACGAGGAGCTATCCGTGTGGCTTTCCACCACCATGATTCAAGCTCTACGAAACATGATCGTTCTCTTCACCCACTATTTCGACGCCCTGGAGTACATGCTCGATCGGTTCCTCGAGCTGCTTGCGCTTTGCATCTGCCAGGAAAACGATACCATCTCCAGGATAGGCAGCAACTGCCTGCAGCAGCTGATCTTGCAGAATGTGACGAAATTCAACGATGCTCACTGGGCCCTCATCGTCGGCGAGTTCTGCGAGCTGTTCGAGAGGACAACGGCCTACCAACTCTTCTCCGCCACTACGATAAACGCCCCGTCTGCACTGTCGCCACCGCCGGCCAGCCTAGGGTTTGAGGTGCCTCTCACTCCAACAGAAGAATCGCCGACGGACGAAAGGTCGTTGAAGATCACCAGCAGCGACAAACAAGGGACTCTTCCTAAAGCAGACTTAACCTCTGCCGCAGCTCCCGACAATACCGATACGGAAGATTCCCTGCGCACGCCGACAAACGGCACGGTTCCATCCCGCCTCGAAGACTACAAGCCTACATCCTCGCTACAGCAACAGCCCGTCGTGGTTACGGCGGCCCGGCGACGCTTCTTCAACCGCATAATATCCCGTTGCGTGCTACAGCTTCTCATGATCGAGACCGTCAACGAGCTCTTCTCCAACGACTCGGTATACGCCCAGATCCCGTCGGCGCAGCTGCTGCGCCTGATGGCGCTCTTCAAGAAGTCGTTCCTCTTTGCCCGGCGATTCAACGAGGACAAGGACCTGCGCATGCGGCTGTGGCGCGAGGGGTTCATGAAACAGCCGCCAAACCTGCTCAAGCAGGAGAGCGGCTCGGCGGCGACGTACATCCAAATCCTGTTCCGGATGTTCGCGGACACGTCGCCGTCGCGGGCGGAGAGCCGGCCGGAGGTGGAGAAGGCGCTGGTGCCACTGTGCAAGGACGTGATCCGGGGCTACCTCGCGCTCGAGGAGGAGTCGCAGCAGCGCAACATCGCGGCGTGGCGGCCGGTGGTGGTGGACGTGCTCGAGGGCTACTCGACGTGGCCGGACAAGGAGTTCAGCGAGCACGTGCGCGCCTTCTACCCGCTCGCCGTCGAGCTGCTGGGCAAGGAGCTCAGCCCGGACCTGCGGGGGGCGCTGCTCGCGGTGCTGCGCAAGGTCGGCGAGGTCGAGCTCGGCATCGAGGGCATGGCGGCGAGCGGGCGCAGGGACAGCGTCCTCAGCGTCAACGCCAACGCCGCCGCCGGTGGCGTCCACACCGCCGAGCTCGAGGTCGGCGAGGTCGGCATGGGGGGCCTGAAGGCGTGAGAGTGGTGACCTGAGGGGAAAGGGGGTATGGTATACTCGTACTACGTCGCTGCTTCCGTCTCGCCAGAATAGAAGGAGCGAAGCTGTCCCGCGGAGGATGGAATAATGTCTCGGCCATTTTTCGGCTCTTTTGCTAGTTTCTTCCTCTCTGTTCCCCCTTTTTTTTTCTTTTTACGACCGCACCCGGGAGGGTGCGCGTGTGTATGTATACTCATACTGGAACTAGAAAAAGCCGGAGCGGCAGATAGACTGCGGTCCCGTTTGGTGTTCGGGGCGGGTGGGTAGGGAGGCGGATTAGGGGAATATCTTATTTTTTCTTTCCCCTGTCGTTTCCTCCTCTTCTTCTTCTCGCTTCTTTCTCTCGCCCGTCGCGGCTCGTCTAACGAAGAACTGCCGGCGGCGGCGACGACGGCTACGCACTTCCCCTTGCCCACCCTCGCCCGCTCGCCGTATCCGGCGCGTGTTCCGCGCTGCGGGTCGGAGGGGGGGGGGGGGGAGGGTAGGTATGTTGTCCACGTGTGTATGCGTGTGCAGGGACGTGGGGACGTGTCTGGGGTACGGTATGGTATGTAGGTCCGGTTGCTGCGTGTCGCCCTGCGGGGGAGGCGACGTGGACTCGGCCGCCGAGGGGCTGCCTCGTGTCGTCTGTACGATACGCTGCTGCGGTATATAGGTACCGATATTAACACACACGCACATATTATACACATATACTCTACCCGTGCAATTCCAGGCGACGCGTTACGATGCCCGTCTTATGACTACCTCGTCTCGGGATGGTGGGTAGGGGGACGTGGCGGTAGCAAGAGGAGAGAGAAAAGGGGCGGCGGGCGTGTGTATGAAGACATATGCTAGGGTGAGGTGAGCCTCGCTGCACACCGCGGGGGAGAGGGGCAACGGAACGGAGACGACAGACATGCTTGCCTCTCCCATCCGTCACGCATCTCATCCTCCGCGACGATGTCGAAAAGCGGACGGCCTCGCCCCCTACGTGGATTCGTGAGTCAAGGCTCGTTAATGTCTTCGTCTTTAACCCTTACTACCGCTAACCCCGATGATACCCCTTATACCGGACAACAAAGACGCCCCGCAGACATCCACCCCCCCCCAATACTATACGTAATAGGAGTACTACATTTCCAACTCCAACTCGCGTTTACTAAGACCCCGACCGAGCAGGTTCGAACGGGGTGCAAAGACGGGCAGGTAGACCGCCGCACCTCGCCACTGCGCTGGTTCATCCGCGGCCGTCTTCGTAACTACGCGTAGACCGTCGAGATTGAAACGGGCCAAGATGCGCACACCTACCCACGCGTGCATGCTTGCTTACTTACCCCCTTACCATTACCCTACCCGTCCTACCCAGGCCCGACGGCAGCAGTAGTAAGGATAGCGACTGCGGAACGCGAGGGGGAGGAACCAGAGCCTAAACTCCAGCCCCTGGCCGCGTCTACGGAGCGTGGAGTCGTTGCGGGGTTTCTGCGGCGTCGGGAGGGTGGCTTTACTTGTTGGTCGTTTAGCCTGCCTATACCTAGGTAAGAAACATCTGGGAAGGGCTCTGGCTTGGAAGTGCGGCGGGATCAGGCGCACATACACTCCTCCCCTTTTCTCTCCATATATCCTAGAGGGCCTGGGTACGGACAGCGCATGAAATATTGGCCTAATAACCCAGACAAACTAACATCACCTCGCCCAGACGTAAGGAAGGCATACGGTCATCCCAATCACACTCTCTGACATAGGTATACAGACGTAATATAGCCCGCTATCCCACCTGTGCACCCACGCACCTCTTTACCGAGTCGAGGACGGTCGTGGTACTGAAGAGCAACCGCCGTTCGTTCTGCAAGTTGCGCAAGGCCAAGATGAGAAGCCTCGTCTGCCACACCTTTCATATCCTTTTCCTCCTCTTCATCTTCAGCGTCGCTTCTAACGTATAGCAGTGTGATGAGAATTGGCCTGCCTGCGACCGTATACATCGGTGCTGAGAAGCGTGCGGCAGGCACTTTGGGAGGCGAAGTCCGGCGATGGTGGCGACAGCGGCAACTGCGAGGCGCTTGCCGCGCAGGCCTTACTCCAGAAGGTAGGCAGAGATGAGCAACGAATTCCCAACTGTCAGTCGGTGTCACGAGAATTTTTCAGACCGGACTGGCTGAGGCTTAGAAGGGAGGGGTTGAACTGCCCAGTTGACATGGCGCTTGACGCGCGGCGCAAATCAGGAGAACCATGCCGCCGGTCTCAAGGCCGCGACAAGTCGAGGGGGCCACTCGCAGACGTTGAACGACTTCAAGTTCTTCCTCATGTTTGGCAGCTTTTACAACATAATAAGCAGACAGACAGCATCACGCCCCTCATCCAACGAGAAGAATGGCCGGTGAAGGCGCCTACACATTACAAATCATGCCCGCTAACGGTATCACGATACGACATAGCTGCAGGTGGACGTACGGCTTGGGCGCGACAGCGTATTTGCGGAACATGACTGGCGTGCAGCCCTCACGCGGGCGATCGACGACACTAGCAGAAGCCTCCGGCCCGCGGTCCGGGCGACGTATCGGCTTTGGGTTGAGATGGCTGTGCGGCCGACGCTGACGTGATAGGGCAATGGATAGAAGCCACGATTATGGCGAGCGTCAAGGGGTCTGTACGCCGTTTATAAAGACTCAAGACATTAGCGTCGAGCTGGGTCGATTGGGCCGCCGTTGCGGATCGATCGTAAGAGACAAGCGAGACTGTAACTGCAACGGATGCTTATGTTTTATGTCGAGAGGGGGCACCTAGTCTGCAATTACGGGCGAAAGAGTAGACTCATCTATTGAACCGAAATGGATATAGTCTTAAAGACGGATACAGCCAGCGTACCATGTATTATTTTTTATTCCATGTGTAAACACCCAATCTCCCTTTCTTCGGGGAAGGATACGCTGTGGGGTGGTACTGACATTCTATCCGACGCAGGTTTGCGCGAAACGGTCGCCTAGACTGGCAGGTCGACATGGTTTGGCTGTTCGCAGCAGGGATACATTGAAGTCACCGGCGGAATCGCCTCGCTAGCACTCGGGGCTGGGTGTGACTATGCCTAGACCCTTACTGAGAACCTAGAACCTCTTGTATGAATCGGCCGAGGTCATCGGCCTCTTCAGGCACTGTACGCTCAGGTAGGGAGAGAATTGCGGCTTTTAGGACGTTGTCTCGCGAGGTCGCATCTCCCAGCAGCTTCGTGAGGGTTTCCATCTTATATGTGGAGAACGGGGTGATCCGCTGGATGCTGAGAAACGTCTCGAGGAAGTCGATGAGGTTCAGGTGCATCAGCATGTCCTCCCTGTCGACCATATGCAAAGTAGCGAAGTGCAACAGCCCGCCGTCGCCCTCGAAGCCGGCGTACCGCTGATTCAGGTCGGCAAAATCTGTCCGAGCCACGGCGCCGAAGTTGAGAGCCGCCAGCCTCGGTAAGACCCTCAGCAGGCGGCCTTGCGCGAGGGTTAGTTGCTTGGTGCTGAGGCCGCCCTCGGCATTCTGGTGCGGCCCACGGCTGTTGAGCGACAGTACGAGGCCGTATATATCGCGGTCTTGAAATATTCGCCGCCACATCAGCCCCTGCCCTGGGGGCCTTCTCACGGTAATCTCGGTCCCGTTCACGGATAGACCGTCTGGCGGTCGAGTATCGCAGTCGACGTCGAGCAGATCCCCCAAGACTCTCGATCCCTTCTCGCCGACTTCGACCTGGGGCGCGCTCAGCCACCTGGTCACGAACTCGGCCACGACATTGCTCATCATGGCCAATATAGCAGCGTCGCTCGGGGACCGCGCCGCCTTCTCAAGAATCGACATGGCCAAGATGTTGGCAGACGGCGCGGGAGAGCGCAAGGCTTGTATGAGAGATTCTTCGGGTGCTATGGATAGGATCTGGGTGAAGCCGAGGGGGGCGAGGAGCTTGATGGCTAGGCTACACAAGATGGCCGGGTCCTGCTGGTACTGCTTGAGGATATCGGTGATCTTGGGGAGTAGACGGGGAATCAGGGATGGGATGTTGGCGTCTAGGTGAGAGGTAAGCAAGCGTCTTGCCAGCGTCGCCCGGCAGTGCACACAGTCTATAGGTATATATGCCATAACCGCTCAGGGCGCACTCCGCTGGACTTACCTGTCAGCTGCAGCTCTACGTCGTCGAACAATTTGAGAGTCGGCTCCAGAGTAGGATCGGCGAGCAGCTCGTCGAGATGCTTCTCCAACTCGTCAACCCCGGTGACAGGTATCGTGTCGACGTCCATCTTGACGGCGATCCGACTCATCGGGAGGAGAGAGGGCGGTGTAGTAGTGGCAGTAGTAGTAGTGGTGGTGGTGGTGCGGTGGTGGTGCTATGAGCTCGTTCCGAGCTCGGTTCCTCGGCTGTCCGGGCCGAGGAGATCGATGCTCTTCGATCGATGAGGATTGGGGAGGTGGCGATCTGGAAAGACGGAGAGAGAGAGAGAGAGAGAAAGAGTCGGAAATAGGAGAGTAGACGAGAGTAGACGAGAGTAGAAGAGGGAGGACGAGAAGGGGGGAAGAGTATATGTACTTTTGGTTGCCTTAGAGCTACCCCCTACCTAAGCTACTGTCGAGGAGGCGGGATCGACGGACAGATGGCTTTTGGCTACGTACCGCCGTACCGACTTCCGTCCCGAGCACGATAATAGCCAGGAGGCAGGCAGAGGGGGACGCGTGGTGGATCGCGACGTCCCTATCGTAGCTGTGGTGGGGCCCGCGGGGTGCTGCTTCGCTTCACCGTTGCCACCGCGAGTGCGGGGCAGACAAGTATTTTGTGGCTGGTGCCCCGCAATCGGTACCTGCTCCGCCCTGCGTCGGCCGCTGGATGGTTCAGGTACCTTCTGGGGGTAGGTACCGGACTGTGGGGTAAGTACTTAGCCAGGTACTACCTCTAGGTAGAGGAGGCCGGGTACCTCTCTATTTTGTGCCAGGGGAGTTCCGCCGCAATTATTAGCAGCCCGTCATCCCATTCCACTTCTGACTCCTCCAACTCGCCTCCCTCTTTTTTCTCCCGCTGGACACATCCTTACCCGACGCGTGGAAGCACAGCCCGAGCTCACATCCCCGCCGACTTGTCCCACCCATCCGTCCCACCACGTTTCCACGCGACCCGCCGAGACCGATTCTCCAAATCAACATCAGCGAGGAGAGGAGGAGCAGACCGCAGCACAAGGGCCAACCTCGCACCGCCATGTCCGGGCGCGGCAGAGGCAGAGGTGGCCGCGGCGGCTTCGGCGGGGGCCGCAAGGCCGCGCCCCAGGGCATGCCCGGCGGCGACGAGCCGGGCCTCATGTTCAACGGCGAGCCGCAGGGCACGTATCCGGTACGAGCATTCCCGCGCCCCCTGCCCACCCGTGCCGTCCCACGCCCGCGCGCGCGCATCTACGCGGAACCGGGATGAGAGAGGCATCATCGCTAACGCAGCTCCGGTGCAGAAATACAAAGTCCCCGTCGCCCCGCCGCTCTCCCCCTCGGAGGATCGTGCCGTCGCGTCCTTCGTCGCCTTCCGCCGGGCCTTCCACGGCACGCCCTTCTACACCCACCGACAGCTCGCCAGCAACCCTTCCTCGTCCTCGGCCCCGTCTCACCCCGCCGCCGGCCCTTCTCTTACCGAATCTTGCGCTGCCACCGCCGCCGCGTCCGGGAGGCCAGTCCCGCCCGGGAGCGACGGCGCCTCCCGCCCCGTCCAGCGCGCCTACGGCCAGGCCCAGATCAACGCGCGCTTCAGCGTCCGCAGCCGCGCCACCCTCGACCCTTTCACCGCCGTGCCGCTGTGGAGCAACCGCTTCACCGACGAGGCGCGCGTGCTCCCCGACCTCAAGCCGACCTCCTCCTCCGCCGCCCGCCCCCGTCGCGCCAACTACATCGTCGATTTTTTCCCCGACGAGGTCCGCGCCACGCTCGAGGGCCGCGACGCCGGCGGCTTCCGGGGCGGCTTCCTAGCCGCGCGGCCATCGCCCCCGGACGGCGCGAGCTCGCGCGGCCGCCGACGTCCGCACCCCGCTAGCGGCGGCCATCGCCCCCGCCGCCTCAACGGCCACGCCTTCGACGACGAGACCGAGGAGCAGCGCAAGGCGCGCGTCGACGCCGCGCTCAAGGACGGCGATCAGGACGCCGCCCCCGGCGAAGCCGGCGCCGACGGTAACAATGTCGACGACGAGGATGAGGAGGCCCTCGGCTCCCAGGAGGACGACGACTACGCCGACGACGACGATGACTACGATGGTGACTACAACGCCGAGGCCTACTTCGACGACGGCGCCGACGACGACTTCGGCGAGGAGGAGGGCGTTGGCGAGAGCGCTATGGACTTCTGATCCCCCCCCCGACTTTCCCCTACCCCCTTCTAATACTACACTCGTCCCTGTTAGAATATTGCAGGGACGGACTGTCGCACCTGGCAAGAATAGAGAGCTATCATTTTCCTCATCAGATCCTATCTGACTTACCTAGTTAGCAAAGGCTTATTACCCTCGTATGGAATCGGCGCCCTTGATAGATATAGGTACACGGATGAATGGACAATTTAGTGAATCACAGTCTTATCCTAAGACATATCAGAAGGGTTATTGACATTTGCACACATACATACCTACGCGTTAATTCGTTGGCGATGTGTTGCCAGTGTAATTACGGTCAACCGAGCTGTCCGTGTTGATTCATACGTGCTACACCATCCTCCATGATTCTTCGACCCAAAGCTAGCAATAACACTCGCTTCCCGAGACGTCCCTCCCCCCCTTTTCACTCCATCATCATTCGCTAACATTACCGATATATGCTTTGCAAATGAAATATCGATAAACCCAACTGATACTAAGCTCAAACCCAGTGAAAACGAGGGACATGCAGAGTTTATGGGCATTTTTAACGCGCTATCAGCGAGATTCAACTATGTCAACTCATTGCACCCAAATCCAGCAAAACGAAGAAATGCAGAGAAAGAGACACGGTATAGTGCTACCCTTGGATTCCCTATTTTCCCTGGCCCGATGGTGCAAAAACACGTTCAGGACATCTCAGAATGGGAGGGGAAAGAGATGGTGGGATGAATCTAGGAGATCCATCCAGCGAAATAGACTTGTCTTCCCCCCTTCCCTTCATAATCTATCTACCTCTGTTGTCCTTTTACATTCGCCGGCCTCGGACAGGATAGCTGAGAACGATCTTGGGGTGGATGAGATAGCCCAGACCGTATCTAAAAGTAGCTACGCATGGCGTCTTGATACCCGGTACCGCCTTTGAGGTCCTGTTCAAAGTTCTGTTGGACGTTGAGGACCTCGCGAATATGTCGCATACTAAGGGGTTCTCCCTTGTTGACAGCAAGTGCTTGCGCAGTGCCTACCGTGTTCTTAATCTGGCGACCGTTGAGGTTGTGCCGTGCGAGGGTTGTGTAGTCTTCTTCATCAAACGGCATCAGATCGACCCCGGCCACTGCCCGTGCCCTCTCGATGAATATCTTGAAAATCGCCCTCTTGGCCTTAACATCCAAGTCGTCGTATCGTAATGCGATGTGGATTCGCGACTGGAAAGCGTCATCAAAAGTCTATAACGAAGGGAAGAATCGGAGTCAGCTAATTTCGTCCCAAGATCCAAGGAGGGAGAAAGGACACTAGGAAGGTCCCAAAACGTACCTGGACGCGGTTTGTCGTTAAGAACAGAATACCCTGGAAATATTCCAGCTGTCGTAGGAATATGCTAACGAGGGCGTTGCGGTGGATGTCGTGCATATTGCGTTTCTCGAGGAATACGTCTGCTTCGTCCAGAAGCAGGATAGCACCCCAAGCATGACATATGTCCAGAATCTTCTGCAACTCCGCCTCGAGGTAGCGTGAATCCGTCCCAAGATCGCCAGCAGATACCATGTAGAGAGGACATTTGAGCAGCTCGCTTATTCCCTCCGCAGTCAAGGTTTTGCCCGTACCTGGCGGTCCATGCAGGACAGCCACGAGACCTTTTCCTTTGCCCTGGATGACATCGTCGATACTCTCAGCCGGATGGTACTTGTGGGATTCTACGAGAGCCTAGAAAAGTCGATGTTAGCAGAAATACCCGAGGTTGGAATCCTTGATTTCGCTACTTGCCTTGACGATTTCCTTTGTGCTCGGCTGCAGAACCAAAGAGTCATAAGCATGCTCATTCCAAGATATCTCCTTGATTCCGGAGACCGTGAACTCGAGCCAAAGCTTTTCAGCGAAGGCGAAGCCCAGGACAACTGGAGAGGCAATCAAATATTCTTCATCTGTGAAGACCGGGGGAGCGTCGTCGTCCTTTTCATCTTCTCCAGCTTCTCCGGGTCCACCGCTCTTGGCAACCTCGTCTCCGTTCTCTTCGCCCTGGCTGGCGACCTTGTCCAGTTTTTCGTGGGCCTCGGTCTCGACAAAGTCCTTCGGGATGCGTATGCTGCGTACGTTTCCCTTCGTGTCTTTGTATACCTTAGTTACGTATTTGACCTTCCCGTCATCTCCGTCGTCGGCCTGCTCGAGATCTCCACCACCGCCTCCTTCTTCGTCCGACTCGCAACCGCAACCGCCGCCATCCTCGTCGCTAGCTTCGTCGTCACTAAGTACGTCGTGATCTTTGGGCCTAACAAGCGAAACAGGATAGTTCGGGTTGATGCGGCGATGGATGGCTGGGTCAACCATGATCCGGCCGTTAATGTTGACCTTGATCACAGCCTTCTTCTTTTTGTGATAGGCCATCCCTTGGTGGCTCTTGTAGTGCACCCCACCGAGACTGACAAATTTCTTGCCGCGATCGATGAGCTCTTTCCGTAACTGGGCCTCGTTTTTGTGATACTTCAGAGGGTAGCATCCCAAGCTAGTAATCTTGCGGGCGCCCCTAAACTCGGAAATCTCCTCGGACATGCTGCCGTATCCAAACTGTTTGCCGTCGAATTCGAAATACTACAGAGCGAGGATGTCCTGATTAGGAGCGTGACTAGGAGCTAATATACGGTGCCGAACTCACCTTGCCTTCCACGTAGTAGAATTCTCCTTTCACGATGCTGTAATGCTTCTCTGCGACTTCGACCTTGAAGATACGCGGCTCGTCGACGGAACCGTACGTTGTGGTATACGCGAGGGTGTTCGGTTTCCAGAGAGCCCATAGGAGGTCAAATGTGATGAGGCCATTCTCTAGCATAGGGTATAAGCTAGTAGGGAAATAAGCTGCCCGTACACCCGTATCGCAGGTGAGGAAACACATGTACTTACCTCTTCTTCGTCTCGGCATGATCTGTGTCAAGGTATTTGATGAGAACTCGAAGATGTCGTCGCTTCTCGTCGATCCACTTCTGAACCTTCCTACGGTCCCTGCGTGTGTCTCCCTCCGGCTCGAGATCCTTGAGGTTTTTCATGTGTTCGCGCATATCCTCGAGGTACCTAGGCATCTGGTTAGGGGCGAACCAACGGCGACGATAATGACGAAATAGGGTCGAGCGAGAGCGGAGGGGGAACCTACAGAAACAACATCTTGGGATCCAGCTTCGGAGTCTCTTCGACGAGGCTCACGCCTTTGACGTTTCCGATAACATCCTGCAGGGCTTCCCGAAGTTGTTTGCTCTTGACGTCAACTATCGTGGTCTTGTACTTGCCCTCCCAATCGAAAGTCCTCCTCACGTGAAAGAGATACTCGTCGTACTGGGAATTGCTTGGGTCCTCGGCCGTATCCTGAAGCTTGTAGTTGTGGATCTGTGAATCCCAGACCTGGTCCACACGCTTGAACTCGAGACGTCGCGTAACCGTCTTAGCACCACGGCCGTTTTTCGTTCTGGCCGGCTTGGCGCCGTTTCCTGCACTGCGATTCCATAGCACATCATCACCTGAAGGGAAACGTCTTCCGCGTCCTGGCGGACCCTTGTAACCTCCGAGAGCCTTAGCCATGGTTAGTAACGGGTCGACCCCCATATTATATTGTCCAGTCAGGCCCGGGTTGCCCAAAGCAGCCGACTGAAGATGTCCGGCGCCACCCAAGGTACCCGGGTTCAGACCGGGATGGAGGCCTGCTCCGCCATTCCCTAAACCGAAAGATGCCATTTGGCGCTGCAGGTTCTGCACCTGGAGACGCATATGTGAAAGCTCTTCCTGCATAGACGCGTTGCTGTTGGAGCCCTTCTTATCATGATGGTCTGAGTCGTCGGCCTCGTCGATGTCACTAGTGTCGTCATCAGAAGCCTGAACTTGGACCTTTAGCTGCTTCGAAGATGTTTTCGATGCCTTGGCTGATTTGCTCTTCGACTTCCGGCTATCCTGACGCTTTTTTTGAGGCCGCTTCTTCTTTAACTTCTCTTCGACACTAGAACTGGACTCCGACTTGCTCGACTCGTCCGAGGATGAGCTGTCAACATCACTATCGCTGGCACTGGAGCTCCCACTAGTCGCAGCCGGTGCCTTCTTGGACTTGCCCTTTTTTGACTTTTTGTCCTTGTCAGCCTTCCTATCGGCTTTCTTATCCGTTCTCGCCTCCTTATCCTTCTTTACCGACTCCAGGGGTACTGTTGATGGTCCCTCCTCAGTCGGGCGTGTCTTTGCACTGTTTTCGTTGGAAATACCACCCTCGCGGCGGTCAGTCGGAGGGGTGGTTTTTGCGTCTTGCGACTCCATTTTCAGGTCGATTTTTGACGCCATATCAGCCCGAAAGTTCTAAGGAGGCCACTGCCGGGCACCTAGGAAAATGAGGTTGAAGGAAGTATGTTGGGGTGGAGGGTTCAAATGAAGAATAAATAGACGGGAAAGCAGTGGTGGAGGGATTGGTGTTAAAACACCGAGGCCAAAGTCAAATGGCAATAGGCGAGGGGCTCACGTGTCCCTGTGCAATACGGACACAGGGAATCAGGTAATCAACTCTCGTGTATGCTTCAGGCCAGTCTAGTTCAACATTACTTTGTAAGCAAAACGGAACGATTATGGATAGAATAGTGGCGGATGAGCGAAAAACGAAAGGGAAGCAAGGAAGCTGAGGGATAGGCAGTTGTGTAATTTAAGCGGTGACAGATGTCGAATCCTCTTTGGACCACCTCGCCTATAGCATCGAGACCGGTGCGGTTGCCACGCGTTACACAACAATACGGGTCTCGTCGTTCACGAAAAGACGCTGGCATACTAGAAGAGGCGAATACCATGAGGAAAAATGCCTGGCGGGTTGCTTACCGGGTGGTGCTTGCGGTTGTTTTCGCATCAAAACTCGAAGTGCAAAATATGCTATAACTGCTAGCGGCTGTTAGTTGGAGATACAGTCGGTAATGGTCGACACTGGTCGGTGACGGTCGGATAAAATAGAATAGAAAAAGAAGAGATCGCGGAGGCGGGATGGCTCCGTAGACGAGGCTTAGCACAAGAAGGAGAACATGCCGAACCGTGCCCGTCTTCTGTCAGGGAGGAAGAGCAACCTAGAGCAGTACCCATACAAGGGCGGATGGCAGGAACTGCAAGGCTCTCTTAAGACCACCGAGGCGGGAAAGGCGGGAGGTCAATATGCTCTGGATGCCTAGCGACAACGGCTTGCCTAGGAGGCCGACACGGGTTCAGGCCTGTGGCTATGGCAGCTTGGGGGGGAGGGTGGGAGAAGGTGTGCGATATGGAGGGAGGGAGAAAGGGCAGACAGACCGATCGAGCAGACGTAGGTAGGTAGGTACCTAGGTAGGAGGATCACCAGGGGCTAGAGGGATTTTTTATAGCTGGCTGACGGTGATGCACTGTTGTAGGCAGTGGGTGGTGCCGTGCCGCAGAACGGAACGATGACGAGGACGCGAGGACGCGAGGCACTTGGGGGAGAGGATAGGAAGAAGAAGAGGAGGGAGGGGAGGTGGTCGAGAGAGAGAGAGAGAGGGAAAGGCGAGAGAGAAGAGGTGTCGACGGACGAGCAGGCTCAGAAGAGGGAGAGAGAGAGAGGGCAGAGAGATTATATGTGCGTAGGAGGGTGAATGCCGGCTGGAGGGACAGCGCAGATAATGATGTTACGGGGAGAGCGGGCAGGGCAGCCCTACACAAACGGCGGCGGCGACAGTCTGCCTTGCCAAATCGATCCAAGCCTGCCCGGTTAGGTAGGAAGCGACTTCCTCTTCCACACGAGGCAGGGACCGATGGGCTGGGAAGTCGCAAACCGACACGTGCCTGCCTGGCTGTGCCGGCGCAGGCAGATTCAAACAAAGGGAAAGCACCTCCGGCAGTCTCAGAATTGGCTAGATGCTGGATGTTGGATGCGAGATGACGGGCGGCGAGGGCAGGCAGCCCAGGCACGTAACGCGCCGAGATAGGTTCGACACGACAGTCGCAGCATGGTAACCCAGGCCGCCAGCGATGCCAAGCGAGCCCACTTCACCGATGCTGTGAGTTATACTCTGCCTACCTATGCATTTCCCTCCAGAGAAAGTTGCTATATATATATATATATACATACATAATATAGGTAACTATGCCTACCTACGTTATATGTGTGAGCGTGCTGTAAGATACCTAGGTATCTATAGGTACCTGACAACCCGCACGGATCGGGTACCTAGCTAGGTACCTATGTTACCTAGATAAATGTTGGGTACCTAGCCTAACCTAGGTAGGTAAGAGCCTAGGTACCTCCTACTATTAGGTACCTAGGTAGGTGCTCATACTCATACGCCCGCGTAGGCTGGTTGGGATTATTAGGAGGTAGGTCGGTACCTAGCGCAAGAGACTGATGCGTCCGCAAGTTTAGGGCCTGCGGTTGTGCTACCTCTTGGCCGGGGCGCACAAGATATGTACCTAGTTACCTCCCTATGCTAGGACAGGTACCTAACTGCAAGCACCCCCAGGCTGTAATCACACGGGTATCCAAGTACCTAGATACCTACCTCCTTTGGCTAGGTACTTGGGCACTCCTCGCTCCAGGTAACTTCCGGCTCCCACCGCAGCCCAGCTGATGTAGCGTCGAACCCGCGATGCACCGGACAGAAATGTATCTAGCCCGTGTAAGTAAGAACATAGGCAGCTCTCCAACCAAGTCAGCAAGCGGCGGACTTGGGAGCGGGTAGGTCCAGGAATTAATCAGGCAGGGAGGTAGGTTGGTAGAGGCAAGCAGGCAAGGCAAGCAGGCAAGCAGGCAGACGAACAGGCAATTAGGCGCTTATGTGCTGATATGGGAGCATGCTCTGCGTTGGGAGAGGGCACCAGCGCCACCCTCCTACGCCGCCGCTTCATTAGAAACTGCGCGATGCCCTCAGGTGCTGCCGGTATCTCCTCGACCGGGGCCCGCTGCTTCGATCGATTGGTCCCGTTTACTTGGTGACTCAAGAGGCTTAACCGGGGGCTAGCGGTCGTCGGGGATTGTCCTTGTTGTCCCACCAGGCTCCAATCGCCCGTCTACCCTTACTAATGCGTGCAATAACAACATCCAATCAGTTCCTATAGTCCCGTGTTCTCTCTATACCCTGCCCGCCATTGCGAGGAGGGAGGGCACAGCATATAGCTACTACCTACAAGAACAAGACACAGACTATGCGTTGATTTCCTCCGGAGCATTCGCTGTGCGCTGTTCCTATTCTCGCCAGGGCGTGAACCCGCCTATGGGGACGCAGGTGAAGTGCGTGCGGCGGATGCAAGAACAAATCAAGGTTCCATCGGCTCTAACCACCCACATCCAGGATTCCAGCCTCTGGTGCCGGAGGTATCCATACGCACACATGCATGTCTGGACGCCCGTATGTATGTGCATACGCATGATGGCGATGTATGAGGTATCAAGCGTCGCTATGTACGAGGTAAGGTAGGTAGGGTTGTCCGAGTTCACACACACCTCCCTCTTCCCACAACCCACCACGAACATACCTACCTATATATATGAGTATATATACGTGTATATACCTATGGCTATCAACACCCGAACACGGGTAGGTTGGTTGGGTTAGGTATGTTTTCGTATGACAGGTATTAATACGCCTAATATATGATATGTCGGCCAGTGCCCGTGCAGATCCAAATCGAGTTGTCTGGACTCCCGCCGCCAACCCCGCTAGCCGACCTGCCCGTCCTCGCTCTCTACCCACGTCGTCTCCGAGGGATCCTTTCCCAACACGGAGCGATAAGTAGCATGTTCCATCCTGTCCCTATTGCCCTCTCGCTACCCTACTTAGCTGAGAGGCGACCTTTGCATCTGCATATGCGGCTAGGGTGCAGCACACGGGTATCTATGCATCTACGTGCTTTACAACGCACACCTTGCCGTCTCCGCTATAACCGTCGTGTGTAGCACAGCGCCCGAGCCAAGCGTCGGCCGAATCACCAGTCGCAGGCCTGGTTGCGTGGTCGTCCTCCATGCCTCTCGACGGCCCCATTTGGACCACCCGCCCTGTTCTGTCGGTCGCTGACATCGTCCGCCGCTCGATGCTATCGTGCGCCTACATCCAGCCACGATCCCCGATCCAATAGTCAGCCCTCTCTCGCGCCTACCGCACTGCCACCTGACCAGATTCGAAAAGCGGGCGGCGCCAATGAGGGCCATGTCTTGCCAGGCTCACCCTGCGAAGTTGGCGCTGTCGATTTGCTTTACTCCCGCCCTCCTTCCCCAGAACGGCGGGCAAGAAGGAAGAAAGAAAAAAAACGAAGCTGCGGTACCCAACAGGTCTAATGCCAGACCGCATCAACACAGAAACCAGTCCGTCTATAGGTAAGCCTGTACGGGTCTCGTGGATTGGGCACTGCTATATGATTTGGTATTATGCGGCGGAGGCCATTCGATCAGCGGGTGATCCGGCACACCATTTGCTCGACTTCTATGCAATGCAGGGAAATGTTATGTTGTGTTGTGTTGTGCTGCGCCCCCGATAGCCTACGAGAGAGCGAGAGAGTCACGATGGCTTTTGTTGGTTGTGCGGTGATGCCGACCACTGTGCCGCGTGCCCCCCCTTCCCCGGGCGGAATGCGCGGGTACCTACAAGGCAACCAATTTCATCCCTGCCTGCATCTCGAAAAGATAGGTTGCCGGAGTCGAGGCTGAAGGCAATGCTGCTGCCGTGGCGAGAGCGAGATCCGACTGGCCACGAGAGATTACGCGGGCGTGCTGTAATGATTCTACCATCTTCACTTCCTCACGAAGCTCATCTTGCGGGGTACGTGGGTGTATCGCGATTGAATAGGCTCCGGGATGAGATGCCGCTGTTACGCCCGATGCCTCGTTCGCAGAAACTGACCTCGTCCCCTCGCCCTCTCGCGCCCCGAGCGAATGACGGCGCCGGAGAGGCGCCTTCTGCGTGGTGGAAGAAATTGTCCCTCGCGGTCCCACGTATCGCCATCTATCAGCAATGCCACGGGGTATAATATATGCGACGCACCGGCGGCGAAGGACCTTGGTCGTTCGTCTACATGGTTATCTGCAACGCTGCATCGCCATTCTCATCCAATCAATCGGGTATCCCTATGAAGCCTCGCGTTTAATAAACTGACCCAAGTCGGTGGAAACCTACACATGCCAAGCGCTCGCCCTTTGCGGGAACATGTCACCATGATTGCGACATGTTTGCAACCCCCCAGATTGCCGGAAAGCCACCCTTGAGAGCGCACACGTAGTTGGCCTGAGGGATTTTCCCGCACTGAGAGAATAGACAAACCGCATCATTCCTTGTTGGACCGGGAGTTTGCAGGGGGCAGGCAGAGACGGAGAGAGAGGGGAGAAAGGGGGGGTTTGTCGGTCAGCGTAGACGAACGCACAGCACCCGGCGCAGCCCATTTCCCGTTGGCTCAAGTGCTTAATCTTGGACCCGTGAGACCGAATCTGGAGACGGAGATACGCATCTGTCGCGTGGGCCGGAAGACTCTATTGGCAGGCTCTCCATGGCCGTAAATACCATCGACCTCTTAGTCAGTCCACGGCTCGAGGGAATGCGCCTCTGCCGACGTGTATACCTATGTGTAACTGTCCCTTGCCGAGTGAATGGAAAACGAGCGGCACGCTGGGTAGCTCGGAGGAGGAGGAGAGAGATCATACCGTAGCGCCTGCATTTCAGTCAACGTCACGACCGCTAGGTAGGTTGGAACTCAGCAAAGGATTCGGGCGCGGTAATGAATCATCGGTCAGCCTAGCTTACTCCCGTCAATCGGCCAGTCCAGTCCAGTTGGTGCGACGATGGGGTAAGCCTGTCCGATGAGCCTGTGTAAGTGGTAGAATTTGCGGCAATGCCTGAAATTCATGCAGGATGTGCATTTGCCTGTACAGATGTCGAATGTCGTTAGATCAAACGTCGTTAGATGGCGTTGAGCAAGGAAAAGAAGAGAAGACAGAAAAGGTGCGAGGCTCCGCGCCGCGCGTCGAGACGGACGGAATTTGTATGGATGACGGCATTGAAGCCTATGCCTGCCTACCTTATGCGGTGCCATGGGCCCTAGGCAGGTAGGTATGTAGGTACGTAATTGTACTGTACAATGCCACCAGTAGGAGCTTTAGGCACTTACATTAGGTACCTCCTCACCTGTTCATCTCTCTAAGGGGGTAGCCTTGACGTGCCCGACGTTGGGAGGCACGTACCTAGGTGCAGGTACCTACTAGGTAGAGGTATCTAGGTACCTAACGCGACCCACGGTTACTATGCATATAGGCGACCGCTCATGAACGGGTGGTATTCCATTACACGAGCTCCGGCTCGCCCGCCCAAGACAGGCAAAACCTACCTCCGCCCACGTATTACCTAATGCAGATGACGAACTTCCCTACCTATATGCATCTAACGTACTTATCGCTGCTGGTCAGGGATGCCTGCCTACGTCATAATGCCATAACTATCACAAACCTCCCTAAAATCCCATCCTCTAGTCCAACTAGACAATCCCGCCGTCGAGGGAACGATCAATCAAAGGAGAATGCCGAGAATTCCCATCTTGTCGTAGGAGACGCAGCAGAAAGGGGCGGGGTAGTGTCCGCCGACAGTTGGATCTCCTCTACATGGGGTTAAGACATTTCTCTCTTTGAGCTGCCCAGAGTGCGGTGCTCCGTCTTTTTTCTTCATCTCCCAAACTTCCTCCCGGCACCACCACTGCCGCGAGTCCACCCGCGGCGACACGACCTTAATCGCTACCTAGGGAGCTGCTCGACGGCGCTCTTGACTGTACGCACACTCGACATAGGACGCGAATATGGCGCGGTTTAGCTGGAGACAGCTTCTCAGGTGGGATCATCACGTTACGCGAAACCATCACGACTGGTCAATCCATGAGTCTCGCCGTGAACGTGAGTTAATTCTCCCATCCCTATTGTAGATGGAGCTGCCGGTTCCTATGACTAACCGCTGCCGGGCATGTCGATCCCAAGTCCTCCCTACCCACCGACACGAGTCCGTCGAGTCCGCCATCGCCGCCCCCGAGGTAACCAAGATCGCGCTGCGTCTCCGCTATCTCATCGAGCAATGCGTGCCGTACGAGGTTGAAGAACGGCAAATCACCAAGGCCCATAGTAGGATCATTACGCCGAAGGTCGTTCGGGCGGCGAAGGAAGCTGGTGGGCAGGAAAATCGATCATGTGTCGTCTATTGTCTCCTCGTTGTCCAGAACTGGTTCCACCGTCAGTCGCTCGTCGAACTGTGGGACGCGCAGCTTCATCAAGCTCGCGCCGTCGCTTGCGAGATTATCGCGAAGCAGATCATCGAAGCCGAGGAGGATATGGGCTATCTGCTGCATTCTGTCCTCCTGAAACGGTACTCGATCATCATTGACGGCGAAGCTACACATCCCGTCAACGTGATCGAGAAGGCGGTAGACCTCCACGCGCTGCTCGTGATCGGCTCTTCGGGCTATCAGAAATGCATCAGCTACCTGTGGAAGGGCTGGCTCGTCCAGGATGAGGACGACCCCTCAAATTTCGTCGATTACCGAGACCGCGACAACACCTCTTTCCTGGCGCATCTGGACCCGGATCGCATGCGTGCGCCCGTGTACCAGAATGGCCTGCAACTGGTTATATCCATCATATACCTTGCCCTGTATACTGGTGCTCTCAGCACAATCAACCCCACTGGCCACCTGGACTTCGTCGAAATCCTTCTCTACCTCTTCACATTTGGATTCGTCTTTGACGAGCTCACCAAGTTCTATAAGGCCGGGTACCACATCCTCGGTTTTTGGAACGCGTTTAACAATGTCCTATACACGTTGTTGATGGTTTCGCTCGTGATGCGCATCGTCGCCTTCACTCATCCTTGGGACGATGGCCACTCCCGCGAAAAATATAACCAATTGTCGTACAACTTCCTCGCCTTTACCGCGCCCATGTTCTGGCTTCGATTGTTGCTCTACCTGGACTCGTTCCGCTTTTTCGGCGCCATGCTTGTTGTTCTCAAGGTGATGATGAAGGAGAGCATTATCTTCTTCGCTTTGCTTGTAGCCGTCCTTCTCGGTTTCCTCCAGGCTTTCGTCGGGATGGACTTTGCCGAAGATATGACCGGAGAAAGGACCATTTTTATTCTTCAGGCCATGGCAAACGCGATTATGCAATCTCCCGACTTCAGTGCCTTCGAGCGCTTTAGTCCCCCTTTTGGAATCATCTTGTATTATCTCTTCACCTTTGTTGTCATGGTACGCCGACTCCTAGTGCCTACTGAAACCGTGGCTGCTCGTAGTCGAGTGCCGCTTGGTTGTCCGGATAATAGGAAGCTAACGTGCTACAACCACTAGGTTATCTTGCTGAATGTCCTTATTGCACTTTACAACAGCGCGTACGAGGATATTTATGATAACGCCAATGACGAGTACCTTGCCCTCTTCTCGCAGAAGACCATGCAGTTTGTTCGCGCTCCCGACGAAAATGTCTACATCGCTCCGTTCAACCTGATCGAGATATTCCTCGTAGCCATTCCTTTCGAGTGGTGGATGCCTAGGACGCAGTACGAGCACCTTAACGACATCGTGATGGGGATTATATACTCACCCCTGCTTTGCTGTTCCGCCTTGTTCGAGGTCAGGATCGCCCGGGAAATCCAACGCAATAGGAGACGGGGCGAGGACGACGAAGACACGGAGCAAGAGTGGGAGCAGATGGCGCACGAAGTCGACTTCGAAGGCGAAGGCTGGACCAAGAAGGTGGCCGACAGCAAGGCCAACATCGAGGAGCACCCCGCCGTGCTCGAAGTCAAGAAACTGAGAGGCGAGGTAGGAGAGCTCAGGGCGCTTCTCGAGAACTTGACCAAGACTCTTGAAGCCAGAGCTGAGAGTTAGGGCCTAGCCTAGATCAGAGCTGCCCCCCGTTGCTACTCAGGACTAACTTTCACTTCATAAAAGTGTCGGAACACACTCGAGTCTAGAGGTTTTCATCAGATACAATTGCATATATGTACACATAGCTCCTAGGCTATAACTAATGTGGCTCGCGAGAGCTTTACCCCTCAAAAGAAAACCTTGTCGATGAAAACGACGGCATTTCTCGATTTAGTAACAATCCCTAATTTCTCTAGTTCCGCCTGGCCGGGCGCTTGGCCCCCTTCGCACCGTGGGGCCGGTGGCGCCGCGGGTTGAGGTCGTTCTGGACCTCGCAGTCGTGGCAGAGGGCGGCATCGGGGAATGCGCGACGCTGCTTGCACCGACAGGTGCAGCGGCAGCCGGCGTAGGAGGGCTTGGTCTTGCCCCAGAGAGCGGCGCGCTCGCACACGAGGCAGAGGGTCGGCGGGGGGGCGGCGGCCGACAGCGCGGCGGCAGAGAGGGGAAAGCAGGGGCACGGGGAGAAGACGGAGGCGCTGGCCACCGGCGTCTGCGGCGGCGTCGTCGTGGTCGGAGACGAACACGGCGTCTGCATCCCGGCGTCGGGGAAATAGAGCACGGGCTCCTGCGCGAAGTTTCGGCACCGGCAGTAGGTGCAGGCGCAGCGGTGGCGCTGCTCGGGGTGCTGGAGAGAAAGCATTTCCGAGAGGTGCGAGGCTGGGGGGATAGCAGGTGGTCTTCTCGGCCGTTGAGCGAAGAAAGTGTTCAAGACTGAGGTATGCCGTGGAGTTGGTTGGGTGGATAAGAGGTGGGTGGTCGGTGGAGGGGTTGATATAGGGGCGAGGATGCGTAAAGGAGATCGTGTGAGGTGTATTTGCGAAGATGGCTAGCTCGAAGCAGAGAGCACAATGGTTATGGTTCTATAATACTATTCTCTCGCTATACCCGCGTCAAAGGGCGCTTTGAAGGGGCGGTAGAGAGACTAAGCATTGTCTGGTGTCGCCCTCACCTACAGGTCAAGGAAGACAACCCAATATAGCACAAAGAGAATGCGGGCGGGAAGAGTCTGGGTCAGTTGGCGGTTGTGGATATGGAGTTGAGTCTGATTGCGTGTAGCGAGCCGTGAAAGAAGATGGGATAGGCCCGGAAACTCGAGGGGGCGGTGCAATCACTCAGGTCAAACACTCTGAACTTCTGGCTGATGTGTCTCATCTGGCCCCTTTTCGGCCGCGCGTCTGAGGTTGCTATCATCGCCCCCCTGCTCTATAAACCTTGGGGTTTACTTCTCGACGAACTAGCTAAGGCGGAACAAGAATCTCTAGTTATTATATAAGTCGGAGTGGTAGTGGCGGTAATCGCGCCTTATAGAACCTATGCTGAGTAAGGACTTAAACATTCTTACCTCTTATTATTCAACCTCCTAGTACGATATGCCTTAGGGCGATTCCCTATGGGTAGCGAACCGCCACAGCCCTTCATTACGAGACTAAGAAAGTCGTTTCGACTTTTTCTAGTAACACTGTCCATGTAAAATATTAGTACCCATAGTGAATGGTAACTAGTCATCTTGTCCTTAGATTCCGGTGTTTATTTTCGCGCCATGTGGAAGGTTGTGTCGGTAGTTCGCGCTCTAAGGAGGAGGCATGAGGTGCACTGCTTAGAAACGAACGCCATGGCCTGCAACTTCAAGGGTTCCCGTATGGTACGGCGAGTGACGGTCTAATGTATTATATACCCGATGAGACATATTAACCCTTGTTAACAATACCCTCCACAATTTTCATACCGATTCGAGCGCAGGGCCCTGCCCTCGATGGACAAGAAACACCTAACCACCTCGACCCGAGCACTCTTATCGTCAAACTCTCAAATCTTTTTGGCCCATTCGCTCCGTGCCACCTAGAGTGAGTTAGAAAAAGTCCCGAGCATATCGAATACATGAAGACGATACTTACCCAGCTTCTAAGCCTCTTACCGAAAACGTAGCTCGGAATGGTAAGGAGGCTGATCACCAGATTCAAGCCGGCAATGCCTATAAATAAGTTCCTCGGCCCCATTTTCGCCATTAGTCCATTCCCGATGGTGGAGGCGACGAAGCTTATAACCGCCTTCACGAAATTGATGGTGACGAAGGCTTGGTTAGCATCCTTGGTGTGGCAATCTATCACGTAACTGATCGAGGCTTGCGTGGCGAACGGGACTGCGACGGAGTGCATCGTGATCCATACTAAGCACCAGACCAGGGACAACCCCTCTTGAGCGGCGACGCCGAATCCGATAAAGCCGGCCGTGGAAAGGGGCACGGCGATGAGCATCAGGACAAGACGGAACTCGGGCTCGTAGATCCCATTATTGCGCTTAGCCATCCAGACCGGAATCGCGTCTGACATCCACCCAGAGAGGGGCGAGAAGATGAGCGCACCGATGGCCAGGGGGACGTTGGTGAGCCCTATCTGGGCTGGCGTGAGGCTGTACGGAGGTGCCGAGAAGACGGTGACAGACAGAACGCCGATCATCAGGAGCCAGCAGAAAAAAGAGCCGTAGACGAGGGTCGAGAAGATGACGGCGGGGAAGCATATTAGGGGGAATGGCTTGATCACACCCTTCCAGAACGACTCGTCAGACAGACGACCGCGGTAGATTTGGAGCTGGCTCTTGTAGCTCTCCCTGGGCTCTTTCGCTGGGTCATCACCCTTAAGGTCAGCCACCGACGATGCGCGAGACTCGGGGCGTTTGTCGAAGTTGCCGCGCGGCTTCGTATAAGTCGTCTCGAGGACGACGAAATACATAGCGGGGAGGATCAAGCAGAAGACGAGCGCTGTGATCGCGAACGTTCCAGAGACGCCAAGCGACTCGATGATGAATCCGGCGATAATTTGGCTGCGTCGACGTTAGCGAGCAGGAATGGAAGCGGGATTCATCCGATTGCAAGTACCCTATCAGCACGCCAGCCCCCAGCATGACACCCCATAAGGAGAGACGAAATCCTCTTTGATGGACGAAGAACAAGTCAGACACCGTAGACGTGACTAGAGTCTCCAAGGGGGCCGCGGCCATGCCCTGGAAGATGCGCATCGCTGCCAACGAGGGGAAGCTCTATTATATCGATCGTTAGCATTGGCGGAAGCGAGGGCAAAACTCTCCGTGACTCGACTTACATCCGCAAACGTGCCCCAGATGTTGGAGATAAGGAGCAATAAGGTGGAGATGACGAAGAACGGCCGCTTTCCCCAGACATTGGCACCGGAGGCCGTAAAGAACGTTGCAGACCCAGTAAAGAGCAGAATAGACCCGACCATGAACGTGGACGCAGTATCCGGGTCGATATTGAACTGCTCGCTGATGAGAATCAGTCCGGGGGAGATCATGGGACCGAGCCTGCATTTAACTATTAGACCATCTGCGGATGAGTTGATTTCGCTACGCACAGCAACTTACGAAGTCGTAACGCCGGAGCTGAAGGCCAAGATCAGCAAGATCGAATTCTTCCACATTGGAGACCACTACTCTCGTGCCACGATTATTAGCCCCGGCCACCGCCTGCTGCGTCCGACGCGAAGGGAAGACACTGACATTCAGCGGATCGTTTGGCGAATCGCTCGGCTGCGGGACGAGAATGATATCGCCATCTCTCTTCAAATCGCTAGTGCTTGCTATAGGCCCGTGTTTTAGCTACGAGACAACGGATCTATAGCGACAAACTGACCTGCGTCGAAGGACGGCCCTTGCTCCTCGCCCAGCTTCGAGGTCCCTGGCGGCCTGTCCATGTATACATCTTCCAATACCCAGAAACCCATCGTGACGGCGGAATGTGAGGGACGGTAAACGAGATGAAATCGAAATTAAATCAAAAGAATAACGAGTGTAATAATGCGAATAGAACGACGAGATTGAAGGCTATTACAAGAAGTAAAGAGAAAGGACAACACTGCCGGCAGTGTCTAGTTAGACGGTCGACGTCGAGCAGAGAAGAAAAGAACGTGGTGAGAGAAGAGGAGAAAAAAAACGAGGCGTAACTCTCGGTCACTGCTGTAATACTTATCTACGTCCCTTGGCGATAATCATCTCATATGGATACTGGATGGTTCTACCGTAGCACGGCCGTCTTTTACATACATAGTGCCACCAGGCAATCCCCGTGTCAAAGCTGGTCGATCATGGAGAGATAATTGCAGGGCCAAGCGAAGGGAGAGGGATGGGGGGTGGGAGGCGATCATCTCGAATACCGGTAAACTCACCATGATTATACATCCCCATCCACCATGCCATCTGCCATGCAAGAGTGGCGACCCGTCTGCGAATTCACAGGTTACCCGAAAAAAGACCCCGGAGCCGTATCCGGCAGGGTCGGCACTGGGTCGCGCAGGGCAGAAGCGTACGTTAGGTTCGGTATACAAGAGAAAAGAGAGAAGAGGCGGTTGCACGCATTGTTCCACACAAACCGCCGAGGACTCAAGCGTGCATCATCATCACCGATCTTCAGCACTAGCACTCCCGTCGCGGCTATGTGAGCCTGGTCCATCAGTCGATGAACGCACGTACGCTCCACCGCCTTGGACCTCGCGCCGTCGATCGTCAGGGGTGGTAAAACGTCAACTCCTGCAGATCCGGCTTCGGCTCGCCGGTCCTCTCCCCACGGGACCACGCGCGGCAGTTAGTCTGGCATCTGTTGGCGCCCGATCTATGCAGCCATCCTCGCAGACATGGGGATGTTTCTCTGCGGAGCTGGCAAGCCTACGTCGCCTCTCGAGATCGCGCACGGGGGTGCCGTCGAGGAAGGCTTGGCCTGGCCAGACCCAGCTGAGAACACCCCGGCGAAGTTTCTGGGTCGGCGGGTATTACGGACATGGACGGACGGGACTCGCGTTTCGATTTCGCCTAACGTCGCGCCAAGCTCCTCAGGATCGCCGTCGCAGCGCGCAGCACACGCTACCGACTCCGAGACAGGTGTTACAGGACGGTGTTACAGGAGACGAATCGAGTATTCCTGACTAATCCGCCTGCCCGTGTTGTTATCACGTGATCCTACACAGAATTAGCACTCTCATAAGCACACCTTTGCCCAGGCGCTAGCACCCAGTGTGTGCACTGCGCCCACAGCTGCATTTTGAATAGCTTCAACTCTAGCCGAGGGCGCGCTACAAACAGCCACCATCCCCGGTGAGGGGGAGGTCGGAAAACAGCCACCATCCAAGGAGGTCAGCAACGAATCTGTTGGATTGCGGGTCTGGTTCTTGTTGGGACGATTGTTGATTCTTGTTGGTTCTGATTAGCGGACGATGCACGATTTGCACCCAGCGGTTGGCGATGACTAAGACAGCTGACAGCACCTGGCGCCACCTGTCCCGCGCTAGCGCACAAGCACATCCGATGGCGGAATAGACGCGGCGCGTGGGAAAGTCCGACAGCGCAGCCGGAAACCGCGCCGAGTAATAAAACATCAGTCGGAGGAAAAATTCCAAGCTTCGGTCGACAGACCCTTAAACCCCTCACCCCCCAAAACGTGGACCCCGACGATACATCCAAGTCCAGATACTGCAGAGCCGTCATGCCCTCCAGATCAGATATCACCTTTTTCGGTGCAGGTCCGGCTCTGCTACCTACCGATGTCCTCGAGGAAGCTGCCAAGGCTCTCCTTAACTATCAAGACACCGGCCTGGGCCTCGCCGAGCACTCTCACCGCTCGCAGCTCGCAGCCGATATAATCAGTCGGGCTAAAGCTGATCTGGCCTCCTGTCTTGATATCCCGGACGACTACGAGATCCTCTTTACGCAAGGCGGCGGCACAGGACAATTCTCTGCCACAGCGTATAACTTTGTTGGCGCCTGGGTTTCCCGCAAGCAGCAAGAGATCTTTGGGGATATCGAAGGCGATCCCACCGACCCTAAAGCGATCCAGCAACTCAAGGATGCCGTGGACAAGGATCTCAAGATCGATTACCTGATTACCGGCCGCTGGTCACAGAGAGCATCAGCTGAGGGCGAGCGGCTTTTTGGCCCAGAGCATGTCAATATTGCGGCAGATAGCCGTGAGACAAACGGCGGTAAGTTTGGAACTATTCCGGACGAGAGCACCTGGAAGCTGTCTAAGGATGCTGCCTTGGTGTATTTCTGCTCCAATGAGACGGTTGATGGGGTTGAGTTTCCTGAATTTCCTAAGTCTCTTCAGCCGGGACCTGATGGAAAGGGCCCAATTGTTGTTGCCGACATGAGCTCGAATATCCTTACGAAAAAGATTCCGGTAAAGAACTTCTCAGCTATCTTCTTTGGCGCCCAAAAGAACCTCGGTCCAACCGGTGTTACCGTTGTGGTTATTAAGCGAAGCTTTTTACCACCTATCACATCTCAACCGTCTGCAAGTCTAATGAGACAACTGGGTCTGCCAATTCCACCGATCATCTTTCAATACGAGACTATTGCAAAACATAATAGCCTTTACAATACATTAAGCATCTTCGAGTAAGTTACGATTAATTTAATATTTCTAACCGAGATAATACTAAGTCTATTACTAGTGTGTACGTTATAGGCCAGGTTCTCCGAAAGTTACTGCAGACATACCCAAACAAGGTTGAAGGACAGCAAGCTATATCTGACAAGAAGGCTCAACTTATTTATGATGCCATTGAGGACTTTCCCGAGATCTACCAGGTCATTCCCAACAAGGCAGTGCGGTCGCGTGTCAATATCTGCTTCAGGGTTACCAAGGGTGACGATATCGAGGCCGCAGAGAGAGCCTTTCTGGAGGAGGGTATCGCCCTAGGGCTGACTGGGTTAAAGGGACATCGTTCGCAAGGTGGAGTGCGCGCAAGCAACTACAACTCGGTACCTTTTGAGGGTGCAGAGAAGCTTGCCAAATTTATTCGCGCTTTCGCAACGTCATAAGAGCAGCTTGTCGGTTAGGCCGTGGGCGGCCTGATCAGGGCACGGACGTGGTTTCGAGAGCTATCTCGCGCATGATATCAGCAATCGTCACGTCCAAGATAACGCAGGTCCTTGAGGCAAGGCAAATCAAACGGCCTAACGCCGAGGTATGGGGGTTGTTTCTATCAAAACACTTGACTGGTACTGAAAGCTTGAGCTTCTCAGAAACCAGAATTTACAGAAACGGGTTCCTAGAGCCAGAGACCACTTGCCTGCGATTTCGGTTCACTGAGCAGGCCACACTGACCGCAACATTGATTGATTGACAACCATGGGAAGCAACCAGAACTCGATTCGTAGCATGAAGTAGAGTGTGTTTCGCGACCTCGGATTCTCGAGCCTTGGCGTGGTATCTGATGCGCGGCGCGGAAACACGCACGGGTCGGCCGTCTCGTCTCGCCCACCAATTGGCTAAGACAAGAGGCACATAAGCAACGACATCTCTCTGAGACGTGATGGGATTGATTTGTAAATATATAATACCTATATCGTCGAGAACACCGCAGCGACTCCGCCGTGTAATACCCGAGAGTCTCATCTCGCTGGTTTCACGGCGACGCCTATCCGCACCGGCTCGCCTGCGTACCGACACGCGAGACGACAAAGAGCTCAACGCGCGCATCTCAACGCGCGCGAGACGTCGAAGCTAGCGAGATTATTGAGCGAATGCGTGCGAGCAAGAGTTGAGCACACTTGCCCGGTCTGTAACAGGGCGTGGAAAGCGTGCATGAATGAGGGCGACGATGGCAGCAGGGGTGGCCCTCGAAAGCGACCCATCGTGGCATTGTCAACCACGTTTCGTCTGCTCTCCCCTGCCAGCACGCGCAGACGTCGTCCGAAACGAGAAGTGAGTAGATATTTTTATCCGGGACAGCGGGTCTTGGCTTTCTGCCAACTTCGCCCCCCCCCTTGTCGTCTTCTCGTCCACCATCCCATGTGGGAGGGCGGGTTTACCTTCCCCCCACAGCTAGTGGGCTGAAGTGGGTGCGGCTGGTGCTGGTGTCCTCGAGTGTCACCTCCAAGGGCCAGAGGGGGGCAGCACGGCGTAGTAATGGCAGCCTGCGTCGACAGGGATTCATACGACCAGATAGGTACACGAGCCGAGAGGGAGGGGCTACTTGCTTCCATCCTCCTCATCATCGACTCGGGCTTGATGAGACCTCAGCCTCTCGGGCTCCTTGCCTTTCAGCTCCTTCGTCGGGGCCTCCTCCGGCATCCTCTCTTCCCCCGCCTGACCATTAACGTCCTTGGCTTCGCCCTCCCCGCCCTCCTCACCCCCGCCTTGTTCACCCCGCCCTTCTTTCTCCTCCTCCCCCTCCACCTCCTCAAAATCGTCATCCCACTCCGCAATCAACTCATTCGTCGCCTCGCCCTCGTCGCCGCCCTCCTCACCCTCGCAATAACCGCGCAGCAGGCTGCGCGCGGCGCGGCGGCCGACGACGGGCAGCCTCTCGACGCCGCGGGCGCGGAAGGCCGCGGGCACGGCGCGCGGGTCGAGCAGGCCGACCTGGGCGAGCACGCTGGCCTGGTCCCAGTAGGCGTGCTCGTGGCAGAGGCGGCCGGCGCGCACAGCGGCCACGGTCACCACGACCAGCTCGACGCGGCGCCCCGTCGACGGCACGCCTGGCAGCAGCCACGGCACCGGCTCCGTGTGCCGCAGCGCCACGTGCGTCTCGTCGACCACGCGCCCGCCCGCCGACGCCGTCCGCGACAGGAGCCGCAGCCGCAGCGACCCCGGCGTCCCGCCCCGCCCCGCCCAGAACTCCCCGTAGAACCGCTCCAGCTCCCCCCGCCCCACGCCCCCCGTCAGCGTCGGCACATACGTTGCGTGCACCCCGCCCGCGCCGTACGTCGCCATCGTCTGCGCCGCGTCCCGTTGGAAGAACTTGGCTGCATCACGGTCCGCGTCAGCATGGTAAAACGTAGACATAGGCATACAGATATAAGGTACAGGTAAGAGTATTGAAGGCAGGTTGGGGGATAGGGGGGACGCAGCGCTCACCCTCGATATTCCGGTCGACGACTTCCTCGACATCAACGTCGAGGCGGAAGGCGCGGCGGGCGGCGGCCAGGCTGCGCGACCAGGCGAGGTCGGCGGCGACGCGGTCGAACTGGGGGAGGTCGCGCTCGGCGAAGCCGGGGGCGGCGTCGGCGTAGGCGTAGGCGGGGTAGGCGTGGTCGGGGAGGGCGCCGGCGGCGCCGAGCCCGCGGCCGACGGCGCGGCGGACGACGCGCGGCGGGCCCTCGAGCCCCAGCGCGCGCCCGCGCCGCGCGACGTCCACCTCGCTCCCCGCCGCCAGGTGCACGAGCGCCCGCACGCCGCCCGGGAACGCCGCGCGCGGGTCCGGGATGCGCCCCGGATAGTACGCGATCAGGCACGCCAGCCGGAACTCCGGGTTGCGCGCCGCGGTCGCGTGGAAGTGCTCGAGGCAGAAGCTCGCGGCGTCGCCGTAGGCTGTCGAGGGTTAATCAGTATGATCGTAGAAGAGAGGGACAGAGTGAGAGAGGGAGAGAAAGGAAGAAGGGGCGCGCACCGACGATGCCGAAGGTCTCGCAGGGACCCATTTTCTTTTTACTGAGCGCCTCCACCGTCTCGCGGTACGCGTTCTCGCTGGGGCCCATGGGGACGTACTCGACGTCGAAGCCCTCGCCGCGCCAGTCGCCGAGGGCGGCCAGGTCGAAGTCGTCGCTCTCGGCCGTGACGTACAGCCTCGGGGGCGCGCGCGGGAAGTCGCTCGACAGGAACCCAGGGTCGTTGCGGGTCGCCGCGCCGCCGGACGCGGGCGCTTCCAAGGTCCACTGCCCGCGGCCGGGCGCGGAGCCGCCGAACAGGCCCGGGATGTGCAGGTCCATCGCCGCTGATAGTGCCGGCGCAGAGGAAGTGATGGGTATTGATTTTCTCGCTGGCTTAACGCCGGGTTTTCGATGTATCTACAGATGTAATGAAAGTTGGGTCAAACTACAGAGTAAGAAAGAAACAATCCATGCGTTAGGTGTAGTAGGGATCGAACAGAGGAGAGCATTCGCGGCGCCATCACCAGCGACAGTATTAGCAGGACGCAGACGACTCCATGACGGCATCGGGGCGAAGTTGGCGTGACGTCAGGCCAGAGCACGAAGCCCTGCGCTGCCGACGATCCTCCCCCCCTCGCGCATGAATAATGGAGTGCCGCGCTGTTGGAGACACGGGATACGGTATGCGGCGGAGGCCAATCGCAGAGCGGTATCTGTCTGCGGTGGCCAGTGGGGGGGAGAGGCTAGGTTGCTTGCATTACACAGCCAGGGAGCACAGTGGTGCGCCACCCGAGGAGGGGAGTGAGGTGCGGGTGTGGGATGGGGAGTAGAGCAACAACAATACACCGTGTTATTTAGTGCGACGATATATATGTATGAGAAGTAGAAGTCAGATTCCTCTGGTCTGGTAACAGCTGTGCAGAATGAGCAGCAGGCGTCCCAACGGTGTAGCTTCGCGGGCGGGAGCAGAAAGGGATAACAGCACACGCACACCGAGGGATAGTAGGTAAGGGTCGAGATACCTACTGGTCGTAGATAATACCGGCATACCTATGATACGGCTCGACACGGTGAGAAACCTCCGTAGACGGAGTTCGCAGGACGCGGGAGACGTGTCTCGCCTACCTGACGCCTCGACCACCTACTACGGGCAATAGGGGTACTAGGGTCGCGCGTTCGGTGATTATCCCTTGGTCCCAGTGGCTTGCATAGATGAGCCTCACAGCCGTGAGGCGAGCGGCTTAGTTTGTAATTCGTAGGTATGCGGGCAAGATATTGTGTATATGTATATATATATATATATATGGTAGCTCACACATCGCGACGACTTGCCCTCGCCGTCGCTACCAAGGCCTGGCCGCCCCGAGTGCCGCTCGTAGCTTCGATCGCGGTCGCCGGTCCACCGTGTCGCAGACGCGAACGGGGCCGCCGTCCTACTTCGGCCTCTGTCTCCCTTTCTCGCTGCTCCGCGTCCGCGTACTCTCGACATTCCCGGGTAATCGTACAAGAGAAGTGGCCCCAATTGCCGCGTGCGATCTCGCAGAGAGATACTACACAGGGAGATAAGCACACCTAGCCAAGTGAACTACTCGATGGGGAGCCAGCAGCAACAACTGCTACTACGACAATGGCATTGACAGCGACAGCGAACACAAGAAGAACGGGTGGGATGCGAAGACTATTGGACGGGCTAGGAATTTCGTTCCTCTCATTTCCCTTCCTCATCACTCTAGTAGCCCGCTAAGTAACAGCAGATCCCCGCACACACTCCCGACTCCGACAATAGCAAGACCAGTGGCCCCACGACCAGCGCACAACCTCGTCGAGGCCCAAGGCGACCCCGGCCCTACGGGAGGTGACTCGCGGTCCCCTTCTCGGCGTCGGGCCCGTTCCCGTGCTCGTGCTCGTGCTCGTGCGCGTAGTCAGACACCACCTTGTCGGCGTTGCGGCGGCCGGCGGCCTCGACGGCGTCGGCGTCGTGGGCCACGTCCATGTCGCGGCCGCGGTACTCGGGGCCGAGCAGGGTGAGCAGGATGACGTAGGCGTAGACGCAGCCCATGAAGATGCAGATGACGGTGCCGTAGTCGTAGCGCCGGACGCCGCGCTCCGTCGGCGGCAGCGGGAACCGCTCGCCGATCGTCGCCTCGATCGTCGAGCTCGCCGACGACACCAGGTTGCCCAGCTGGTAGCTCGTCCCCACCACGAACGTCCGGAACGCCCCCGGCGACAGCTCCATCAGGTGCACCGGGATCACCCCCCACGCCCCCTGCACGCAGAACTGCTCGAAGAAGGCCGCCGCGATGATCCGCTCGTTCGACACGAACGTGTACGGGTACAGCAGCGCCCCGCCCACGACGCACATCACGATGATGCTGAAGCGCCGCCCCACCACCTGCGAGTAGAAACCAACGGCGGCGCCGCCCGTCATCGCGCCCAGGTTCGCCACCACCTGCGTGACCGTGACCTGGTTGGCCGTGAAGTTGAACTGGTTCTCCAGCAGCGTCGGGTACAGATCCTGCGAGCCGTGCGACATGAAGTTGAAGCCGGCCATGAGCAGCACCAGGTACGTGAGCAGCAGCCAGTGGTGCTTAAGCGCGACCTTGCCCTCCTCAAGAAAGGTCTTACCGACGTTCCCGCTGGCGCGCCGCAACTCCCGCTGCTGCTCGTACATCTCCGTCTCGGGCAGCGTCAGGCGCCACAGGATGAAGATGACAGGCGGGCAGGCGCCAAACCAGAACAAGGGGCGCCACCCATGGGACGTGGTGTCGACGAGTCCGCGGGCGAATGCAGTCGCAAGCAGATAGCCGAATGCGTAACCCTGCTGGAGGATGCCGCTCATGAGGCCCCTGGTTTCGCTGGGGAGGTCTTCGAGGGCGGTCGCGGCGGCGTTCCCGTATAGGCCGCCCATCGCGACGCCGAATAGGGCGCGACAGGCGAGGAATTGGCCGTACGTGTTACAAAACCCGGTTCCCTGTTGCATTCACGACGTCAGCAGGCCGAAACGATACCGAGCGGGAATCGGCGTGGAGGGGTGGGAGAGGAGTGTATCACTACATAATACCAGGGGGCAATAAGGCTATATATATATATATATATATAGGTATATAGGGATGCATGTGGCATGTGCGAGGGAAGGGGGGTAGACGGGGGAGACGAGGGACCGGGAAGGGGACAGGCGAAGCTTTCGCCAACACTGCGCCAAGCATCGCCAAGTGCGGGAATCGGTATTGGCATTGGCATGGCATCCGCAGCCCGATCTGTGGATGCGGCTTAAAGTCTTGGGGGACGGTTGAGTCCCCCAATCAACTCCCATCTGAGAGATCCAAGACAGAGGCTGGGCACGACGCGACTGTGATGTGATTATTCTGCGAAGCGATGGTGCCTGTATATGAGGTGGATTGAGATGGTGTGGTATGAGTTCTGGGAAATCAAATTGGATGAAATCGAGCAGTCGCATATATTGTCTTTCTGGACTCACCAATTCAAGCGCGATGAAGAGGATATTATTTACGATAAAGGGCCACTTCCGACCGTAGCGATCTGCCGCAATGCCGAAGAGAATGGAACCGACAGATCGGAACATCAGCACCAGAGTGATGCCCCAGGTGATATCGGTATTGGTCTTGTCAAAGGTCTCGGCCAAGTCGCGAACGGTCAACGAGACGGTGAAGAAATCGAAAGCGTCCCAGGTCTATTATTTCCAAATGGTCAGCAGCCGTTCAGCGCAATGTCGGGGATACACTTGGTGAGAGTGAGAGTGAAGAAATGACAGATCGTAGGCAGGCAGAGAGACAGAGAGAGAAGACGAGGGGTAAGCTCTGTAGCACGGAAATGGTGTATCCATGCCGCTGTTCACATACCCAGGCAAAGAAAGCGACACCAAAGAAAGACCATTGGCGCGCAGTCACCATCCGAAGCAGGCGAATGGGGTTGGGCGCTCTCCCCATCGGCGGCTTCAGCGAGCTGATGCGTGTTGCCAGGTACCGGCCAACCGACATTCCATGGTATGGAGGGTAGAAATTAGGGTCGAAGTCGCCAGCTGACGCTGGCGCGTCCTGGTTGGCGACGTGTGTCGCCATTGAGAATGGCGAGGGCTACCGTATCGAAAGGCGCAGGCAGGATGGGAGAGGGATACGATGTGGTTGACGACGAAGGGGCAGGTGGAGATCGTGGTGGTGAGGATGGATGGTATTATAGATCGGTAGGTATGCGTGTGGGAGGTGTAGGTAAGCGTGCTCCCAAGCGAATTCCCCAGTGTGAGTCAATGTAGGTCTAAGTCCAAGTCTAAGGGTACTCCCGTTCAAGAAGAACACACAAAGAACCGGATCGGAGAGGAGCGAGGGGAGAGGGGGGGGCGCCCCGTATATAAACAAATCCGGGGATGGATTCGAAAGAAATACGGCAGCGTCGAGAGGACCAAAATGGCGGAGCGACAACAGGCTATCACTCCGGTTTATAGGCAGTGTGTCTCCCAGCTCGTTAACCGGTCCGAGTCCGGGTCATCGCGCGTCGCATTGATACATGCGTGCCATCGTACAGTCCCATACAATGTGGTCCGCCCTCTGCCTCCTCTAACCTCGTGCCCAATCTCGACGACGTCTGGGGCAACCTCGGATACCCTGGGCGGTCAAGGAATAATAATGACTGGATGCTGCGGGGGAAAGGAAGCTCATCCATGGAGCCACCGGGATCAAGTTGTGCAAGCTCCGTCGATGGTGATTGGGCCAGTAGAGGGTCTCGGAGATGGGGGCGTGGAATATCGCAGTGGAGGTGAAAGCCGCCGTCTGGGAGAAAATAAGACGAGCAGGAGGAGGGAAAATAAGAAGAAAAAAAACGAGAGAAGAGAAAGAAAAAGAAAGCCCGTGATTCGACGCCACATGGGAATCTCTCCACCTCTTCCTCTCCCCCTCTCCCTCCCTCTCTCTCTCTCTCTGGCCCGCCTACAATCAAGAAAGGCGTCCTTACCCGCCAACACGACCCGCATGCCCACCGGTTTGCTAGGTTACATCACGCACATCTATAATACTCCAGAGCTCGTCCGTGGAGGTAAGCAACGGATGAAAACACGCCTATCGCTAAGCTGACGCTTGCCCATTCCAAATCGAGACAGATGGTCATCGGGTCCTAACCCTGGGTCCTTGCGCTGGTGGCACCAAGTTACAGCCATCGTAGCTGTGTTTGCTGGATGTTGTCGCGCTGGACCTCACGTCTGAGGAGGAGGTCGAGGACGAGCTAGAAAGAGAGGGAGGGGAGGGGCAAGCAATGACGCTGGTAAGCGAGACTCGGACAACGAGCAATGCTACTCTTCAGCCCGATGACAAAGAGGAAGGGCGGGATGCGAGAAGAGAGTCGGCCCGCCTGACATCTCTCTCTCTCTCTCTCTCTCTCTACCTGTATCTCTCTCGGGACGATATACCTTAGGTACTTCCCATTACATTCGTCACCTTTGTCCCTTTTTTTTCTTCCCTCCTCCAATCCCTTTTATTTATTTATTTTCTCTTCCCTCATGTCTGACCCTGGATGCTGTCGCGGCTGGTGACGACTCAGACCCGCCGACGCCTCGATTCCGGCTCGGCATTTGGAACAGGTCTAACCTGTTCGGTAGCAGCACCGGCCCTCTCGCGCTCGCAATGCACGCAACGGGCTCGTGTTTCGTTCACGAGACCGTTGGCCCAGCCGCATGCGACGGCAACGAGAACATACCGAACGGGAGCCGACTGGCCAGCCGCACCAGAGTGGCATTTGGGTCGGCGCAGGTCCCTTCTTTGGCAGCTGGGACCAGCAGACCAGGGGGAGAGTGGAATTGCCATCCAGGATTACCTACGACTCGCATGGAGCTGGAATGCGATGACGCCTTTTCTAAACTACGATATTTCTCTCACCTATTCTCTTCTTCCCGGGGCACCTCCTCGCCCCTCCGCCATCGCAGTGCTCTTTCCCTTCTGCTTGTTTTTCTTTTTCTTTCTTTCTCGTGTGGGTGTGTGTGTTCTTGTGTAAGCCTGGGATATCCGAGACAGAACCACAAGTTAGGAACGAGAGGAACGTCGAGTTCGAATCCTGTGGTCTTCGCTACGCTAGACTCCCGCCGTCTGCGGTTATATATATATCCCTTGGAGAATTAGAGGCCCACGCCAAGAGGAGTCGCCGCAGGCAAGCTTTTGCCAAGTTGTCAACAGCCGGCTTGTCAACGGGTGCGCCGCGTGCCGTGTTAGGTGTGTGTAGGGCCCGCCAATGGGTTTTTGGACGCGCAGAGAAGTCCCTGTCGCTCGGAAACGCAGAGATAAAAGGTCGCTTGGCCCGCAAAGGCGTGTTGTCGCTTTTTCCCGAGATAATTACCTACCCACAATTGCGTACGCGGACAAGCATCGTTTCTCCAGGTCACCACCCAACATGCCGATCTACCCGCCTACCTACTTGTCTGCCTCGAACTCGATGCGAAATGGCGGCCTACTTTGTGCCGTCTCCCACGGCACAAATAGGTAGCCAGATAGATAGCTATTCGCGGGCAGTGTGCGGAGGACGAGCTCTGCAGCCACCGCTTGGCTGCCAAGACCTCCCAAGACTCTGGACTAGGCCGGCCGAAGCAAGGGAGAGAAGAGACGGACTAATTTCGTGTCACGATTCGCCACAACCAACGCAATACCCCAGATCGTCTCGTCTCCTCCCGAGAGGGTAATAAATACAAGAGTTGCGATGTTGGCGGTATGCGGTGGAACATAACTCGACGGGGAATCTGGGGTTTGGCGGGGTACGAAATAAGGGAGGATACGTAGGCGATATTTCTAGACGGTGATGGGACGAGAGAGTTACGCCGGCGATGAAATGAATCGTCGATGTTCCCGTCTAGGCTATATGCCTTCTGTCTGGGCGTGCACGGCAGCTAATTATCTGCCTGCCTATGCACGACGTAAAGCACGCCCTTACCGATGCCTTGCGGGGGTGAGAGGGGCCGCGGTGCTGGTGATAGTGGCAAAGGTGAGGACAGGATGCCTGACAAGGAATTCAGCACGCAGACCAGGTGAGCGAGTGTGTGCGTTAGGTACGTGCAAATACTACGCGCCGAGCGAAGAATCCTTGCTCTTTTCTGGCTTTTTTCCTTTGTCTCCTCACCCTGATATCGGACTATCCTCGGAGCTGTCGTCGGTTTTAGGGGATAAGATGCGAGGGCCAGCGTTGCGTCAGAGGACAGAGGTAGAGAGAGAGAAAGACACGGAGAGAGAGAGCTTACCGTGCGAATGTTGCGGCCATCCAACGACTGGAATAGCCTGACCTCATTGCGGCTATCTCGAGATGACACCATTGTTCGAGATCTCACTGCTAGATCCCGGAGCAACGTCGTGGAGGGGTTCCCCTCGTGGGCTCGTCTCCAAACTTCCCCCTCTTTGCCATTGGACCCGATTGCCCAAGGGAGATGCGACAGCGTCCCTCCATGTAAGACGTAGGCAGGTAGCTATCGAATATCCCGTCAGATTCCTGGTAGAATATCGCCATTTCCCGGTCCTGTGATTTCACGCCCAGACTTTTGCACCTCCTCCCCTCCAAGCACGCAAATATCCTGATCCTGGATGACATGGGTGAGCCGCGTGCACGGCGATATGTAGGTAGGCAGGTACATATTATATGAGCGAGCATCCAGCTGGCTGTCGCATCAGTAGATGCTCATGCGCTAGCTCGCATCTGGGTACTCCGATAAAACCGTCTTAGCAATTTTCATCATCATCTTCTCGGGATCAAAGTCCTCGCGCCTCTTACACATTTTTACCCGTCATGAGATCCCGTGGAGCTTGGCACCAAGAAGCGCCGAGAGACACCAAGAAACACCAAGCCGCCGTTGCTGATGAGTGCCGGCCAGCAAAGCTTACCCCGAGGTAAACCCGACGGCCAAGTCCAGCTAAAGCATTGCCAATTTTTTATATAACAGGGATGCGACGTGGTCCCAAATCCCCTTTTGCGAACCAACCGTTCTCGAGGAGGAGGAGGAGTTGTCGCTGGATCTGGTAGGGGATTCCTTGTCCGGAAAAACGTGTTGCGCGCGTGCACTCGCCCTCGGGCTATTACCCCGCGACGCGAGTTAGGTAGGCCAATTGACGGATTTTGGGATCTCAGCTGTAAGGAGTCTGGCGACGATCGTGTGTACGTGTAGTTCGTGTTTGTTTAGGTATGCGTAACTACCTGTAACGGGTCGACGGCACGCTCACACGCGCGTCCCTGGTGGAGGAGGTCCAGGGGGCACTGGGAGAGGGGACCAAACCGAGAGAGAGAGACCCTGTCGAGGAGACCGAATACCGGCTGCCAGCAACCAGCCACCGACAGCGAAAGAAGGTGTCAAGCCCCAATCCTCCGTCTGCTCGAGTTGCGATTCTCTCGCTGCATCGCTACCCACATCACTGCTTCCGGGTACATTACCCCGACAGGGCGGCTGATGCGGCTCGTATGACTTCTTGCTTGTTTCTGTTCACCATTGGTCTAGATCGTCCGTAGACACCCGATCCTATCTCCGCCCAGGGGAGGAGGGAGGAGGCACGCGCACGCGCAGCCGGCCCAAGTTTGGTAGGTATGTGGTCGCGGACGCCGTGCCCTAATATCGTCCCCCCGTCTAGGTTAGCGACGGGGGAGGAGACCCGGCTGGTGGGGGAGCAGAAGAAGAGATAACCCCGGCATCTGTCCTTAACCTCCTTACAATTCGGGTAAGTTGACAGCGCACAGGCGCCTGAGTATACCTGAGGTGTCCCGCAACCGGGGACAGCGTGCCCAATCATCCCTACCGCAGGTAGGTAGGTAGGCATTCTGGTCGCCTGTTGTTGGCGGGCCAAGTCCGTTCGGCAAGGGCTGGCTTAGCACGCGCTGCCCTCCCCGAGTACCTAACCCAGGCATGATTTCCTGGGGAAGTATTGCCTATTATACGCCACCGCCCGAAGAGGACGGGGATACGGACAGAAGGAAAATGACGGGAAGACGCGGGGTCCCCACGTACCTGGTATCCAGGATGTTGATCCCTGCTGGGCTCACCCGCTTACTGAAGAGTCTCAGTCACATGCGCGCCCTATGGCTTTGCTCTATCCTGAGGGTCGTTCTGATGGGCTCTGTCTGTGTCTGTCGTTGGCCGCTCCAAGTTGTGCTGCTTGAGGCGGAGAGCGGACGAACGATACAACGGACAAGGGCGTTGTATTTAAGGCGCCACTGCCCACCTCTTTGTTTCACAGATCCGTAGCCACGTCTCGTCTCTCTCTCGAGCTCAACTTCTCTAGGTCCCCGTACTTCCCCAGGTTGTCTGTCTGTCTCGTAGGGACCGAAAATGGCTGGAGGCGTCAAGAAACCCGTCAACATTTTCAAGCTCAAGGACCTAGGTGAGCCCAAGAACGTCTTCAACTGGCGACTATGGTTCGCCGTCATCTCTTTTGGCCTCCTTGGCGCCGCTCGTGGCGTCGATGAGGGCCTCATTTCCGGCGCGTTCAACTCTCGAGACTTCCAGAGGACCATCCACTATGACTCCTATAGTCTGATCGACCAGACCAACATCAAGGCCAACGTGTCTGCCATGGTCCAGATCGGCTCTGTCGGCGGCGCTCTCTTCGCTTTCCTCATCTGCGACCGCATCGGGAGAATCTGGGCCACCCGGCAGCTGTGCGTTCTGTGGATCCTGGGCATCGCTATCTTCATGGGGAATGGCGGAAATCTCGGTGCTGTTTACGCCGGTCGATTTATTGCCGGTCTCGGTGTCGGCCAGACCCCCGTCGTCGGCCCCGTTTATGGTACGTCTCTCATGCTGCCCTCCGCCGATGCCGGTTAATGCTGACGCACTTGTAGTATGCAGCTATCCTTCGAGTCTATGCTTCTCTAGAGATTAGAAATCTCGAGTTTCGGTGTTCGTGCGGGTTGCTAACGTACGTGGGTCTCTAGATCGCCGAGATTGCGCCAGCTTCCGTCCGAGGTCTCTGCACGTGCATCTTCACGGGCTTCGTGTATGTCGGCATCGTCCTCGCCTACTTTACCAATTACGGCGCCGAGATCAACCTTGGTGACCAAACTCACGTCCGATGGGTACGTTGTCGCCTCCAGTTGATTCCTCGCCGGGGAGGCTCCGCTAACTCTGTGGCAATCTATTAGCTGGCGCCAACGAGCCTGCACATCATGTTCTCGGGGATCATCTTCATCCTCAGCTTCTTCCAGTACGAGTCGCCCCGTTACCTCATCAAGCAAGGCAAACACGAGCAGGCGGTCGAGACCATGGCTCACATCCGCCATCTCCCCGTCGACGACCCCTACGTCGTTTCCGAGATCGCAGCCATCAGGGCTTCGCACGAGGAAGAGCTCGAGGCCACCAGGGGCACCAGCTGGCACGGGGTTATCAAGGAGGCGCTCTTGATTCCTAGCAACCTCTACCGTCTATACCTCACTGCGATGGTGCAGTTTTTGTCCCAGTGGTCCGGCGCTGGGTCTATCACCCTGTACGCCCCCGACCTTTTCAAGATCCTCGGCATCACGGGCCAGAACGAGTCTCTTCTCATCACCGCCGTGTTCGGAATCGTCAAGTTTGTCGCGGCCATCCTTTGCGCCCTATTCCTCGTCGACGTCATCGGGCGCAAGCGCGCTCTTCTCCTTGGCATCACTCTCCAGGCTCTATCCATGGTCTATGTCGCCGGTTTCCTCACGGCGGTGCCGGAACTGGGCGTGGTGGACGACTACGTGCTACCGGACGCCGAAGCCGGAGCTAGCCGTGGCGCTATCGCCATGATCTATGTCTCGGGCTTCGGCTGGGCGCTGGGTTGGAACTCGATGCAGTATCTCCTCACCGCCGAGCTGTTCCCGTTGCGGATCCGCGCGTTGGCAACCTCGTTCGCGATGACGCTGCACTTCGCGAACCAGTATGGCAACGCGCGCGCCGTGCCCAATATGCTCCTACCGAGAGCAGACGGTGGCATCTCACCGATGGGCACGTTCTGGTTCTTCGCCGCCGCCACTATTGTCGGTGGGATATGGGTCTGGTTCTTTGTACCCGAGACCGCCGGTCGCTCCCTCGAGAGCATGAACCGCCTGTTCGAGCTCCCATGGTACAAGATAGGGCTACACGGAAACGAGGATGCTCAAAGGCTCGATGAGGCGATTACCAGGAAGGAGGGTGAACCGTTTGGAGAGGTGGAGCAGATTGACAGAGTCGATGATAAGGCTCGCGGGGATAACCGTGCGTAGAACTTGTAACCAGAGTCACATATTACCGCCGGAGAGAGTTTGAGGCTGTTCGGGAATCCATCGCTAACATACAAGCGAATCTTTGAACTCGACCCAACGCTTTTTGTTGTCTCGTCCATTGCGAACGCGAATATTCGTTCTAGCAAATGCACCAAAGACCGAATGTCCGAAGATATAGAGTGTCACGTCAGCCACTCCATGATTTCTAGCTTGTACCGGGTCGTTTTCGCATGGAGAAGGCTAGTTCAACTGATACCACATGGGAGTTGATTTCTCTATGACGTCTTAACTATACTGCCCCTAAGGAACTTCGAGGCCTCCACAATTGGCAAGTACATGAAACTCGAGCAGCGAACGTTCGTCGAAACAACCCCATCACAAGATTCAACCTCATCTGCCAATTAATACTTATGCTCTTCCTCGTCGAAAGACATACTAACTTATTTCATTTGATCCCCCACACAGATGGACTGTGATGGAACACTACACGGGAAGCGTGCTAGACATACGTGGACACCCAGAGTGCTAGCTAGATTCAGCCTGCTTTCCCCCGGTCCCTGCTGTAGATCCATCCGAGGTTACAAGGTAGTTTGCTATCGGAGCGATATGGGTGAGAGGCGTTACTCGGGACCTTTGAGGACGAATACTTCCCCAGAAGTATCGCTCGTCAGGTACAGGCGCCCAGCTGCGTCGAAGACTATGCTCGTAGGCCGCGTACAGTTTCCGGAAGAGCAGTTTCCTTCATTGTATGGGTAGAGTATATCCACATATCCCGAAGTGTTGGTGACCTGCGCCACCGGAGAAAAGCCGCCTGCTCCGGAGCCGAACGGTACAGCTACGAGCTTGTACCCAACAGAGGGAAAGACATCCCAGCTTCCGTGCAGTGTGACGAATAGATTGTCATATTTCGGGGCGTCGAACTTGGCATCATATGGCTCCGAATGCGCTGGAAGGCCCAGCTTTGGCGGCGTAGACATCTGGATGCATGTATCGTCTTGGAACGACGGGTTGGGCGCTAGCACGAACTGATCGCCGACTTCATACTCGGTTGTCTCGTTCCGCATGATGGCTTTACTGGGTGTCCAGACTGTATAGCACACGGGGAAACCAAACCACGTGTACTGGAGTACGGAAACGTCGCCCAGAAAATTGATTTCCTCTGCTGGGTTTCCCTGGTTGATGTCGGACACGTTGCCCTGAACCTCGCGAGTAAGGTGTCTAGCGCTATTCTCTACGGCCCAAAGCCTAGGACTCCGAGTTAGCAGGTCTTGTTTTCTCCACGAGGATAGCGCCGGAGTGAGGCTGGCTACTTAGCTTGGGCCACATACATATTGTTACGGTCTAAAGCCAGCCCGAGGGAATTTCGTAGGCCGTACCCGACCCACCAGCCATCGTACACAAAGTTGTAACCAGTGCTTGGGGAGGTTGTGATGTTGAAGGCTTTGACGATGGCGCGTCCGGTCAGAGGGTTGGAGGTGGTGGGATCGATGTTATTGTCGGAGCCGTGGGACACAACCAGGATTTCCGGGTGGTCCGGCGGGATAATCAGCGACCGAGACTGGTGCCCGTCCTTGCTCATGCTCCTGACAACAACCTGCGGGGATCCGCCTACGTCGCCCGAGGTCGGGTCATAGGTCCAGGCGAATACGGTAGTCGGCGAGCTTGCGTATAGAACCTTCTGATCCGTGGCGAGATAGATCGCATGGCTCAGGGCAGGCAGCGAGATCAGATTTCGAGAGCCGGCCACGCAGCCATCGGGGTCTACAAGGTGCTGACTGACGCCAACTCCCTGCTCAACTATCAAGAGGCGTCCAGCACTATCAACAACCAAGCTTCGAGGCGAGGTCAATTTGCCCAGTACCTTGGTCGCGGACCAACCTGGGGCGAGATTAAAGGGGTAGCGAATGGGCGGTACATTGGGACAGGACGAGAGGGGGCCCTCCGCATGCGCAGCTAGGCGCTCCGAGTTAGAGATAACCAGGTCCCTCGAGATGTTGGGAGGCGTGGCGTCTCTGGGGGGCTTACCGGTAGGGAGCAGGGCAGCGACGGCGGCTACTACTTTCGTAACCAGCATCTTGGCACACGACCTTTCGAGGTGAGAAACGTGTGGCGATGGAGCTGAGGCTTGACGGTAGCTAGGAGGGAAGAGGAGAGTGTTTCTTTCTAGAGTGAGGGGAGGAGTGTGTTCCTGACGGGAGCGAGAGGAGAGGGGTGTGCACTCTGATATCTAGGTGAGCAACGGGGCCCGAACCCACGACGAATTTTTATGTGCATGTTTGTCGCGCCGTTGGGGCAATATTGGCCAGGCCACCGATAGAGAGATAATATTTACTCGCCCGCGAGCTATCCTATAATAATGTGATGATACCTGCCTGAGGTAGTATGAGGTTAGGCCAGGCAGGCAGTTGCTGGGTGATATTCTGCAGAGGCAGGTATTGCCTGCCTCTGCCCGCGAGGATTCAACTACCGAAGGCAGGCAGTTTTCAGTCTCCTTCCTTCCTTCTTACTCTGCGGCGGTGCTTTCCTGTCCGCGACGTCCCTGCCATATGACGAGACGGCAGGTAGGGACCTACGTAACCACAGCCATGGACGAAAGCCACGACCTCTTGGGGCGTTTACAACAGGCGCTGGAACCGCGATCCTCCCTCCTCCGCAGCCAATGGTTATAGGGAAAGTGTAACGCCGCGCGCGAGGCCCGCCGCCAACTGCCAACCTGCGTAAGAGGCAGGTGACGCCATGCCAATTATAGGTATTAGGTACTTACAGGCAGGTACCTAAGGTAATAACAGATAGGTAATAGCAGGCAACAGGTAACAGAGCTGACATCACCGCCAACTTGTCCTCACTTCTACACGTTGTCTGTAGAGTAGAGGCGCTTGCTGGGCTAAAATCCCGAGTTAATACCTCGTCGGTCGCTGATATTAGCCCGTGGTGGGCAGACCCGGAGACTCGCCAACAACAATAATGGCACAAACCAAACACAGGCAAACACAAACGAAAACCGTCGCGAGCTTGTCTCCGCAGGGATTTCAATGCTGAGCGAAGCTGTTTCATTGTATCTACATGCCTAACGTCATTCTCGAAGTGTCGAGGCAGGCTAGCTTAGATCCGCGACCACTTGTTCGGAGCCGAAACCGCTTATCTGCAAGTCTCGCCGCGCCGGCTCGGCGATAGGATAGTCGCAATCACGACACTAGGGCGGGGAATGGCACCGAGGCCGACCATGATATATACCTAACCCCAAACCACCATCGGCTCCGGCGGATCGTGGGCTTCCTTCTAGAACTCTCCCCTAAAACTTGCTGCGAGTACCCCGACAATAGTCACGCTGTGCCGAGATACGCACCATGTCTCGAGATGCGTGCGCGGAAATCCCGCCCGTCTCCTCGGACTACGTCCCGAAGGGGACCTACGAAACCGTCGGTGGCCTGAAAACTTGTAAGCACGGAAACATCTATATCTATATCTGTATCGATCTATCTATATATATACATCTCTCTACACATAAATCCGCAGAGTGCTCACCCCTCGCGCAGACGTCATCGGCCCGCCGTCCGCTACCCGCGCCATCATCGACCTGTACGACGTGTTCGGCCTGTCGCCGCAGACGCTGCAGGGGGCGGACCGGCTGTCGGCAGCGCTCGACGCGCTGGTCATCGTGCCCGACTTCTTCGCCGGCGTGTACGCGCAGCACGAGTGGCTGCCGCCCGACACCGACGAGAAGAAGGAGGCCTTCGCGCGGTTCCGCGCCGAGCAGGCCGCTCTCCCCAAGAACGTCGAGAAGCTGTTAGCCGTGCGCCGCGCCGCCGCCGAGCGCTGGCCCTCCACCACCGACCGTTGGGGCGCCTTCGGCCTGTGCTGGGGCGGCAAGGTCGCCGTGCTGGTCTCCGGCAAGGCCAACGAGGGTCCCAGCCGCCTCTTCAAGGCTACCGGCGCTGCCCACCCCGGGCTCCTCGCGGCCGAGGACGCCGAGGCCCTGACCACCCCGCACATATGCCTCCCTTCGTCCGACGAGCCCGCCGACGTTGTCGCGCAGTACAAGGAGATCTACGCGAGGCTTGGGAAGACCGGCGTCGTCGAGACGTACGGGACCATGTTCCACGGTTGGATGGGGGCGCGTTCCAACTTGGCGGACGAGAAGAACAAGGCCGAGTACGAGAGAGGCTACAACCAGGTCGCCGACTTCTTCGACAAATATCTATAGGGGTAACGCTACCTAAACTGGGCCGTATTATTTTTGGCAGTCGAACCTGGGTTTCTCTAACCTTTGTCGGCATCTTGTATATCACCTCCTACTAGCTACCTAGGTAGTTCGCCTCGTAGACCCCGCGATTGCCAAAAGAAATAGGGGAACAAGTTCTTCTACGGTCCCACTTCTACAGCTTGAGTGTTCTTATGCTCTCCTTTCTTGACCCTTTCGCAAAGGTCGAGAAGCACCCGCCCACCCCACTCGAAGTCGTCGAGGTCTAGGTAAACTTGGGCGCTCACCCTCGCCCACGGACGGCCGCCATGCACGAATAGCGGGATGAACGTGCCGTAGTCTTCGCCCATCCTCTCCTGCATCCACTCCGACGCCTCGGACGCTTCTTCCAGGCTGAGGGGCAGAGCGACGTTCGTCATCGCGCACCGCGACAAGGTGCCAGACTGGTTTTCCATGACCTCGGTCCCGAGGATCTGCGCTATCTTCTTGCCGCCCTCGCAGGCCAGCGTCTGCGTGTACTCTCGGATCCTGCCCTCGCCGCCGAGGACCTGCTCGCGCCAGAGGAGGGCGTCGCGGACGCAGAAGTAGGCGCTGGTGTCGAGGGTGCCGAGGAATTGGAAGTTGTTGACGAAGGCGGACGGGTTGCTCTTGGGCAGGGGGTTGAAGCGGGCGCCGGCCTTGGGCACGTAGCCGTGCGAGGTGGGCACGGAGGAGGCGACGAGGGCCTGGTTGCGCAGCGGCACGTAGAGCACGGCGCAGCTCCGCGGCACGAACAACCACTTGTGGCAGTTCGACACGAAGAAGTCCGGGTCCAGCGCCGCCAGGTCGATCTCGATCATCCCCACGCCCTGCGCGCCGTCCACCAGGCTCAGCACCCCCGCCTCCCGGCAGGCCTGCACCAGCGCCTCGAACGGGAAGCGCACCCCCGGCAGGCTCGACACCGTGTCGAACATGCAGACCCGGGCGCGCTTCCCGGCCGCCGCGCAGTCCTGCACCGCCGCCCGCAGCGCGGCCACGATCTCGCCGTCCTCGCACGGGTACGTCACCTGTATCGCGTGCGAGGAGACGTGGCCGCGGCCGGAGTCGACGATGTAGTCGACGGTCTTGCCGCAGGCGCCGTACACGGTGTTGAAGTAGAGGATGACGTCCCTGCCGTCGTCGCTCCAGGGGATGCCGCGCAGGACGGCGTTGACGCCGGTGGTGGCGTTCTGGACGAGCACGACGGTCGGCGTCGGCGCGTGGACGAAGCGGGCCAGCGCCTCGCGGCACTCGTTGAGCAGGTCCGGCGCGTCGTACCGGATGAACTGGTCCGGCCGCGCCTCGGCCAGGTCCTGGTAGTGGCGCAGCCGCTGCCGGACGGCGCGCGGGCTCGCCCCGAAGGAGCCTACGTACGCGCGGTTAAACTGCGCTCTGCTCGCCGGCCGCCAGAGCGCCGCGCACGGGCCGACCTACCGTGATTCAGGTTGCGGTACCCCGGGTGGAAGTCGAAATGCTGCAGCATTCGCTGGCCGAACGCGGGCGGGCCGCAGCTTCGTTGATCCATGCTTCTCTCGCGGTCGCTGATGCTCAGCTCCGGTGACCGATCCTAAAGTCGGGGGATGGATTTACAGAGGTAACTAGATAATAACGGCCTCGACTACAGCCAGAGCGCTCGGGTGTGTTATATATTCCTAGAAAATCAAAGATTTCTCTGGTGGAACTCGGACCGTTCTGTCTGAGCTATCATCGGCGATCACAGTATGTATGGTCGGTGGAGCGTCTTCGGGTAGCATCGGGGATTATTGAGTCACATACTATAGAGTGGATAGGGGATAATAATTAGGGCTAGGGGTCCATTGATGCAATTTACGCGCCGCGAAGCCCTCGAAGCCAAGCTCAGAAGGGCGTAGACGAATATCGGTGCACCATGCACAACTCCGATATCGACGCCTACAGAATGAAAATGACCCTAACTGTTAGCCAAGGCTAGGGGGACATCGCTTTGAGCTCCCTACGGTATTTCTCGGGAAGCAGATCGACCTCCGGATGTAGGCCGTCCCGGCACAACCAGCCTATCTCGGAGCATATCATAATGCAACCTGTTACGACATATCACATTCACAATCTACTATGCGTATAAGTCACAGACGGGGGTAACTACGCTCGATTCATCCTAACGGGGAGCTCTATGTGTTAGCTAGTCTCGCAGTCAAAAACTAGCAGTCGGTTTGGGCAGCAGATTCTCCTCCACCCAAGCTTCGTCACAAGCGGTAAGTAATTTAAATCACGTTTAACCAGTTCGGTGGTGACGAGTAGCAGCAACGCAAGCTGCGGCTACGGCCCAGAGAAGCGTTGTCGTGGCCCCTCAAGCCCGTCGCACCGTACTGTAATAGTGGGCTCGGGCGACGACGGCGGCTCAGGACGGTGCGATTCGTCGAGGTTAATAGCCGGGGGAACTAGAGCCATTTGTTCCTCTAATGTCTCCCAAACCGTAGATTCCCGGAACGCCGTCCACTGTAATGCTGTCTGCCCGACTGTCGGTTCGTGGGCTGTCGGCTCCTGGACCGGCCACTGCCGTTGGCTGGCCGTGCTCGTCTCTCCTCCTCCTCCCTCTCCCTCTCCTGTTCCGTGACTATCTGCAGCAGCATGAGCACGGCCTTGGCCTGGCCCATGAAGCCTCCGAGTTCCGTGATGTAGAAGCCGACCTCTTCGCGATCCTCGAATCCCGATATGTTCCTGAGGCATTTGGCGAGGGCGTAGATTATGACCTCGATATGCGCCTCGAGGTCGGGTATGTCGAACTCCAGGTATTTCCGGTGTGCGTATTCGCAGTATCGGTAGGCGTCGATAGCCCCCTGAATATCTAGCGTATCCATGGTCTGGGACTGATTGCGGTGATTCTGTGGAGCTGCCATAATTCCGTGGATTTGTTGTAGGGAGATGCCCAGGCGTTATCGGTACTATTGGTGGGAGTTTTGTTGGTAAGAAGATGCTCAGACGGTCTGGATCTCGGGACTGTTGGTTAGAAGAGATGGGATAATCGTCGAGGGGTCAAGACTCTTATATAGTGTTTCATAACGCCTTCGTCCGTCCTAGCTCACATTCACATTGTCATATAGGCACGATTCAATTTCCTATCCCGTTCATTCCTCTTGGTTTTTTGCCTCAATAGGTCACGCAGCTCGCAGCCTCTACCGCACTTTTATCCCAATATTTACCTTGATAGACAGAGTTCAACTGCAGCGGTGACTAGATCCTGGCCTGATCTCTCATACTCTCCCGTGGTGGTCTACGAGTAACGTAAGCCGCATATTCACATAGGACGTGAAGAGAAATTATGTCAATTGTGTGGCTCAACGAGCATATCAACCAGTGAATGAGGTAGCATTTGTCGTAGGTATGACTTTATTCGTTGGTAACTCACCACTATGAAACCGTACAACCTCAACACCTCCTTGCCACGCCCTGTTAACGACGTTACCGGTAACTGCTCCTAATCTTCATAATACATATCTGTTTTAAATAAAGAGATCTTGATATTTAGGCCTACCTAAGAGTATTAAACGGTGACCTATGATGTTCGCCCTTCATTAAAATGCCAATGACAGCGAGTTGTCATTGTCTCCTAGTTTTCCAAATATTATCTCTCGAAACTTCCCTAGTTCGCAATACTGCCGGAACTTGCAGCTAAGTACCGAAGTCATAGCAGATGGGAAATTACTCGGTATGGATTCAACCCGAATGGCCCTCCTATTAATACCAAATAGGTATGACAGCAGCACACCCGAGAACGCAGAATCAACTGTAACGCTAGAGGCCTCCAGCCTATGTTTAGAGAATGAGTCATTAGAATCGATTTTGTCCACACCCTAAACAAACTGGCTATACAGGTCACGGCGGCTCTAGAGCCACACAGCGCATTGCCATGCTTACTATGTGCTTAGTTATGCTGGCGTCTCCTCTCCTCTCCCCTCCCCACTCGGCTACTATTCAAACTGGTCGTGTCTATACAACCTCTGGGTCCTCCGCTTCCGCGAGTCCGACACGGCGCGCTTGTACGTCGGCGGCCAGCAGGAGGGCTTCACGCGCCAGGCTGTCTGGAAGGAGCGCGGGCTCTCCATCGTCACCAAAGTCTGGCCGCTCCCCGCCGGCTCCCAAGAGCACGAGGCGCTGACGCGCGCGTTCGAGACCAGCCTCAGGGTGTTGGGTGCCGACTCCGTAGACGTACTTGGGACCCCCGGGCTGAGGAGCGGCTTCGATGCTACTGGCCGACGCGCGAGCGCAGATATTTTACCTCTACTCGCCTGTAAGATAAGACAGGCGTTCCATGAGGAGTTTCTTTCGTTTTCATCCTTGCGTTTCTATTTTTTGCCTCTCATTCTCTTGATGGAAAGGGAGAGGGGGTCTAGTCCCCCCTTCCCGCCACCGCTAACGTGGCAGCGACCGTCGGACCGGGTTAGGACCGTTCGGTGCCGTTCGCGCGGACGCTCTCGGCAGCTATGCGGCGTTCGAGGTGGCCGAGATCGCGACGACGTGCGCGCGGCACGACTGGGCGCGGCCTCCGGCGTCGCCATCGGCTTCTCGAACCTCCACCAGCTCACCGACAACCTCAGCTACCTCGAGAAGGGCCCGCTCGACGACGAGATCGTCGAGGTGCTCGAGGGCGCGTGGGGGGCGTCCAAGGGCGACATGGAGCCCTACTGGCAGATGCCGATGGTCTACGGCTACGACACCGAGAAGGCACTCTTCGGGCCCGATAGCAAGTGATCGGGATCGGTATGCATTTTTTGTGTGTGGCAATGGATGAACTCTTAGTAATATTGTACCACGTCATAGCCATCTGTTCTGAGACAGCTCCCATCGTCTATTTTATTTTATAAACCCCCCCCAGGAAAGCCATGTCCTAACCATTGCTACTGCACTCGATCCTCTTGGCTCACAAGCATGGAACGACCGTATAGGTGTAGCAAATTACAAAGCAGTAGAATGGTGTTTAGCGTTAGGTAGCTAGGCAAGGAGTGGCACGGAGACGTGCGTGTACGTAAATGCGCCCGAATGCCTGCCTACTCCTTGCTAGTAATATAAAAGCACTGCTACCTCGGAATGAAAAAAAGCGTGCAACCTTTTTTAGAAGCGCCTCAGATCCTGGGTCTCACCTTCTGTCGCGCGCTTAAGGGGATTATGCGCCGTCAGTCGCAGGAGTGAAATGTCGGCTATATCAAATGAGGGCAATCGGTTAGCAGGCGGGGGAAAAAGTCATTCACGGAGACGCGATGAGAAGTGAAAGCGAGCAAGCGGTGGTGAGAAAAAAGGGGGCAGGAGTAGTAGAAACTCACGGTATGATAATACGGTAAGCATCCACATCCTTCCGCTCAAAGGTGACGAAGACGATCGTTTGTAGCGTCGCGCCAGCGTCGCTATCCAGGAACTTCCGGACGGTGTCGCATGCGATATGCGCGGCGTCCATGCTGGGGTAGCCGTAGACGCCGGTGCTGATGGCGCTGAAGGCGATGGTCTCGAGGTTGTTCTCGACGGCGATCCGGAGGCTGGTATCGTAGCAGCTCCGGAGGTAGGCCTCGCTGCCGGCGGGGTCCTGCTGGTTGTAGATGGGCCCGACGGCATGGATGACCTTCTTGCACGGTAGTTGGTAGGCGCCGGTGATCTTGGCCGATCCGGTGCGGCAACCGCCGAGGGTCTGGCACTCCTGGCGCAACTCGGGGCCGGCGGCGCGATGGATGGCACCGTCGACGCCGCCGCCGCCGAGGAGAGAGCTATTGGCGGCGTTCACGATGGCGTCGACAGACAACTTGGTAATGTCGCCGCGGTGCAGACTGATGCGGTGGTTATGCGCCGACGATGCGCCTGGGATGGGTGGGAGTCGGGAAGGGCGGAGCTCTCCCTGCTTGTAGAGGAGGCTGACCGGCAGCATCTCGGAAACCGAGTGGGAAGCCATCCTAGCGGCGGGACGGAACATGTGCCGAATGTGGTTCGCAGGGCGGAGTGGCCCGGGGAGGCGGGGCGTGCCTTGCTGAGGAGGGGCGGGTGATGGCAGCGAGGACGGAAGATGGCGACGCGCGTATTTGTAGAGACTGTGGGCGAGCGTATTTATTGCTGAAGACAGGAGATGGTTGGGAGATGGGTTAGGAGGAGGAGGAGGAGGAGGAGGAGGAGGAGGAGGTTGAGCCGTTGATGATTTCGGTTGGATTCCTCTTCCAGCTTGCTCGTGGCTTCCATTGAGTTTGACGTCGCTGCCGAAGACGGATTCCCCAAACTGAGCTTCGGCTTATCGATAAGGCAAGCCGGATTCGAAGGTGAAGTATAAACCGCGTGTACCTACTAGTACATATACCTACGAATATTCTGTTGGAGTACCTAGGTAGATCTAGGTAGATACCACCTCTGGAAGTCCCTGTACCCAGGGTTGCAAATAGCCTACCGTCCGATTCACTCGATGACCTCCTATATCCTCTTTTACACTCTCAGGTCTGGATCCTGTCTTAGCCAGCTTCGGTGTTTTTTTCTCTCTATTCTTCCCCTGTCTCCCGTCTCTAGGAATAGGTGGTGCCTACGTAGAGAGAGAGATTTTGCGCCAACGAGCTGAGTGCCTCAGGCATTAATTTCGAGCGATAACAGGTAGGACACACACACACCCTCGTCTCTCTTGCCGAGGAAGCCCCCAGCATAGCTGCCTACTAAGGCATGGCTCATCCCCGCGCTCGGGCGCCGCCGGGCTCTCTGTAGGAATCACACATAGCGCTAAGCCAGTACCTGAGCCCACTAAAGACCGCCACGGCAACGTCTTTCCAACCGTCTCCGTCCCTTTTCCGTCACCAAGCGTCACGCCGCGAGGGCATCGAGGGCGTCTTCGCGCACGGCAGACATACCCTCGCGGTATTCTCTAGGCAGTGGCTTAGCAAGAGCCGACACGCTTGCCTCCCCATCCCGGCCAAACCAGCTTCACGGACCCCCGGATTTCCGTGTGCGAGGGATCCTCCATCTCAGGCCCCTAACGCAGCCCTGTCTCTTTCCGTCCTCACTTCGGTTAGACGACCCCATATCTCACACGGCACCCGCAGATAACCCCAACCGCCCTATGCTAGCGAGAAACGAAGGGGCAGCGAGGCGGAAGCGGACAGGCGGTGTAATACCATCCGGGGTTGGTGGGGAAGACCTGCGGTCTATTCTGAGCATCTCTGGGTATCTCCGTTATGCCTGGGTATTTCGAGTATAGGTACGCCACGAAGCTACGATGGCATCCAACTGTGCTGTGCGGTGCAGTGCAAATGTACGTCGAGGCCTCCTGTCTCGGTGGTCTTGCTTATGTCTTATTCGCACCGTAGCCTGACTCGTAGCGATCGCGTTGTCACCCCTCGTACAGGCTGGCAAGTGCCAAAACATAGCAAGGGGATCTTCACGGATGCCATAAGGCCAATGCTGGTTGTCTTGTTCTACAAAACAATCGCCATCTGCGTCTGGAAACAGTCTAGGCGATGGGGCATCTATCATGTCCTTTCAGTTGCTCATCCGTGGTGATAGGCCGTGCTCCCACAAAGAAATTGAGGAGCTGTGCGCAATCAATAGCATTGTCGACTAGGAGGCCACTCCCTGGAACCGCGCCGGAAGAAAACCATTAATTACAGCAATCTCGCCCCCCCTGCCGCGCATCATAGATTCTGATTATCCGAACCTTTCTACACTAGAACCGCCTCTCGCCCGGAGGGTGAGTGGTCATTGTCTAGCAACGATGGAGCACCTCCGAGCACGCATCGACGGTGGCGCAACGGGAAGTGAGGGGGACGTCAAGGCCCAGGGCCTCGTAGCCGTTGCCGTTTTCCTCACCCTCTTATTCGTCAGCATAGGCGTAGCCTGCGCACTCGTCGTGAAGGAGATCCTGTTCCTGAGAAAGCACGCCGAATGCGATATCGAGATGGGGGATTGCGCACCCAAAGACAAGGAGAATGGTGACGACCTTCGTCGCGGTAGCGGCAGCGAGGACACTCTCAGTAGAGATACTCCTACTCGGTCGGAAGGGGGCGAAGGGGAGCAGGAGGCGCCACCGTCGACGTGGCCCCTGAGCGAGCCTAAAAGCCACAAGAGCTCGGAAAGTGGCACCATGGCCTCCTCGTTTTTCGACGAAGGCAACAAGATTAGAGACTGGGTTCGCAGGAAGCTCAGCCGGATAGGTCATAAGCTGCGTCGCGAAAAAGCCGAACATCACGCCCAGAGGGAGGAGGAGTCTGACGTGGGAGGGGAGCCAGCTGGGGCCCCTCCCCCGGACGCAGACCCCAGGCCAGCTCCTCGTGTCTCAGCTGTGGAGGCTCCACCGTCCCCAGAGCACGCTGCGGGCCAAGACGACGTCCAAGCTGAGCAGTCGCCTCCCCAGGGCGCTGGCCGTCACGAGGAGGAAGAGGATCTGTACGGCGTAGAGGATATCCCCTCGGTAGTTGCGCCGAGCGCGCGAAATGAGCCAGAGGTGATTGGAGACCACCTTCCAACGGCCTTGTGAGGAGGCGGAGGGGTCCCCCCTGGCGACGGCTATACGGTGTCGTATTATGAGAATTAGTCCTGTTTCTGTAGGTATCTACCTAACGCAAAACTTGGCAATCAATAGTGACTTGGAAGTGAAGCAGAAAAAGGATGACCACATACATATGTTGACACAAGTGTGAAGACCTTCGATATACTATTACCTAATTCCTATCTGAGCGGAAATGGCCACGGCATATTGCCCCCCATTATACCTATGCCATCGCATCGTACACCGTCTCTGCGCCGGCTAGTCCTCTCTTATAGCGACAGAGGGCGATATAGTAGTAATAGGTGAAGAGAATGACTAATTGTGTCAACTAACACCCTATACAGTGTCATACAGCACTAGCTACTCTTAGATCTATAATCGCGACTATAACCGGATCTCATCCAGAGTTCTCGTAAACATCTCGCTCCACTGTTATGCCTTATCTCTCTACCGTACCGTGAATTACGCATAATGACACAGAGCAGGGATGTCAGATCGATTCCAGCCACGTATAATCTCCGCGCGGTTATCAGAATGCGCCGATGTGGGAGCGGCCCCTCACGTCCGCTATCGTAGATAACCGATATGGTGTTACGCCAAGATGAGGTTGCGGCAGAGTGACCGGCAATACTGCATCCCACATGGTTCTTATGGACTTTCCGGGTAGTGCAAGGGGGCCTGGTCTGGTACGGTACGGGAGTGGCATGGCTCGATGAGGAAAAAAAACGGATTTTCGGGTTGGAACGCAGCGTTTTTAGTGTCTGGTCTTGATAAGTCATCCCGGTGCTGGCGCGGTAGGGGACGGCAGGGGGCGGGATAACTTCCAGAATAGCATAGTACTGTTGCTGACTTTGCTAGAAGGCGACTAGGATAGATAGAGAGGAAGAGATAGAGAAGGATAAGGAGAGATAGGGAGAGAGAGAGAGGGAGAGAAGGAGGGAGAGGCAGGGAGCAGCAGGGAGTAGACATATGCACAACGGCAGATAAGGGGCCAAGGACGTCGATCGCGGTCTCTCTCTTCATAAGCCGGAGGTGTCTTGCACTGGGTTTCCTCAACACCTGCTCCTCAGAGACAACACATTTCTCATTGCCGAAGACAGCAGTGCGATATCCCCCTTTACGATCAAGATGTCGCCGTCGTCGGATGAGCCGCACCAGGCGTTGGGGTGGAAAGACCACTGGAAGGCCATGATCGCCATGGCCGTCGTGTCCCTCGGCGCCTTCCAATACGGCATCGACTTTGGCATCATCGGCGGTCTCCAGGCCATGGTCCCGTTCCTGCAGGTGAGGCGGACGTGCGTGCCCGAAGAGCCCAGCAAGCGCCCTTCCGCTTACACGTGCGCGTGAAGGTCTTCGGAGTCGAAGACCCGTCGACGCCTCTAGGCTACAACATACCGCCAGACCGGCAGCAGCTCATCGCGTCCCTGATGGTCCTCGGCGCCTTCATCTCGTCGTCGTCTGCCGGCTTCACGGCGAAGTGGGTGGGCCGCAAGCTGTCCCTGTGGATAGCAGCGGTCGCCGTCTTCGCGTCGACCGCGCTCATGCAAACCAGCACGGACATCGGAGGCCTGTACGCGGGAAGAGTCATCATCGGACTCGCGAACGGCCTGCTGATGACACATTCCCAGCTCTATGGTACGTTGAACAAGCCCTCTGCGGTACTACTTGGCAAATGCTGATAATTCCTGGGTAGTAAGTCGCGAACGCCTTCAAACCCCCTTTCTCGAGAGCCGATCGCGCCAGCATTGTGGATATCTATCTAGATTTTCACTATTACAAGGCAGACACGGTTGTCAAACATGTCTATTCTCCCTCTCGCAGGACATAAGAAAATAGAAGCAAGAAAAAAAGAAGACGCATTCTCGCAACGCGCGCAGTCCATTCCTCGCTACGTATAGAGTAACTAACACACAAAACAGATCCAGGTAAACTACGCCGCCGCCGCTCACGGCCGTCTTCTCCCCGGTAGTTACTCACTATACCATAGGAAAGTCTCCCTAGCCGGTACCGAGGCCTAGGCATCTCCTTTGTCACGTACTGCACTTCCTTCGGTAAGCGGGCTGGCGACTCCTTTCCCCGGCTGGCTACCACCACCGCCCTCCTCCTGCTCCTCCTCGTCCCGCTAACGCCCCAGGCTCGCTCATCGGGACGATCGTGGACAACTTCGGGGCGAAGCTGCCGGACCGGCGCGCGTACGTGATTCCGCTGGGGATCGTACACATCGTGCCGGGGTTGATGAGCATCGGGCTGTTCTTCGTGCCGGAGTCGCCGCGCTGGCTCGCCGCCCGCGGCGACCTCGTCAAGGCCGCCACCGCCCTGCGCTGGCTGCGCCCCGCCGCCTGGCCCGTCGACCGCGAGCTCGCCGACATGCAGGCCGCCCTCGACGCCGAGGCCAGCCTCGGCTCCGGCCTCGGCTACGCCAGCCTCTTCAAGACCCCCGTCGACCGCCGCCGCACCATCATCGCCGTCTCTGCCCTCACCAGCCAGGCCGCCTCCGGCGCCATATTCATCTTATGTCCGCAGTCCCTCCTCTAACCCCCCTTGTTTTTTTTGCGCTGACCCGCCGCGCGCGCGCCGCAGCGTACGGGACGTACTTCTTCGAGATGGCGCACGTGGGCAACGCGTTCGAGAACACGTGCATCCTGGTGGGGGTCGGGGCGGCGGCGCTGCTCGCGACGTCGTTGCTCATCACCAAGTTCGGCCGGCGGCGGCGCATGATGATCGCCGGCTTCGCGCTGTGCGGCGCCGCGCAGCTCGCCATCGCCATCGTCTACACCGTCCGCCCCAACGCCCAGAGCTCCGGCAGGGCCCTCGTCGGCCTCAGCGTCGTCTACCTCTTCGCCTACAACTCCCTGATCGCCCCCTACGCCTGGCTCTGCGGCGGCGAGCTCTCCTCCCAGCGCCTCCGCTCCCACACCTTCGGCCTCGCTACCGGCCTCGGCTTCTTCTCTGCTGTGAGCTCCCCCCCCTCCCCCCTTACTATTTTCCACTCTTGCCGCCTTTCGGGAATCGGTAGCTAACTAGTCGCAGTGGCTCACCAGTATGCTTACTCTCCCCCCCTTTCCATGACTTTAGTAGTTTCTCCCCCCCCCAAGAATCCCCACCGTTGGAAGCACTGAATAACACAACGCAGCATTCACGGCACCCTACTTCATCAACCCCGACTCGCTCAACTGGGGGCCCAAGTACGGGTACATCTGGACGGGCGCGTGCTTCGTCACCGCGTTCTGGGTCTACTTCTACCTGCCCGAGGTCAAAGACCGGTCGCTGGAGGAGATCGACGAGATGGTAAGTCGGCCCGCGGACGGGCGACAGGACCGCCTCGCTAACCACCGCCCTTCCGCCGCAGTTCGAAGCCCGCGTCCCCGCCCGCAAGTTCGCCAAGTATCGCTGCACGGGCGCGCACGTCAGCGGCGAGAAGCCCTTGCCCGAGGACGTCGACGAGGAGGCCGACGGCGGCGCCGAGAAAGGCGCGAAGGAGTAGACGCTGTTTGGGCATACAATGGCGTTGTTCCACCGGAAGGCCAAGCTCGCAGCTGTCTCTCTATTTACGTTACGCTATGCTCCGTGACAGCGCGTGTTACGCGGGGAAAAGGGGGGATGAGAAAGGGGGAAGGGGTGGAAGGAGACTGGTTACCAGTCGAGTCGTAGCGATTCGACCACCAGGATAGCCTCGAAGTGATTTTATAAATCATACTCGGTTTAAAAACACCAACATTGTCGCATACACCACGCACCTCTGTGCGTATCTCCGTGCGAGACGATCTGGGCTTCTATTATGTCCCTTTTCAGTGCCACTTAGAAATCCGCGCAGGCTGGGAGCATATAGACAGATAATATCACACTCTACAGGTTCGCAACAAGTGAGCAAAAGGACGAGAAATTTACTTCCCCTGTATCTAACGCGCGTCTGCAAGTATACTTAAGCGGGTACATCTACGCCTTGGCGAGGATCTCCTTGACGACGTCGTCGTACGTCTCCTCGGCGTCCTTCTCGACGTCGAAGTCGAAGATCCAGGCCTGGCGCGGGAGCTGGACGATCTCGGGGTTCTCCCTGACGGCGTCCCAGTCGGTCTTGTGCCACATCTCGCGCGTGGTCTCGCCCGTCTTCTGGACGCGGCGCACGCGCTCGTACCGGATGCGCTCGTGCGCGCGCACCGCCGTCGGCACGGCGGCCCGCCCGCCGCGCCGCAGGCACACCGCGATCGCCACGCCGTCCTCGAGCGCCTGCGCCGCCCCCTGCGCGCTCGTCGGCAGGAACGGGTGCGCCGCGTCGCCCAGCAGCACGATCCGCCCCGCCGCGCTCACCCACGTCGGCAGCGGGTCGCGGTACACCAGCTTCCAGTCCACCAGCCGCTCCTCCGGCGTCTTCGCGATGATGCGGCCGCACATCGGGTCCCAGCCCCGAACCGCCTCCTGCACCTCCGACAGCTTCCCCGGGAAGCTCCACGACTCGTCGATGTCGTGCGAGTCCGGGTGCGTCAGCACCCAGCAGCAGTCGGAGCCGTTCTTGATCGTGCTGAATAGGAAATGCATGTCCGGCCCTATCCAGCCGTTGAACGTGTCGCCGTTGTTGCAGAAGTGAGCAGTCTCCGGATCCGCGAGCATGTCCTTGTTCGGGAACCTGGTATTGCCATATTAGACACTGCGCCGTTGTCCGAGGAAATCAAGCGGAGGATGCGCAATTACCATGATCGCCAGACGGCATAGCCGCTGCTCTTCGGCTTGTCTTCGTAGCCGAGGACCGACTTTCGTGCCCTGGACCGCACCCCATCCGACGCGATCACTACATCGGCGGTAATCTCATCGTTTTGTCAGCGGACGGCGCTCGCCAAAATTGCGCGTGGTTACGCAGAGCACTCACTCTCTCCCCGCTTTCCAGCACGATTCCCGACTCTTTCTCGTCCTCGAAGTACGTCGAGATCTTGTTGCCGAGGTGGATCGGTATTTTAAGATCGTCTCTCGCGTAGTTGAAGACTACCTCGTGCAGCTCGCCCCTGTGGCCGTTGAAGTTCGGCGCGTCCTCGGCGTACTCTGGCGTCTTCTGATTGATGACGATCTCGCCGGTGTCGTACTTGTGGATGTTGAAGCCGTACCGCCTCAGATCGATGCTCAGGGGCCGCATGCGCCGGGCTACATCGCCGTTGGACCAGCGGTGGAATATCCTGCCCGCGTTGGGGCCGAACGATATGATATCGCCGAGTACCTTAAGCTCAGGGAAGGCCTCGTAGATCTCGACATCGTGTCCTTGGCGGCGGCATTCTATCGCCGCTCCGAGACCACCGAAGCCTGGCAAGAGAGGAGGGGGTAAGAAAGGTTAGAGAGGCCAGGAGCTGGAAGATGGTGTCGGAGGGTTTTATGCGACGCTCGTGCCATACATACCGGCTCCGACGACGATGACCTTCACGCCCGTCTTAGGTCGCTCCGATGCACCGTTCGTGCCGTCGGTGTGACCGTTGGTTGCCATCTTGATATTCGAGATACCGCGCAATAATGGCCCGGAGCGTGCGAGGATATGATGGAGAGTCCCGTCGTTAGAGAGGGCTTAGAATACCAGAGTCGCGACTGGATGAGAGGGCTACTTTAGGGGTGAACCGACGACCAATAGGGTCTTGATGCCGTCTACAGTTGAATATGCCGGGCTGCGACCCAAGCCCAGCCAGCGGCTCTATCCAGGACAACCCCATTCTGGATGCGGGGGCGGGGGCGCTCACATTGGTGATTTGATCCATCTTTATAAGCAGCGGAGGAGAGACTATCGCTCGTCACGTTTCCGAATCCGGGGCCAAGGCACCAGGGGGGCACCGGCAATCGTGGGAGCGTATGGAGTTGGGGTAGCGCCCAATAGTTTGGCCGAGCAGGAGTGGGTAGAGAGAGAGCGCTGCTGCGGAAGCTCTGCGTCGTTGTCCTCGCTCATTGACCTTAGGCTATACTGGAGAGACAAGCCTCGGCCCAGAATGCCCGAAGCGAGCTGTCAGCGATGCCGATGGCCTCGACGATCCCGAATTCGTCACAGGCGTGTCCCGGCAATGATGTAGCGGGAGTCAGGATCGGGTAGTAACCAGCCGCGCATCATAGCTGCGCACCCTCGTTTCGGTCGTTCGACGTCTATGTAAGCCCGTGACGGGACGCCACATAACCACTCCATTGATGAGCTCACGGCCATCGCACGATCCGGTATGACTTCGAACCCAGCGTGGGGCGAGAGCACTTCCGCGCTCGAGGTCGCCAAGGCCTACGCACAAGGAATTGAGGGCAAAAACGGTGAGCAGCTGGCCCCTCGCGGATATCCTGCTCTCTCCGCTCTAACAATAACACTACGCGGCAGTCTTAGTTACAGGTGTCGCGCCCGAGGGTGTGGGCTCAGGCACGGCTCTCGCCTTCGCATCCCAGAAGCCGGCCATCCTAATCTTGGCGTCGAGGACAAAGGAAAAGCTCGAGGCTGTGGCGTCGTCGATTCGCGCATCCTACCCGGGAGTTGATGTGCGGACGGTCACGGTAGACTTAGCCTCTCAGGCGACAATCCGCAAGGCGGCCGTCGAGGTTGCCGGCCTGATCTCGAAGCTGGACATTCTGGTAAACAATGCTGGAGTGACTTATGATACGCGCCGCTGGACCGTAGAGGGCATCGAGATGCAATTCGGCGCCAATCATATCGGCCCATTCCTCTTCACGAAGCTGCTGTTACCGCTGCTAGAGAAAGCAGCCAAAGACCAGCCCGCTGGGGCAACTCGCATAGTCAATCTCGCCAGCCACGGCCATCGCCTGTCTACGATTCGTTTCCACGACTATAATATCGAGAACAAGGAGGTACCCCCCGAGGAGAAGCCATTCTCCCCCATGCCGCCTGCGTTTTCGCGGGTCTGCGAGGACGGTTATATGCCTACCGTTGCCTATGCGCAGAGCAAGACGGCCAATATCCTTTTCACTCTCTATCTTCAGGAGCACTTGAAGAGCAAAGGGATCATGTCCTATGCTGTCCATCCGGGAAGTATGAATGCCGCTTTGAATTGTGTTTTCTTGCACCACGGCTTAGAGTTGGAATACGAATCGTTCTCTGACGCGATATTTTGGGGAGTGTCATAGGTGTTAGTACCAATCTCGGTCGAGACCACGATCCAGAGATGGCCGAAGCTATTGCGAAAACAGCCAAATACTGGAAAACCCCTGACGAGGGCGCTTCGACAAGTCTTGTCGCCGCACTAGACCCAGCGCTCAACGGTAAGTCGGTTCATATGTCGCTTTTTCCTTTTAGCAACTGTCGCTCATGATGGTCCCAGAACGCGCTGGTCTTTACTTAGCCGATTGTCAATTTTTCCCTGCCGCGGAGCACGCCCGTGACCCGAAGATAGCTGAGCGGCTCTGGAAGCTCAGCGAGGAATTGATCAGAGAGAAGTTCGATCTGGGATGAGAGCGTCCGTAGCATTTTAGCGAACAGGGTAGGCTGCGAAAACGGATTCCGTTCGAGATCAGACGAACACTCATCGCGACCCAACGCGATAGGGCCGAATTGATTTTTTTTTTTGTTTGCGCAAAGCAACCCACAGCGAGACGGTGGCACATCTCTTGGCTTGTACACGATGGCACAGTTCTGGCCTTCTGGGCAGCCGTATTTATAGATCGGATCTCCCGAAGCGGTCGATATCTCGTGGTAGCTCCGTCGCCACCTTTCTAATTTCAAGGCCAGATACCACGCCGCGCTGTTTGTAAGTTCCGGATACTACACAGGAACGTGTATATCCCAGGCTGAAAATCACACGAGGATGCCTAGATCGTTCGCCGAATCGATAGTGCTTGTATACTTCCAACCCCGGCTAAACCGGTTGTATATGCGAGCGCTGCTGCTCCTGGACGAGCTGTGCCGAAGTCCATGCCTCAGAGCCTATTTAATAAGACAGAGTAGATGAGCAAGATTCTATCTCATCTGGATATTTCATCTTCGCCCGGGGTTCTGATGGCGCTCGCGCATTCTCTGTTACAGATAGAACACGACTGTCCGCGGTTTATCTGGCTCAAAGGCTGCTGTTCTATTCTGTTGCTTTGAGCGGGCCCTGGGGGCTCAGATCTAACGCGCATTATGAGATTAGCGCTTCTGGGCGCTCTTCTTGGAGCATGGTCATATCACGCCGCCGCGGAGACGCTGGTTACCCGCGAGGTAGTTCATGAGCTCCCGTCGGGATGGAGATTCGAGGAACCGGCAAAGGCGGGCGAGCCGATACGACTATCACTTGTGCTCAAGCAGCCCAGGATCAACGAGCTGAAAGACAGGCTCAACCGAATCAGTGATCCCAGCAACGCCCAATACGGCCACCATTTGACAAGGGAAGAGGCGAAGGCATACGAAGCCCCCGATCAAAAGTCCCAGTATCTAGTCCAGCAGTGGCTCAGATCCAATAAGATTGGGAATGTAATCGCTGACGGCTCGATCGTGACCATTACCGCGACGGTCGCCGAGGTGAATAGGATCCTTAACACCTCCCTGGGTCGGTATTCCTTTCAGGGATCCCACACGGTCCTGCGCGCACTGTCGTACTCGTTACCCCGAGTCCTCGAGGGGCATGTTGACTTTGTCTATCCCATCTCCAACTTTATGCAACCGTCTCAGAACAGGTTGAAAACCCTCCCCGTAGGGAAGGCGGCCATGGCAGCGAACGAAGAAGAGCAGCCCTGCCCGACCGGTGTCAACCCGGCGTGCCTGAAGAAACTCTACAATGTGACGTACGCTGGCACGACGGCACCCGCCTCATCGCGTGTCCGATTTGGCATTGCCGGATTCCTGGAGCAGTGGATCAAGTATGACGACGTGGCCGCGTTCATCGGCCGGTACGCGCCCGAGGTCGCGGCGCAGGGCTACAATTTCACAGTCGCCACGGTCAACAACGGGACGAACCCGCAGCCGAACACGCCGACCTCGCGTGCCGGGCTCGAGGCGAGCCTCGACGTCGAGTACGGCGTCGCCATCGGCCACCCAACCAACGTCATCTACTACTCGACCGGCGGTCGCGGCGAGAAGATCGACTACAATGGCCATCCAATCCCGGCTAACCGCAGCGACAACGAGCCCTATCTCGAGTTCCTGCAGTACCTGCTCAACCTCGGAGACGACGACCTGCCCCACGTGGTCAGCATCTCGTATGCGGATGACGAGCAGTCCGTGCCGCTCCCATACGCTCTTCGCGTGTGCGACCTGTTTGCCCTCGTGGCCGCGCGTGGGGTGTCTTTCTTCTCGGGGTCGGGCGACGGTGGCGCCAGCGGCATCGGGCAGAACGAGTGCTACAGCAACGACGGGCAGAGGCGACGCATGTTCCTACCGACGTTCCCGGCCAGCTGCCCGTACGTGACGTCGGTGGGCGCGACAGGGAACCGGCTGCCCTTCGAAGGTGCCGTCTTCAGCACCGGTGGCTTCAGCAACTATTTCGCGCGGCCGGCGTGGCAGCAAGCCGCCGTCGACGGCTACCTCACCGCCATCAACGGCTCGCACCGCGGCTTGTACAACGCGAGCGGCCGCGCGTTCCCCGACGTCAGCGCGGCCGGCACGGGGTACGTCATCGAGGTCGGCGGCTACGAGACCGATGTCCTCGGTACAAGCGCTAGCACGCCCGTCGTCGCAGCTCTCGTCGCGTTGATCAACGACGCTCGGCTCAATGCCGGCAAGAACAGCACCGGCTGGCTCAACCCGACGCTTTACTCGGACCCCGTGCGTGAAGCGCTGGTGGACGTGGCTGCGGGTGTGAGCCAAGACTGTGTGTTTGGTAGGGATAGGGTGCGCGGATGGCAGAGCGTAAAGGGGTACGATTGCGTGACAGGTCTTGGTTCCATAGGCGACTTCGCGAAGCTGCTTGAAGTACTGGGGTGAGGAATCTCTCCGTCGACCTGGGTGCGAGTTATCATCGGTCCGAGGAATATAGCGTGATGTATCGATGCAGAAATAACGGGAATTTAGGTACGTAGATCTAAGAGTAGGCTCGGTATATTCTATTTCCGGAACAAGCATTGTTGAAGACGTTTCACGTGGAAGTTCATTCAATCGATGCCTTGGCCCCAGCGCACGACGATATTATGCTCTACGTCAAATTGTTATCTCTCGAGATGAGATAGGCTGCTGGAAACCCCCTGCTGTACGCAACTAGAGGAATGTCTCTGAGCTACCGGAAAAGGTATACCTCAAATCCCTCATTAACAGGTGTTAGGTAGATTAGGTACAATTCGTGGAAGCGGGCTCCCGTTGTAATCGCCAAGCACTATCATTGTCGAACCGGCGTGAGTTGAACCGGAAGTGGTGTCTTATCCCAGACGATGAAAGCATTCTTCTGCTTGCTGATCCAGTTATGACTATTTGGATCGTTGGACCTCTTCATATTGAAATTGAACACCATACGAGCCAGAATGAGGCGCATTTCGATGAGGGCCAGGCTGCGCACTAGCATTAGTACACCGGCGTGACAGAGGGAGGCGTCTTAGCACGTACTTCTGCCCGATGCAGTCTCTCGATCCGGTGAAGAAAGGCTTGAACGCTTCGCGTACATCGTTCGCGTATTTCGGATCCCCCGTGAACCGTTCCGGTCGAAACTCATTGGGTTCCGTCCACAGGGTGGGGGTGCGATACATGGCCCAAGGCCAGACGCCAACGACAGTCTGCGCCTTGAATCAGCCGGCCCAGTTTGGCCATCTTTCGTGGGGTGTAGTATTTTACTAACGTTCTTCGGGACGTGTACTCCAGCGATAATAGTGTCCCTGTCTGTTAGTCGCAGCGATGGAGAGCCAGTCTGAGGAAATAGCCTCATCGCTTCGTCTAAACAAGCCACGAGGTACGGTAGGCGGGAGACGGCTTCGGCTGTGATCTGGCTCTCGTCCTCGAACGCGGAACGGACCTCCGACTGGAGCTTCGCGAGTCTGTCGGGGTTGTCGATGAGCAGCGATGCGACGGCAGTTAGGGCTCCAGCACTCGTCTCTGCGCCAGCGCCCACGATGACATTAGTGTTGATGATAAGGTCGGACATCGAAGATTCCTTTGGAATATCTGGTTAACAGTGCCTATTGTATGGGTTTGTGGTAGTTAGGATACTTACGCCGCCATTTTGAAGGCGCACGAGAGGGTTAATGAGATCCGGCCGTTCGCCAACCGCGAGGCGCTTCTCTACCATTGGCTTCACCATTTCGTTGAGAATGTGCACAAGGCCCCTTGCTGATATGCCTAAAATTGGATTCAGCAGCGCGGTCAAGGCGGGGTACATGTTGATCGCGGTGAGGAAGCCCATCGGCTTCCCGCCATCGATCATGGCCATGATCCACGGATGTAGGCCGTCGCTCTCGAGGCATCTAAAAGATTCGCCTACGGTGAGGTCACAGATGATGTCGAAAACAACGTATCGGAACCATAGCTCTAAGTTGATAGGGCCATCTGCGCACTTCTCCCTCAAACGCTGCATTAATAAGTCCACGTACTTGATCATCATGGGTTCTTGCGCTCGCAAGGAAGCATCGGAGAACCCCGGGGCTAAGGTCCTGCGAAGAGAACGGTGATAGTCCTTGTCGATGGTATTCTGTATATGTGGCGGAAGAAATGCGGGCACGCCGTACATTCCACGCCTGGCATGAAGGGTATTAGCTTGGACATACGGGGGGGATGGGAGGGGAGAAGGGTGGCTGGTGAAGCGATCGATTCAGAGATCGGAGCACAATTCAAAGCGTCGCGCAACACACCACTTAGGAATCTCCGAAGCACCACCTCCCATTATGTCCCGCCAGGCGCGGGGATCGAGAAAGGCCAGCTCATCCGGAGCGACGCGTACGACCGGGCCGTATTTGTTATGGATACGGACGGAATCGAAGACGATCCTACCGCGAAGCAAGGCAACAGTCCAGGAAAGCCGAGTGGCGCGCCGAAGGAGCGGGCCGGGGAAAGACGCGAGCGGATGCAAGTAGAGGTTGTAGAATATGTTACCGGCGATATAGAGCGCGGTCTACGTTTGAGGCGCGTTCAAGTTAGCTTTGTACGGCCCATATGTGGTCGTCATCTCGGTGCTCGAAACGGAGCACTGTTAAAGAGAGCTTCGGCGTACACCAATGAGAAGAGCCCCAGCGATGGCCGCGAAGCCTATCGAACCCAGTAGGCCCATGATCCCTGGGTGCCAACCTTGTCAGGGGTAGTCCGATGGGGTGGTACGGAATGAATAGAAGCAGGGCGATGGAGCTAATGGGTTAAGGCAATTTCGTAGAGAATATATGTCAGGTCGGTATCTCAATCTACGGCGAGGAGGCGGGAGGATTGAGTTGACGAATGACTGACGCTACGTATATGAAAATACGGAGCGAAAGATCGAGACGAGCTGGACAAACTGTCCATATGTACTACGGTTTGGCCACAGCGTTCTGCCGCTACCCCTCATAGATTCGACCTCGCGGCAGCGTGGGAGAGGGACAAGGCATACTCATGCGCGTTCCGGCAGGCTAGACTTCGGTGCCGTAGCGAGCGGTGTGTCTTGGCCAGCAGATCAAGAAATGCGAGTAGGCATGCTCGGATTCCAGCTGATCCGACCAGCCAGTAACCGGGGATTCGAGAGGCCAGCAGAGCGGGGAGCAGGGTAGATCCCCGGCGCCGACCCGAGATTTGTTGATGTAGACTGCCCCCATGGCACACGCCAATTTGCGGGTCTTCATAGACGTGCGAATCGTCGTCGCCGCTGGAGAGGGCGTGGGAAGCTGTTTCAGCCGTGACCTTGCCTTGCCGCGACTGGGTAAGGTGACGACGAATCAAGCAAGACTGGTGGAAGTGTCGAAAGAGAGAGAGAGAGAGAGAGGGGGGGGGGGGATATTCTGTCTGGCTGTAGATATTGTTTGTCTCCCTCCTCCCTCTGCTTCTCCTGTAGGTACCTCCCTCCGGTTTCTCCCTCGCTTCTCCCCGCGGCCCGCCGTCGATTGTTCCGTTAGCTCCACGGCCGGATACGGATATGGCGCCTACTAGGCCTGTCTGCGCAGGCACGGCGTGTCCGTCGCTCGGGGCGGAGACCAAAACGCCAACGACGATGCGGTGATAGTTGAGAGGAAGCGGGACGGTGCCGTACCCAGGTACCTGCATTCCGTGGTGAGGTTTAATAGGCCCCCATTCTCCTAGCGAGTGGTTTACGAGTAGGCCGATAGATACATATGCGATTAGGTACCTATGCGTAGCTTCAACATGCACTGAGTTGGGGGGGGCGGAGGGTAGGTTATAGGCACTGACATCCCGTCGCCGTGCTTCTAGTTGTGGCTCCCCGCATCGGCATTGTCCCGTCCCGCACATTAGGCGGGTACTTCGCGATGGGTGGAGCATAGTCTCTAAGTATAGGGTCTTAGGCGCCCGCTATTGGGTGATTCAACTGCTGTTCATGAGGTACCTACCTACCTAGGTAGATCGAAACAGCCTCCTATAAGGTAGAGAGGTAGGTAGATGCCTTAGGTACCTTAGGTACTCATAAGGTACCATCGAAGCCCTTCCCTACCCATCGCCGGATTGTGTACGGGCTATGGGTTGGAATAAGCCCTTGCTGTACCTGTGCGCAACCTATCGGCACTAGCACCTTAGAGTCAAGACTCACACCATAGGCGTAGGTGTAGGTACCTACCTACCTACCTCCTGGCAAGTACCTCTAGGTCAGCTCATAGTACCTGCAGCCATGGGTGGAAAGATGGAGGGCGCAAGGGAACGTGGTTGTTTACGGGTCCCACACCAGCTTATGGAGAGGTAGGCATCTTAGGATGAGGTAGGTATCTACGATTAGTAGGCTGGGTAGGTACCTTTACCTTGGTCCTGCACAGTATAGGTACCTAGAGCGGTATATGTATACACATATCGACGATTCGATGATTCGCGCGCGGCCGTGGTCTCGATTGGCTGGGCACCCGGCTTCTCAGCGCTGCTGGTTCGCCTTCTCCGCTACCCCCTGGTGCTGTTATCCCGAACTCGGTTGCGTCCCCAGTCCGTACCTCTCGACTGCATCGCCTGTACTCATACTCATACACCTGGGCACCTCTGGGCACCTCTTAACCTGGCTTCCTGGCTACCTGGCTACCTCCCTACCTAAGCTTAGCGTAGCACGGCTTGGTACCGTCTGCTTCACGCCTTTTACCAGGTCTGCCTCTACTTGCGTCGACCGAAAACCACACGCAGGTGTAGACGTCGTTTCTTTGGCTCCAATTCCGCCTCGATCGCCCTTTTATTACTGGGCTTCTGTTTTTGTCTAGCTAGGGAAACCCGCCGCCCACCTCCCACCACCACCACCCCCTCCCCAAACCCGTCCCCGGGCCAGGTCGTGTCGGAAAAACTGCCGGCTCCCAAGGTCGAGATTAGTGGTGCTGAGGCGTCTATCCACCACCATCTGACCATCCCGTCAGCCAGACCACGCAACACCCTCTCTCTCCCCTCCTCCATTCCTCTGCTGCCCGCCCTCCGCTCACCAAACTCGTCCGCGTATGCGAAACTGTTATATATGCTACAGGCGCTCCCATCCCGGGCCATTGAGACCCTCGTTGGTATTTATCCGCGAGACGGGCACGGTCAGGCATTGCCAGCATCGGATTCGACGCGTACCGACGCGTCTTCTTCAGCTCCGCTCCACCCGCCTACCCATGCGCCCGCCCTGCACCCACCCGACCTTCCGTCGCGACCGCTAGGATTCACGGCCGCTATCGCATAGAGAATTGCCAGGTGGAAAAGAAAGAGGGGGTCAGCTTCGACAAATTACTGCTGTTGGGGCGTCTTTGTCCCCTGGGATCGTGCCCGGAACCCACACGCACCTCGCCATCGTTACGACACGATGCCCACGCGCGCTCCTTGAACCGTATACGATTCCCTCCCATCGCTGGACTTGACCTCTTCGGCTTCTGATATTTGTGCGGGCTCAGCCTTGCTAAAGCGCTGCGCCGAGGAGGGGCGGGACGGGATAGCTGGGAAGACATCTCCGTCCCTGTCCCGCACGCAGCCAGCTCACTTGTCGATATGCCGACACTCCAGGTCAAACCGGCCTCTTCGGAGCTCCTCCAGCATGTGGCCGACTCTCTCGGCAAGGCAAAGAAGGTTGTCATCATCACCGGTGCCGGCATAAGCACCAATTCAGGCATTCCGGTATACTTGCGTCTGTGCCGTGCTTCTGCGACGTGGGTTGCTGACTCGTCGTCGTGTAGGACTTCCGTTCCGAAAATGGGCTTTACTCACTGATCCAGGCCCAGTTTGAAAGGGCCGAGGCGGGTTGTCACAAAGAAACCGAGGGGCAGGCCGTAGGTTTTGCCATAAGCGGCCGCCCGGTAAAGAGAAGAAGGATATCTTATGCAAGTGAAAAGTCCTCGACAGGACAGGAGCCCACTTCTAAAGCAACACCCTCCTCGACCGGCTCTGCTACTCGTGGCAGAACGAGCGCTCCGGTCGACCATGCTAATGCAGATGTCCAAAAGCCCACCCCGCATGCCATAGATGACAGTTCCGTGAGGCGAGACGCAGTGACCCCTTCTGAAGCAGCGCTTCAGAGACTTGCCCGGTCGCAGCCGGGGCTCCGACCGCCATTGCCTCGACACATAATACAAGCGTTCGCACCCACGTGTGCACAATCATCCACCAGCGACGAGGCCTCATTGTTAGCCTCGCAATCTTCCCAGTCTTCGAGTGCGTCTCCCCGTACTGAGGACTCGTGCCCCTCCACCGCGAGTGGTTCTCAAGGCATCCCGACAGGAGCAACCACCCCGAGTGCTCTTCCCGCCGAAACCTTCAGCTCATCGCCGCTATCATCGCCGCCGCCCATCCTCTTCGACCCTTTCGAGATTACCAATTCATCTATAGATGGCAGTTTCCAAGAAAGTACTGGAAGTTCCGACATGTCCGATTTCGAAGAGACACAAACTTCCTTCCTCGCCTCCCAGACTTCGAATCCCAGCATACGCAACATGAAGGGGCGGGATCTATTTGATTCCAACATATGGGCTGACCCCTTAAAGACGTCTGTTTTCTACCGATTTGCCACGACCTTGAGACAGAAGGTGAAGGATGTGAAGCCGACGAAGACGCATCACTTCATTGCCCACATTAGAGATTCCGGAAAACTTGCGAGGGTATATACGCAGAATATCGACGAAATCGAGAAAAAAATCGGGCTTCGCACCGATCTAAGGAGTGGTGCGGGCAATCGGAGGCGGAAGTCTGCTAAACAACAATTGATCAGCCTTGAGAAGGACTCCAAGGAAAACTCTGAAGTGATCACTGGTGTAGAGGACCCAGCTAACGTGGATCCCATACAACCCTCACAGGGGTCCGACGTCTCGGGACGAATCCATACTCGACCGGCCGCGACTCAAGACAAAGGTGTCGAATGTGTGTTTCTCCATGGCTCCCTGCATGCCCTCCGCTGCTTTGTATGTGGAAAGCTATGTGACTGGGATGAAGCAGATCGCGAGTCTTGTACTATGTTGGGCGAGCAGCCCGAATGCCCGCATTGCGCAGGGGCAACCGCAGCAAGGCAGGAGAAGGGTAAGAGAGCCCTAGGCGTTGGTAAGCTCCGCCCAGATATCGTCCTCTACGGAGAAGAACATCCGCAGTCTGATCTCATTTCCCCTATTGTCCAACACGACCTATCTGCCGGCCCGGATCTCCTCCTGATACTGGGCACGAGCCTCAAAGTGCACGGGCTCAAGGTGATGGTCAAGGAATTCTCCAAGGCTGTGCATAAGAAGGGCGGCAAAGTCGTCTTCATCAACTTGACGAAGCCGTCCGAGAGCGTATGGGGCGAAATCATAGACTACTGGATAGAGTGGGACTGCGATGCCTGGGTTGACGATCTGAGGGATCGAAAACCGCAGCTTTGGTTGTCGTCAAGCGAAGTGATTGAGCTCGAGAGGCAGAAGCGCGAGGCTCTAGCCGAGAAGAAGAAGGAGAGCATGTCGAAACGGCGCGAGAGTGCTATCGAGAAGAAGCGAGACAGCCTCGAGGAAAAGCGACAGCGGAAGACCGAAGCGGACAAATCTCGACCACCACCCAAGCATCCCGCCGCCATGAGGAACGACTACCAATGCGGCGCGTATGTTGTCTGGGAGATATTCCAAACCCTAGCGAAGATCGGTGATCGTCCGTTCGATAATCTGGGTTATACGCCTCCTCGTCGGTCTCCTCCGGGCGATCCCCCCCCTTCCGAAGCCCTTAAGCGCGACCCGCCCGTCAAGAAGAAGAAGAGAGCGAGGAAATCAGCTCCAGCAGCTCTAGCAGTTCTTGCTGAATTTGAGATGCGCCCGACGTCGGTCGTTACAACGAAACCGGTGGCTAAATACAACAGTCGGAGCCAATACGCCAAAGCTGCACAAGAGCTGGCGCGAACGGGTAAATCGCCGACGCCTGTGAGGTTAGCGGAGCTCAACGGCTTGGCAACGCCGAATGGGAAGAGCCAGATGTCGCCGTATAACCCGCCCAGCTCTATCACGGCCGCCGTCAAGGTTAATCCTCGTCAGCGAAAACGGAAAACAATCGATGGGATCCCAGTCGGTAGTGTCGCTTCGCTGGTTGGCAGGCCCAAGCTTCCACTGCCCGTCCCCCTCAACGTCCCGAGAGAGGCGCTCCCCCGGAGCGAGTTCGCTTTTGCGACTCCGAGCCCTCTCCCACCCCAAGGCCCGATTTTAGCCCCGTTACACCCCGGTTGGGAGCGATCCCCGCCGGCGAAGATCACTCCCCTAGAGCCAAGCTTGGACATCTCCCCACCAAGCCCCCTTGCCGACCTGCCGCCAGTGCCCCGGTCGCAGGTCTTCGCGCTCCGCCAGTCTACTCATCCCATGATATTTAGCGACCCTCTCGTCAAATTACACTACGAGACTACCAATTACAGAAAACCGCCTCAGGAAGCCAGTGCGGCTACCGATGATAAGACACCCAGTCCCTCGGACCAACTACGGCGGGAGCTAGCTCGACGGAAAGAGCTTGAGGAGGCAGAGGCGCCCGGAGGATTGAAAGGTTCGTGATGAGGCGTAGCCGGTTTTTTTTTTTTTTTTTGGTGAGCGCCTACTGTTTGAGCAGACTTATTATACCCGTTGTAGAATATATGGGACGCCGAACCCCTTTTAGGCCTTTCGAAGGCAAACCGAATCAGCGGGGACTACGACGTGCTCTGACTGTGCTCATCTCGGACCGTGCCGGCGGTCCCCATTCCGCAGTCTCCTAGGAAACCAAGGGTGCCCTCGGCATGTATGACTGCGTAATTCCTAGCGCTGGGAAGAATTGGATGATGCCAATTCTAGGTAGGGTTTCCGGAAGACATACAGGCGCCGACCACCACGCTGTTTGTAATGTAGGCCTGAACTAGGCAGAGCTCTTCGCATTCTGTTGCTCCGCATTCTCGGTTCCCATATGGTCTGTATTCCCCCTTCTGCCCCTTATTCGTTATTGCGAGTACGTACCTAGTCACAGGGGCTTTTCGTCGTAGCCTTGCACGCTTAAGTCCTCATCACATCGTGCCACGTTACCCCTGGGGCAGCTGATTAATCCAGCAAGCCTGTATGATTCAAGCTGTTTAGATAACAACTACAACTGCTTATTCTTTCTTCCTACATCCCAAACACTACACATATACAACCAAACACATCGCCAAAGCCGTACGCCTCCTAGACAACCCTCCAGCTCTTAGTAGATCGACATGGGAAAAACACCGATCGACGCCTCTTCACCGCCGTTCACGTATACCCGCTTACCTCCTAGACGGGCTCCTTCTCACTGCCCACGTCACTCGCCACCAGCCAGCCATACAATTCTTGTCCGACCGCCCAGCTGTGCCTCCCACTCCTAAGCCCTGGCGCCTATCGGCCAGATCAGCTCTCGTCTATCCAATCGGTAGGATCGAGGTCTCTCAACGCCAAGGGGAGAAGGCCGAACGGCCGCCCAGATTCCTCCTCGGACAAGTCGACGCTCGACCGGCGCCGCGCCGGCTCGCGATACGGCTCGGACGACTGGTAGAGCGGCGCGCCGTCGCCGCCGAGCCAGACGCCGCCGAGGATCCTCGCCGCCACCTGGTTGATGTTGTGGGCCTCAATGTCCGAGGTCAGCGTGTCGACGGTCGAGTAGCCGTTGGGGAACATGCGCAGGCCCCACGACTCCGGTGGCGGCGGCTGCGGGAAGGCGCCTTTGGCGGGCTCGCCCACCGCCGCGCCGAACTGTGGGCCAACCCGCGAGAACGGCGTCCCGCCCCCGAACGAGCCCTGCGCCAGCAGCTCCGCGATCGTGCTTCCCGGCACGCCGAGCCTGGCGATCTCCTCGAGCGCCCCCACCTTCTGAGCCCCCCTGAGAAAGGCCGACCCCACTTCGTCGGCCCCGATGTTGGCGTAACGTGCCCAGGGCCGCGCCCGGCGCTCCACCCGGCCGCCTCGCGTCGGACCCGCCGGCGCTGGCGACGGTCGCCGGCCGCCGCTACCCATTCCGCTACCGCTACTGCCCACGGGTACCCTGCCGCTCCCCCGCCGAACGTGCCGTCTCCACACCGACCTGGGTGGGTTGAGCCGGCTCGTCCAGCCGAAGACGACGTTGCTGTCACGCCGATCGTCCTTGCCGCCTGAACTCTGAACGGGGGGGTTCTTGGACAACCTCCTCGCCCATCTACCCGCCAACCCTGATGCCGACCACGATTCCAAGGACGACTTAGGCCTCGCGAGAGACTGTGACTGTCTCCGCGACGCCCCCTTGGTCGCCGGCTTCAACGTAAAAAGGCCCGGGCCAGGGTCGATGGACGGGTCGATGATCCCGTGCGCCTTCCAGGCCTCTTCCAGAACTCTCTGCACATGGTCGACTCCCGTGTCTTCCTGCTCGCCGCTGAGGGGGGGCGGCAACCCCACCGCCTCTTTCGCCTGGCGCGCGAACACCTCGTAATCGTCAACGACTTCGCGGATGCGCGGGTCCAGTCGCGCGTACTCGTGCTTGGCAAGGTCGCGCGTGCGCTGGACGCGGCTCCGCAGGCTGGCCGACGATATCGACGGGAACCGACGCCGCCAGCGCAGGTCATCCGGCTGGAGCTGGTCTTGGTGGTCGAGCATATCTATCAGCATGCGGTACCTCACGCTGCAGGCGCGGTACGTCTTCTCCCAGCGCTGCCACTGGGTCAGGATGGGCCGCATGGCGGGCCGCAAGGAGATCGCCTGGATGAACTCGACGATCCAGGTGATGTCGTTGTAGAAGCGCATGATGCGCGCCTGGGCCATGCCGATGTAGTTCTTTCGGGCTTCTAACCCGTAGAAATACGATCGAGAGGTCATGTCTAGCGCGAGGAAGTCGAATATCATCCGCTCCATGTAGGCTATATCCTGCACCACGAACGACATCGTCCTCTTCAAGCACCGCATCAGCGAACCGCCATCGCGGTACATCTCGTCCCACTGGCTCCCCACCCAGGCTTCCCACGCAGGGTACTCCATCGGGTTCTTTTGAGTCGCGTTGAGATATCCCTGGTAGATATTCATCTTATTCTCTACAGAAGCCTGGGAGAACATCTCGAGATCAGTACTTTCTGTCTCCAGTTCTGATAGCTCCACAAGGGCGCCGCTGAGCGGGAAGAGCGTTCGATTTCCCCACGTCGCGGTTTCGTGGCGCCAGCGCAGATCGAACGCGTCAACCTGTGCTATCTCCGTCGACAGGGCGTGGAGATAACTGGCTATGCTGGTGTAATTGTTGCTGAGGAGAACATCGACCACGAAGGTCATCCAGGCGTGCTCCGTGTCACCGAAAATGATTCTGGCCCTTGGAGGTAGCCAGTCTGGTAATATCGAGCTCTTTACCGAGTCGGAGTTATGGGGAAACTTGAGGGCTTCATGTCCATACGTCTTGAACTCGGTGTCCCAGAAGCGCTGTTGGAAGAAGCGGGCCAGGTAGCTGATGGGGATCAGCGTGCTATGAATAAAGCCCGGGTGTGCCGTGCCACCGAGGATGCCCTTAGACCCCGGAAACTTCACCCGCGGCCAGGAGCTGGCGAGCAACACCAGCGGAGAGCATACCATGTGGCGGGAGTGACCGTCCGCCGTGCTCAGCAGATTGACCGCGATGAAACCCCAGAGCGACTTCTCCACATCGAAGCCCGATTCCTGTGTCGGCATACCCTCGAATATGGGTTCCGACATTAGGTTCGTGAAGTCCCATAACTCGTGGCCGAGCTTGAGGAGCGCTTCGGTGATTTCCGGGTTCTGGCCTAGGGGCTGGGCCCACATTTCGGTGGTGAGGGCATTATGTGCATCGTTGACAGCGTGCTAGGCTAATGTCAGCGACGTGGATTCTCACCATGCGCGTCTGCTTTGGGGAATTCGGTGCTAGGATGCGCCTCGCATACTCACCGCCAACTCGTGGATCAGAGTCGAGGCGATCAGGAACGAGACTGTCAGCTTCTCGCTTTGGCTGTACTCGGGGACCAGGAGCGGCCAGATCAGCTCTATCGCCAAATTACAGGTTATGTAACTGTCACGTCCCAACCGCGTCATCTTCGTAATCCCAAAGTGGAAAGAGTACGCAGCCGGGAACATCTTCTCGTTATCGTCTTCGTCGTCGCTCTCCTCGGGATTCAAAAAGGCACTGCAGAGGTCTAGGCGCAGCGTCTGCTCGAGCATTCGCATCGTGTTTGCCCGCCAATCGTATCCCATACTGGCCAGGAAGCGTATCCCTTCAAATGTCTTGTCCATGTCTATTTTATCCATAAGAGTGTATATGGGGACAAAGGGGGTCTCGGGGTCCTTTCGCCAGTCGTCCTCCGCCGGTGCCGGTCTTCGGGTCCTCATGTCCATGAGAGCTTCCAGGCCCGGTGGGTTGCTATACAGGATTCGCGATACCATCTGCAATGCCGGCTGCAGCGCTTCCCACACCACGTCGTTCCTTGCCTGTTGACGGGGTCAATACGACTTCGCTTCGAGGGCCTCGGTAGCCGTGATAGAGGAAAGTTACATCCCCTGAGAACAGAGGCATGAGAACGAGAACGGATCGCGAAACTTACAGCATCCCACTCTCCTCGCATACCGTTCAGGTTATACACAAACCGGGGCCTGCTCGACTCGTCACCCTTCCAGAGCGAATCATCCCAGCGAGATCTCTGGAGTAAGCTACGGGCAAGGCCGCGGGTAAAGCATCGAGAGTCAGCTCACGAGTAACATTACCAAACTACAGCGCATTCTCCTCTCCTCTCCTCGTCTGGCCTCTTACCCACTCCACCATGGTCCCAGACGCCGCCACAGAGAGAGAAAAGCAAAATGAGGGGGGAACGAGAGACGTACGGATGGAGAGGACCTTGCAGGTCGCAGGTGACGTCGTCGGACATGGTCAGCGCGCCGTACTGGACGAGCTCGTCGGACGTGAAGTTGCGGAAGTAGAGCCGCTGGTAGTTCTGGTCGGCGAGCGCGCGCGCGAACAGGTTGCGGTGCGCGGCGACCTCCTTGGGCCAGTTGGCCTTGGCCACGAGGAACAGGATGTCGAGCGGCACCTCGGGCAGCACGGCAGCGTTGCGCAGCATGGCCTCGAACCGGTCGGGCGAGAGGTAGCCGAGGCGGGCCATCATCTCGGCGAGCGCGCGCGGGTCGACGTACTCGGGGTCGGCGGGGTCGGCGCCGCCGGCGGCGCGCGCGGCCTGGCGCGAGGCCTGGCGCAGCTCGGCGCGCTGCTCGTCGGTCAGCACGGCGAGCTGGCTCTGGAAGTCGAGCAGGGGGTCGCGCGTGCGGGTGGCGGACATGGTGGGGCTGAGGCGGCTGCGGCCGCCGAGCTCGTCGGCGTGGATGCCGAAGCGGCGGGCCCAGGGCGTCGGGTTGCGGACCTGGTCGGCGGCGCGCAGGGCGGGGACGTGCTTGAAGATGGGGTCCTTGGTGCGGGTGAAGGTGCGGCGGCCGACGTAGTCGACCACGGCGTCGGGCGAGAAGTCCGGGTGCGACCACTCGGGGATGTACCAGACGTAGTCCCAGGCGCCGCTGTTGGCGCCCTTAGGCACGCGGTTCGCCTGCGTCTGCGGCACCGGGTTGTGCCGGTGCTCGCGCGGCAGCAGCGGCGCGTCGCCCGACTCGTCGCGCGGCGGCGGCAGCCGCAGCGTCGACGTGCTCTCGTACACGGCCCGCAGGAACGGCCACCAGTCGTAGTCGACCATCAGGCCCTGCGGCCGCCGCGTCTTCCACAGGTGCCGCACGTACTCCTGCAGCGACTCGTCCGTCAGCTGCTCGAGCGTCCACTCCCTCCCCGGCAGCTCCTCGTCCTCCTCGTCCTCCTCGCTTTTCTCGCTGCTGCTGTCGCTGTCGCCGCCGACGTTGAGGTGCTTTTTCCCGCCGCGGGGGGCCCGCTTCAGCATCCTGAGCGTCCTCTTCTGCGGCTCTCCCGGCTCAAACGTCGGCCTGGGAGACTTGGGCGGCCCGGGCAGACGCAGCCCGCCCGTCGACTTGGAGTGGAAGGCCATCGCTGCTGGTGTCCGCTGGGCGTTTCTCCCCTCGTGCTTCCCGCTGCCTCTCTTCGACTTCGTGCTGTGTCCTCTCCCACACCGGCGCACTAGCTTCTTTCGCCCGAGGCACACACGTCGTAGGCGCAGGCTCTAGCGCCGACGCAGTCGTATCAACACGTTCAGAGCCAACTAGTAGTTAGTATAGGTAAGTACGCAGCCGGTCCGTATCCGTTGTGTGTTTGTTTATGTGTATTCCCGCCGCTATATCACTGCTGTCCGTCCCCGATGTGATTCGAGTCGTCAACCTCGGCGGGGCATCAAATTTCCAGGTTTCCTCTCTCTAGTTTATTTTTCCTCTTTTCCCTTCTCTCTTACGGTGCTCCTGTAGACGTGCAGCCACCAGCAGGTCCGCGGATATAACAGGACGCCAGCGCAGGAACGACGGCCGAATTACTCTCCCCCGTACATAGCGACGGGGATGGCCTTTATCCGCCGTGCCCGTTCCCGGAACGCAGCGGTCGTGCGGGGGAAAAGAAAGGGCGTGCTTCGAAGCGCCGCAGACAAAATCGCCTCCCGCATCCGGCGAAAAACGGGGCTTATTGTCCCCTCGTCGCGCGCGCGCTGCCTTGTCTCGCGGACAAAGAGAGCCCCCCCTGCCGCTGGGTCGCAGCTACGGCTCGCTCCCTACGTACCTACCTGCTACCCGGTGGTCGAGTGACCTGATTGCAATTCTTCAGAGACGGGAGTTCGAGAGACAGGTAGGTGCGGGATGTAGCGTAGAGGGCGCGGGCAGGAGCACGACTGACAACGCCGGCGGTTTGGACGTCTGAGAATCGGTAGAACGGCGGCAACAAGGACGGAGAAGCGTGCGGCGATTAGGTAGGTGGGTACCTGCGTGCTGGGCAGATAGGCTGGCTGTCTCAGACACACTCACAAAGGCCCTCGATCCGTGCCAGTCTGGAGATAGCTATAGGACACGAACAGTGTAAACTAGGATGCAGCTCTATGTCAAGACAAAGACGGCGGGGTGGTAGAGCTGCTAGTCATTCGAAGGCATCATCGCCGTGGAAGTCGTCAATGTGCGCCGACACCTCGATCGCCATCTCGTCTCATGCATAGATTTAGTAGTCTTGCCTCTCGGCGCGCGCTACCTCGTACTTGTTGTATCTTAAGTCTATTCGGCAACCTGCTCGTCTATCTATGGTATCCCCGCAGTCAAAAAGTTGAAAGACCCATAAACCCCCGGGTCTCCAATCCCGAGGCAGGATGCCTTTCCTACTTCATCCTGCCCGACCATATACTGTCGGCAGAGCGCTCTCCTCGGCTGTCATGATAAGCTAACAGCAGCCCAGGGCACTCTCGAGAAGCACCAGCACCAGCAGAAAACCAGTGCCTAAAACCATGCAAGCCCGAACTTTTTCTGCTCAGATCATCAAACAAAGGGAAAGACGTGAAATCAGAATTCGTAACAGGTATTAATTCGTGATGATGCGTGGTTGCTGTGAGATAGCCAAGTCGCTTACTCGTCCTCGTCGGAGAAGACCTCCTCTCCGCGCTTCCGGCGGGCCATGCGCTCTGCGATATTGTCAGCTGCAAATCCTGCTTCGACGCCTCGAGGCAGTCGGGGAGTGTCATCGGCTTACCCTTCTTCTTCTTTCGTGCCTCGGAGCTCGTCAGCTTGCTCTTCTTCTTCGTCGACACAATCTTATTGCCCATCGCGTCGAACTTCTCCTCCTCGTCATCGCCATCCTGCTTCAGTCTCGGGCCGGAACCCTGGCCTTGGACCCAGTTGTGCCCCGAAGGCGTCATCGTGCCATCCATGACGGCCCACACCTCCTCCGTCAGGTCTTTGGTGAACTCGGCGCTGTGGGTGATAATGATAACACCACCCTCGAACTTCTTCAAGGCCTTGGACAGAGCGCCGAGAGAGTCGCGGTCGAGATAGTTGGTAGGCTCGTCGAGGACGATCAAGTGGGGCCGCTGCCACGAACACGCGGCGAGGACAACCTTGACACGCTGGCCGCCAGAGAGACCACGCATGCGCGAGTGCGAGACGAGTTCGGCGTCGAGACCGAAGTTGGCGCAGTGCGACTCAATCTCCTTCCGGACCAGAGGTCGGAACTGGCCCGAGGCGAGAGCCTCCCTCATGTCGACTTCGGCGACCAGCTTCTGATGCGAAGCGAGCAGCTCGCTTCGCGGAAGCCAAGCGTTGTCGGCTGTCATCATGGGAACCCATCGTTCGTTCTTCTGACCGACATTCTCGCCCAGAGCAAAGGAGCACTCGTACTCGTAGCTGTTCTTGAACTTTCTTCGGCTGTTGATGCCGATGACGCGCCGCTGTGAGCCGTCGACCTTGAAGATCTTGTCCATGGCCTTCTCGTCCTCCTCGGTGATGATCTTGTTAGCACGGTCCATCGTCTCGCGATCCTCACCAGTTTGGAATCGCCACTGAATGTATTCGGAAGGCGTCTTGTCCAGGTGGTTATCGATGTGGGCGAACGCGTGCTGCTTGATGTAGGCAATGCGGATGTTCTCGTGCTGGTAGATCTCACCGCCGGTAGGAATAAGCTCACCGGTAAGCACGTTGATCAGCGTCGACTTGCCGGCACCGTTGGGACCAATGACGGCGATACGAGACCCAAGAGAGCACTGGAAAGTAATGTCGAGAAGCTGAGGTTTAGGAGTTCCCGGGTACTGAAAGCTCATCTTAGTAGCACGCAGGATAGCCTTGGCCTTAGTCTTGACACCCTCGAGGAAGCCAGGCTCCGGGAAAGAGAACTCCATCTCGGATTCTCCGAGCTCGTAGTACGACTTAGCGTGCGGGTTCCGGCGGACGAACTCCTTCAAGTTACCCTTGTACTTCCTCAGCTTGAACCTCTCGTAGTGAATGATGTACTGAGTAACGTTGTCCAGGAAGCCGCTGTCGTGGGAAACGATGATGGAGGTGCAAGGGGAGTTGATGAGGTAGTCCTCGAGCCACTTGACGTTCTTCACGTCCAGATGGTTGGTAGGCTCGTCGAGCAGCAGTATGTCGGGCGCCTCGAAGACAGCGCGGCACAGGGCCAGCTTCATCTTCCAGCCACCAGACAGGGCAGTAATCTCGCCGGAAGTCATGGCCGGAGTAAAGCCGAACTCCTCGAGACGCTTCTCGACTTCGGGTTGGCTCGTAGTGACGCCGGCCTCGCTGAGCTTCTTCATCGTCCAGTCAATCGTGGTCATCTCGGTATCCGCAGAGTCCAAGTCGTGCTCAACGAAGACGGTCTTGACTTCGCTTTGCTTGGGGAAGCCCTCGACCTGCTCGTTGTTGATGGCGCGCATGAGAGTGGATTTACCCGATCCGTTAGGGCCGCAGAGGCCGTAGCGGCGACCACGCTTCAGCCGTAGGTGGGTCTGGTTCAACAGGATCTTGGCGCCGTACGCGAGGGAGAAGGTGCAGTTGCAGAGGTCCTCTCCATCGTCATCTTCGGCCTCTTCCTCGGCCTCATCCTCGATGCCGGGAGAAGCACGCTTCCGGAGGCTTTCGACAAGCTTGTCAGCCTCGTCGTCGCCCACGATGACGCTGGCGAACGGCTTCACGGCCGTGGCCCAGGTGGATGGCTCAATCTCCTTCTCGTCAATGAGCTGGCCGCCGATGGCGGAGATGTAGTCTAGGACGGGAGACAGCTTCTCGGCCGTCTTCGCGTGGCTGCTGGGGACGGCAGCCTTGAGGTGTCCGAGAACAGTGGCGACGTCACCATCATGGCGAACCTCGGGGATCTTGCCGTCCTTGACGTTGCCGACACGGATAAGAGTGTCGAGAGCTTGCTTGGTCTTCTCACGAGCCTCGGGGTCGGCCAAGTTGTCGTAGTTCTTCTGCAGACCCGGCATCATCTTAGGCAAGAAGGGGGCGACGATGTTGGGGTCGTCGACGAGCTTGCACATGTTGTCAACAATGACGGCAGCCTTTCGCTTGATGGCGGTGTCTCGCTCGGCCAGACCACGGTCTAGCAGAGGTACCATCAGGGCGAGGGTGGGTTCCTGGACCTCGGTAACGAAGGTGGTAGCGCCAAGCAAGTGGACGGTCTCGGGGACGTTTTCGGGCTTAGCAATACACTTGATTAGCTCGGGAATGAACCGATCGATATCCTTGTTGACGATCAACTCGCAAAGCTTCTCCATGGTCTTGTAAGCACGATCCTTGACCTCCTTCTTGGTGTCCCACATAGACTCGGAAACGACGGGAATAAGCTCAGGAACACGGAAGGCTAGCTGAGCGGGGGCCGTTCTGACGAGGATGTCGATGGTCTCGAGAGCAGTGATCTTCTCGGGCCACTTCTGGGCAGTCAGGATGGATTTGATGATAACAGGCAGGACGGCCTTGACGGCATTAGGGTTGATGGCCTCAATGATGGCCGTGGTGGCGGCGATAGCAGCATTCTTCACCGCCGTGATCTTGTCGCCGATGGCGGCCAGGACCAAGGGGAGGAGGACAACGAGGTATGGCTCGACATTGGGAGCAATCTCGGAGTGCTGGGCGATAGCTTCGATGGCATTGACGGCCTTTTCACGGACCGAAGCATCCTTCTTGTTGGCCAGCTGCTTCTTCAGGGCATCAACAGTTCTGCATCCTGCGTGTTAGCAAAAAGAAATCGGCTTCTGTGCCGCTCGTAAGAGCGGGGGAGGAGTTCGGGTGGTCGAAACCAGATCCCGGTATCAGGAAGTGCTGGGCGCGCAGATAGGTATACATGGACACAGGATTTGCAGGGCCATTTCGGGGGAATTTCAGTGCGTGTGCCTTATCCACTGGCGTGGACGGGGCCGTGCAACGAGCCCAGACGAGCCCCTGTGTTTGGTGGGACAGCGAGGGGTAGCGAGGTTGGACCGAAATGATAGGAGGTGGTGGGGTGAAGAATAGCGTGGCGGCAAACTCGAAAAAGAGCAGGGGAAAAAAAAGACACCAGGACATATTCGAAAACAATCCGGGGGAGAATGGGGAGAGGAGGGAGAAGGAAGGAAGGGCAAAATGTATGTTTCTTTTCTCTGGCTTACCTGGTGGGAGCCTCTTGATCCTCGATGCGACCGTTGATGAAGGAGGCCAAGGCGTGCGAGGCGTCCTTCGCAGCGGCAGCGTCCTTCGACACGGTCAGCTTCTGCATGAGCTCGTCCAACACCTTGATGGACTCGGCGTTCTCGTGGGAAGACATGGTGATGATTCCGGTGGATGGAGATGTTGGTCGGATTGGTGGTAAGGGTGTTGTCGGTTATCCGGATCGTGACGATCCCGGCGGATGCAGTCTATCGTCAAAGGGTCTATGTGTTCGGCTCTAAACCGGCGGGAAACCGGAGGTAACGTCTAGCGATATGCTGGAAATCTAGAAATGCACCTCGTCGCCGCGGAGGGTGCCTCGAGAAATAGAGGGAGGTTGACGGATGTTGCTCGGTGAGCCCGCAGATTCTTGCTGACGGGTGAGATCAAAAAAATCTACTCTATGGTGGCCTCGCCTGTCTAGGTTTGCCGTCCAGTCTAAACCGAAGGAACCGCCACAAGGGAACAAAGAGCTCTCTCTCTCTTCGCGTCGCCGACAAGAAGGAGAACCTGAGTCGAAGGGGCTCAGATGGTCGCTCTTGGGGGAGGAGGGGAGAAAAAGAGAAGCAGGGAGTGAGGGGAGATGTTTCGCGGAAGAAGAAAAGAAAAAGTTGGGAGAGGAAGAGAGGGAAGAGTGGATGAAGGAGGAGAGAGGCTTCGAGATTTTATGAAATCCCAGCAGTATGAGAGGGCGAAAAAAAATGGATAGAGGAACGTACTAAAAAAAAAAGTTGGTGGCCACGTAAAATTTTTTTTCTTTTCTTTTTCTTTACCTTTTCTGCCCTCCGAGGGGTAAAAGTGCTACTGATAAGAGGCCCCCCGGACGTGGGAGAAGTACCCAACAGGCGAGGCCTGGGTACCTTCCAACGCGAGCAGGCCGGGCTGATACATGCCAAATACTTAGATCTGCAGGGTCCCTCGACTGGGGTCACAGGCCGGGGGGCACAATCGATTACTGTGGACCTGCGTACAGCGCTGTAACCAGTGGCCCATGCGCTGCCCCCATTCGTTGGCTACTCCAGTCACCACCACCTCCACCCACAGTTTATTAATCGCTGTTTTATCGCTGGACAAGGCCGGCGGGGCTAGTCCCGATAGGGCATTAATGGACAACTGGTCGCTGGCCGGGGCGAGCCAGAAGGCGGTGAAGCAGCATATCCCACGGCCACCCCCACCGCTGCCGCTCCCACTGCGAGGTGCCTAACCGGATGGAATAATCATTGATCATTCACTTCCATACCTGCCATATTATGCCTACCTCCCCTACCTAGCCTACCTACGGCTGCGAGGTCTCACGTAATTAGGGACCTACTACGGAGTCGCATATCTACGTCTGACCTACGTGGTATTAGATGTCGTCGTCGCCCTGTCTCGTCTCGTCTCGTCTTCCTGCATTCACATTCGATCCCATCCTGTCCCTCCCCCATCCAGTGCATCTGTCCGGTATCCAATCCCTGTCCCTCCCCTTTCTCTACTTCTTCCCTCCCTTTTTCCCCCTCTGCCGTCCCCAAACCCTTCTCGCCATCCCTTCCCATACCCCCTCCCCCCCGATAGGGTAAACGTCCGTCTAGTCTTAGTCAGGTACTACTGCTACTATTTACACCTATCACGCCTCTGTTTACGCAGCTATGCCTAGAATATGTGCAGCCCCCTACCAATATCGTGGTTCAGTCGGTGTGGGATGTCAAGGCATGTGCTCGTACGGACAGGCGGAGGGAAAATTCCTACCTATCATTTGTAGGAGGAGCCGAAGGGGAAAAAAAAAGGCAGCCTCCATTCCCAAAGAGCATCGCCACTTGCTTAGGTATTATTACCATCGTTTTTACTACGCAACTTGTCCTGTTTCTACCAGGGAAACTGGCTTGGGCAGCCTTTCTCTAGCCTCGCCAGCCCTGCCTCCCACAGGGTCGTGTTGGACAAGGACGAATCCGTCCGCTGCAATTACAACCCTGATGTCTATTTATATATAAGTAGGTATGCATTCGTTTTCCTACCCTTGCCAATCCAGCCGGACCCGGTGCAACCTGGGAGGGAGGCGGCAAAGCCGCTTACTCCAACCTACCAAGAGCGGACACATCGTCCCTTGGAGCTGGAGAAATTGCTCCCTTGGCCTGGTGCGAAAATGCGGTCACCGCATCGTACATGCGCTGGGTGGACGTATGTATGTGTGTAGGTATGCACCCGGCCTTGCCGTTTGCTGTTAGTCCCCCTTTTCCCCCGGACGATGGCGCAGAGAGGCGCCGGGACGGGTGCGCGCAACCGCCCCCCCACGAGGCGAAACTGACAAAATAGGCCACCGGAAAGACAAACAAGAGGCAGGCCGGAGGCAGGCCGCAGGTAGGTAATATGCAGTGGTTTAAGCTGTAGGGTATGTACAGTAGGCTAACGTGCCTCCTCCAAAAGCATGTTACATATCACATTCTCATCTATCCCATACCCAGGGAGGGGAGGTACCCAGGGAGGGGAGGCAGAGGAGAGGACAGAACCAGGACCGGCCAACCCTACCTCACGGTAGCGCGTGGCCCCGGAAGAAATCCATGATCCATGCACTGGCATTGAACGCCGCAATCCTCTCTCCGCCGTTATCCGAATTCTCCACCGTCGCCGGCCAGTCGTGTCCGATGTCGTCGCCGGCGTACACGAGCGTGACCAAACCCAGGTCCGCGCCCTCACCGTACCGCATGGCGACGCCGTGGACGGACCCGGGGATGGATGTGTTGTGCGGGGCACCGGTGAGCCCGTCACGCCGCGCCCACTGGCGGGCCCACGAGCGCACGCTCGGTAGGCACGCGCCGCTCCGGAAGCCACCGGCGTAGCGGATCGTGGTGTCGGCGCCGCCGTGGAACGCGAGGACAGGCACGTCGGTGCGCGCTGCCGCGCACGGCACCGTGACCGACGCCGGGAGGCACGCCGCCTCGGTGTCGATCTCGCGGATGTAGTACGCCCCGGCGACCGGCGCGAACGCTGCTACCCGCGCCGACAGCGCCGCGTCGCACGCCAGTCGCCCCACGAACCCGCCTCCCTGCGACTTGCCCGTCGCGAACACCCGCCGCTCGTCCACGCATAGCGCCGCCGACACCGCGTCTAGCGCCTCCCGCGTGAACCCCACGTCGTCCGACGTGCTGTCCGGAGCGCCCTCCCAGGTCGTGTGGTCTGGCCGCGAGGGGTCATCCTGCGAAGGGGGGACATCGAATTAGCGGAAAGGTGAAGCCAAAAAGAAAGATGAAAATGCAGAGACGAGCGTGTAGGTGTGTGGATAGGTAGGCGCGTGGGTAGGAGGGGCAGTGTGTATAGGCGAGTAAACTGAGTCAGTTGTCGGGACGAAGCGAGGGGGGGGACGATGCTCACCGCAGTGCCTTGCAGGTAGACAACGATGTGATCGTCGTTAAACAATGGGTCGGAGAGCCGGTCGAGAGCGACCTGGTGCGAGATGACGCGGTTGGCGCCGTGGTAGCTGAGGATGAGCGGCGTCGGCTCGCTCTCGTCGTAGCCCGCCGGAAGCCACACCCGGTACTCACGGCCCGACGCCGTGGTGTAATCGTTGAACTGCCCCGGCGCGAACGGTGGCGCCTTGCCGCATCCGCCGCTTCTGCGGGCCCGGAGCGACGGCCCCGGCGGCGCCGCGGCGGACGCGGCGAGGATAAGGGAGAGGGGGAAGAACGATGACAGTAGCAGCATCGCCGTCGTAGTCACACACTCTTTGCTATAAGCTAGCTCGAGAGCTCTATTGACGAGACTCGACAAGCAGCGGGCTGCGGGTTATTATATAGCTGGCTGCGGCGCTCGCCCGCTTTAACTGACCGCAATGCTGACGCTTGCACCCCAGCCAATCTCCCGAAGCCGAGGCTCGTGTCTCTCCTTCTTCTCAGCCGGTGGATCGAGCTTATTATAGATTATTACACGTATGTTCGTCAGCCGATCATCCTACGAAGTTAGGGCGACACGGCGATCGCATCCGACCCTGGCAATACTTGTCCTCTCTCCGCGTCCCGTACAATTCCCGACTTACATAGTCTCACAGCCACCGGTAGATCAGCAGCGTATTCCGCACAGCTGTGTCCGGATTCGCCGGGAACTGCCCGAGAGACGCCAGAGTCATTGCGTTCATGGTACGACGTTCGCGTCAACTAATTGAAACACAGGACGTGATTTTTCTCCGAGCTCTTTGTTGACGTCTCTGGCTCCACAGACGAGTAGACGCGGTAGGTATGATATTAACAAACTCCACAAGCCGCACAGATCGGGAGATGATCTACGAAGCTGACCTGTGGATTCAGCTATGTATGATTACTCATGTCTCGACCTGTGTGCGACATCTTCAAACTGCTGTAAACATCCATGCAGTTAAGTATAAAAAACCCGTTGCCGACTCCCAAGCAAATCACCAACGCTCTCCCAACTAGCTACCTATACATAGGCAAGTTCCCGAGAGGCGGTAGTCTACATAGCTCGGTGCTGTTATTATATATCTTCAGCATCTGCATAGCCCTCGTAATGCTAAGTTCGGCTCGGGAGCGAAAGTCGCCGCAAGGGGGCGAAGCCCTCAACTGAACTGATCCGCCTTCGTACTTGATCCACCTTCTAGAAAGCAACGAAACCCTGTGATCCTGACCAGCCGCAATAAAAAATAACGTGCCATCTGAGGGAGGGGGGGTTGAATGGGGGGCACAATTTCTACTTCAAAGCTTCCTCTTTCGCTCAGATCCCTTAAGATCAGTAACAACAGACGAATCTCTACTTCCTTACTATGCTAGAGAAAGTCAGATGCGGTGCGCGTTATCGGAGGTAAGTATACATTGCGAATCGGGCAGAGTCACAGGTATTAAGGCACTGCTAGAAGAGTCGACGGTCACATATAACCATACGATCCGGAAATCTCGGGGTCCCGTTAGCTCCCTTATGAATAAGTCGTCTATTTGGGTAGGGCGGAGACCGCCCGGTGTAGGGGCGGCTGACAAACGATCTATTACTAGACGAGTCGCTGACGGCTATTAGTTTTGTCACAAGGAATGCCTGCCCTATGAGCCTACACGACCCACGTTAGAGTTGGCCATGTAAGCGCTTACACTTTCCCGCAATAATTATCAGACCAAGTAAACGTTCCCGAATGTGGACAGACTAAGATGTGCTTGTCGTGCTCAAACGTGCTCCAGTCAAGCAAGTAGTCGACGATATATTTGACACCGACGTCCCCAACTGGGCCACACGGCCCTTGCAGCCCGTTTACGCTGAGTTCGCTCCGAGCCTAGTGCCTTCCGGCCATTGCGAGGACATCAGAGTCACGCCGATGGGGCACCTCTATCCCGAGTTGCGTTGGACGCCGTGGGCGAAGAATTACGACCGCGCCGAGTGGGAACAGAGCGGTCGCCCTTTGGGCCATCGCGTGCCTTGATCGAACACGATTTCTTAGACGGCCTGGATACTTGGGCGTTCCTCTACGACCCAGTCGGGATTGTTCTGGGCGTTAAAAGCCAACATGACATGGCCTACGGATCCTTAGATCTGCCGCCTCTATCCAATATTAATGGTTAAGGAAAGAATCCCAACTTCGTTTCTGTTTACATAGTCAGTACAGGCCGTCCGTAGCCGCAACTTATATTAGCCCCAGTTCTAATCGAATTCGAAACCTATGGTCATCTTCGAGTTTAAGGTTGTATCTTGTTAGCTTAACCGTAGTTGGGTTTTCTTATGAACCTGGACTACTACTGATTAACGGCAAACTTACACGTAATACAAACAAGCAGCAACGTTTCTGTCAACTGGCCTAAAGAGACTAAATAAACTGCAAATCCCGTAAACATAATGTTGAATTTAAAGACACCTCTTTCCAATACTAATGGCTGCAAGAGGTTTACGTGACCCGTAACCCGTACAGGTTAATCCTATCATTCAAAGGATAGTTATAAGTTCTTTAAACCTTATCGTAGCTGCGGAGTCTCCGATAACGAAACCAGCGAGGACTAGTTGTTCAAAGGTACCCGGTATATTCTCGTATGTCAGGCTTTCTTCACAGCGCTCTTATTATACGGAGAAGATTTAATACGCGTAAACGGTAGCCTTGTTGACCACTGCGGATAATCACACTGCTAGAGTTCCGGAGAAACTAATTGTTGCTGGTTAGCCATAACGGTGAACAAGACAAAATGTCGGCTCCTGAAATTCCCGTTTTACACGGCAACTCTCTACGTAATTAGCCCTCCTCGACAACCAACTAGTTCCGCAGAGCTTCTCTCGTCGTGGAACACAGCCGCTCTGGGCTTCATAACCCGTATTCGCTAGTTGACACCTATCTGTTTTTCGGCATCTGCCGTTCTGTCCGGGTCCGTTTAATGCATTAGTTTCCTCGTTGGAGGCTTATTATGGCACGGGCCGGGACGAGACTTTGTTCGAAGAGGTCTCATCACAGGGCGAATTGACGTCCTTCGTAATCTAGCTCTCGCCGGACCCGCCGTCGCTGATGTCCGCGTCGTAATTGGTAAGAGGATTGATTAGCATCAGCCTTAGTTTCTCATCCGCATAGGAGTTAATGGCGTACAAACGGGAAATACGGAGGGTGAATCCGCGAGGGCAACCTGGGTCAACACTACTGGTAATGACACAACGGCGGCACCGCCTGGACAGTGGTGATCAGAGACGACGGCGAACGACGGAGCATAAGGCAACTCATAACCTAGCCCTAAGCCAATCCAGGGCCGTGAACTAAAGGCCATCTCCAGTCATGGCGATATATCAATCCGAATACAGACCCCTTCAGTCAACCTCTTACCTTCATCACGGTCTCTTCCGCTCCCTAGTCCCCGTGCCGAGGCCGGCCCCGCCAACACGGTCATCCCACTTTGCATACAAGTCCTTCGGGAGCACATCGCTATCGGGGACACTGGAGATCACCAGTTTGTCTCCCGCGATGTCGTATCTAACGACGGCGCTTCTGCAGCGGCCCTTCACCGCCCTGATAATCCTCGCGATCAGCGCAGCTAGCTTCGTCAAGTCTCTCTGGTGGGCGGCTTCCCACGCCCTGATCTGGGACGCTACGTTTTCGACCTCAGGCCTGTTGAACACGCCCTTGACGTGGTAGGCCCGCACGAGGTTCGGCGTCTGGGACAGCCAGAGCTGGGACGCGACGTCCCTGAACTCGAGAGGCTTATGCGCGACCCGGGTCTTGATCTCGAGAGTCGACGCGAGCGACACCACCTGGCCGTCCCTCTCGACGGACAGCTTGGAGCCGACGTGGGCCGGCGCGCGAGACTTGTTGCTCGGAACTAGGGACAGGGACGACAGCAGGTTCGAGAGGTCGCCGTCCCCTCCCTTCTTGCTGCTGGGACTCCGCGCCATCCTCGCGCCGATGTATCCGTCCGTCTCGCAGCGGACGACGAGGGTCAAGCCCCCGAAGCGATACGAGATCACCCTGTGGTGTCCGGTGCTGTCTTCAATCTGGTTTTTCGTGTACGCCTTCTCGAATTCGTGGCCGAATCCCCTGAATTCATGCGGTGCGATTATCTCGTAGGTCACCTTCTCTACGCGAGAGAATAATACCGTATTCTTTGTCACCTCGAGTTTGATGGTGAATGGCTCGAGGCCGCTTCTGCTCGAGCTGGGGTCGATAAATGAGAGCAATTTGCGGATGTTGTTTCGGTCGGTCACGACGTCAACCGAGCTGATGTCGAAAGAGGGGTTTTCGATGTACAGTGAGCGGAATAGAGGTTCGAGCGGGCTGGACGGGTGCCGAGCTGAATTTTGAGCGATGTAGACCAGTCCGGAGTCCTTCTTTACGAGTTGAGATCCGGCCGGGGCGGACCAGAGGGCCGGACTGCCCGGGACAGCGATGGTGGGTGTCGGCGCTTCAAGCCAGCTGTATGAGGACAGGTGCTTGACATCGGTAATCGCCGCCACGGGAGGGGTAGGGAGGCCCTGGAGATCCCGGCGAGTGATCTCGGCTAAGACCGGAGATGCCATCGATATGTGATTCTGTGGTGATGTTGGGTTAAGGTAGAGGCGGAGGTCAGCTTCGATCCTGATGGGGACGGAAAGTTGAAGCTTGGAGGTCTCGTAGAATAAGCAGGGGTGAGACGACACTTATATCACTTGAGCCATCCACCTTCCATCCCCGTAATATCGCTACTACCGCCTGAGTTCACCTTTTTTCTAGTCTCGGCGCCGTCGCTCAGCCTACTTCTGGACATGCAGGTATGCGCTGGCACCAAAACATGGCTGAAACCGCGAGGCTGTACGACACTGCGAGGTATCTTCACCTGCAAACGATGGGATGGCCATTTATATAAGGTAGCATTGTGCTACGATACTCCAAGGCTCGGCATCTTCGCCTACTGTACACTGAAGCTGATCCCGTACTGTCTGCAACCAGCCAGCCCTCCTCGGACGAATATGCTGCTACCCTCAAACAATCAACCCACCACCCATCACAGATAGTGAGGGCCAATCGGGGAGGGCCGCTATGCTCACACACACCTACAATCTAAGGAGCGAGTCGCAATGCCCATGCTGTGCTGTTTGTTGGTCACCATGAACTGTACCACCGCAGGTAGAACCAGTAGAGAAAACATTACGTATCCGTGACAAATGAGGCTGTGGGATATCCAGGCCGGCAACGGGCTATGGGTAGATAAGCATACGCGAAACTACTTGTAAGTCACCGCGGAGAGAGTCCTTGATCGAAGCGGCAGATGGCAGGCGGGAAGTATCCCGAAAGCAAGCAATCTAGGTCCGCAGGACATACTTGAGCTCCGAGGTCCTTGAGGGCCGCCTTGGGCCTCGAGCAGACATAACCACTACATGCCATAACTACGGCGTTGCGTGACGAGCCGCAGAGGCCCTCGAGTTCCCCCAAACACCCCCGCGGAGCTTGTATTGCCTAGCTAATACCGGGCGGATCGGCACTTCAGCGTCCGCCACAATCTGTCCCAATTCAAACACCCTTCACTTACTTCGCCAGTTTTGATCCTTGGCATTGTCAGCTCGTCGGGTGGCTAACTATAGGAACTAAGCAGTTACAGAATCACGGCGAGTGGTCGAATCGAACATTTCTAGCATCTCAGCAGGCATGCGTAAGGACCGCGAGTACAAAGTCTACTAACGGTGTTGCATAGACTCCAGAGGTATTAGTTGACTAGTTTACCAGCCTATTACAATGCAATGTATATTGCCCGCTGTTATCCACTTTCATAGCTCGTCATTCGTTCCGGGGGCCAACAATAAAAGCCTCTCGGTTTCCACCCCGCGATCGCCTCTGTTGTTTCTCTTGCCCAGGCGAAACACGGCTGGACTCGTTACCGTCCTCGTCCGTAGGGGCACTCGCGAACTTTTTATAGCTCAGCGCAGAGTTTCCCGCTCATGATGACGCGGCAAGGCCTTTCTGAGCCTCGCGCAAGACGTCCTGCACCGCTTTATACACCCCTAGATTTTCCTGGATCCACACATTACCACCCGGGAATATTATCCTGCGCAGTTTGCACAGGCAAGGAATCAACGGCTCGTAGTATTCGGTACAGCACTCACCCGTTATTCGATCAAAGTTCTGGTCCATCGCGATGAGACCGATTTTCATCGAAGCCACCTCCGCAGGGTCCGGTTCGCGGTTCCACTTCTCGAATTTATGAACGGTCCTGAATGACCCCGCATTCGCGTGATGGACGCAAATCCAGTAGAGAACCCAGAAGAACGATTCAAGATCGTCCATGAATGAATGAGGCTCTCCCCAAAGGACTCGGATGGACATGAATGCTCGTGTGCCCGTCCTACTTGCCATTCCCGAGATTTCGTCTCGCAAGACCTTGGTAGCAAGATCAAGGTCGATAAGAAATCCCAGCCGGGAAGGATCGCTGCGGTCGTTATTGATCATAATATTGTTGAGTGATATATCGCGGTGTAAGATGCCTGCTTCGTATAGGGCCTTATGGCCCCCTACACATTGCGCCATGCTTTCAAGCAATACGGTGAGCGACTCGGCAAGATAAATAGGCTTCCCGTAGTCCTGCATGATGATCCGCTGGTGCACTCGGTTCATAGTGACCATGCCCCCCGGCCCTGTTAGGGACTCAGAACGACGGCGTTTGCCCAATAAGTTAAACCCGCCCGTTTGGCCGGAGGAACGTTTCGCACAGGCAAGCCTTGTCTGAGTGCTCGGGAAGACCTGGAAGGCTGGGGTTGGGCAAGTCTGAGTATTCGATGGTGGATTTGGCGGCCGAATAACCCTCTTACCCTTCCGGACGTCCAGGCCTTTTCTGACGTTGTCCTGCACGTTGTCTGGAAGACCGCCAACTTGGACAGTCCAGTTATGGAAGTGTCGTGCTACGTTAGCTACCCCCTTTTCAGTTGCCAGTCGGAGTAGTTCGCCCTCGTTGCGCTCCATGGGCTGCCAGGATTCCTTAACTACCACTACCTGTGATTCCCCTTCTAAATGCGCTTTCCAGCATGTGGTTCCTCGCGAGACGATGCGAGAAGAAGATCGACTCATCATGTGGTCCAGAATAAGGCGCTTCTTTTGCCCTCCCTGATCGACCTCCATATATCGCTTGACCCCGGAGGAGATGATGGTAGGGTCAAACCCAAGACTTTCTCTATTCATGGATAGAAAGGCCAGAATGACTGACACAAATAGCAATCCATCCTGATTAATGTCAAATTTAGCCGACCCGATAACTCCGGCCCGATCAAAGTTCCATACACGCATAATCGATCCGCAGAGTGTAAATCCGAGAACGAAGCGGCGCGTGTCCTGGGATTTGAAGATCTCCCGCACGCATCTCGCTAGGTCGAGCCACGTCGTTACGCCGTCCTCTCCGGCGTTTGTCTCAAGCTTGCCGGGCACTAAGATATGTGACCAGTCACGCGCCCAACCCGTCGTAGCCACAGCGCCGCTAATGAATCCCGCATTCATCTTACGGTCCGCAACAGAGCCTGTCGATGGGTTGTACTGTAGTCCGATAAGCTGCTGTCGAATAGCCATCATCGGTACGTGGCGTTGCGCAACTTGGACTAAATGCGTAGTAGTTCTCTGCAGCCAGGCCAGGACGTTTTCTTCGGTTACGACACCGGGCCAGTCCCCCCACCCCTGGTGGAAGAGCGGCTCGTTACCTTCGGAACATTCCTTAAAAACTTCTTTAGCCGCTTCGTCGAGGCCAACGACCGCCCCAAAGAAAGTCCCGTATATATCTAAATCAACCCAAATAGGTCCAAGTTCTTCTTGAAGCACGTGATCCATGAATTTACGATACTCGGGGTTATTAACTACGTCAGACGTAAAGTCTAGGGGTGCATCGATTCCAGAAGAGGCACTCGTTCGTGGAGGCGGAGTACATTGAACGACAACATCGTAGACTTTGTCCCAGATCTCAATGTCAGGTTTCTGTCCGAGGACGGCAATAAAGAGGGGTTCAATGTGGGCGAGGTCGAAATCGTCCGAGTTTACTGCGATATTAAGCCTCAAAATGTCCTCGTATAGGCTTTTGCTCCTGTTAGAGGGAAGATGGCGGGATGCACGCAAGCCTAGCAGCGTGCCAAGAAGGTCGAGAGTCAGATCTTGAAGAACTGCCACGACATTAGCGAAATGGACCGGGGAAGCCAGGTTAGACCATATTATTACCATCTCGATCCAACTTGTCAACCAAATTTAAGTTATCGGAAATGCCCTTCTCGGAGCACGCCAGAGAGAAAGAATTGCGAAACTCATCCAAGCGACGGCCGATAGGGTTCTCCTTGATAACGGCCAACTTATACTGGTCCTCCATGATATTGGATGGCTGCTTGCCATATCCTCTTCTCGTCGGGTTGGAAATGGAAAAGGAGTAATGGCGCGGCGTGACGCGACGCAACGCGTCTACATATGTAGTAGTGCTTTTCTTAGTCATCCCATTGCCTGCCTCACGTGACATAGGTACCTGATCTTATTCAAGTCACGTGATGTAATCCCGAAACTGGCCCGTGGCCTGTATTACCTTTGGGCATTCTCGCTCTCAACCTGCCCGGCTCTCTCTCTACCTATTTATCATCCGTCCCATGGTAAGCATCCAAGCTCGTGCATGCCCAAACTCTACTCGTAGCCATCTTCACGATGGATCGGCTGCGTCAAATCTTCCTCTATTTCTGGAATTTCCGCTACCTGCCGATGAAGTACCGGTGGCCGCTCATCAAGCTGCGGCGCCGGCTGCTGCCCACGGAGACCGGCCTGGGCCTGCGCGACGCGCTGCGCCACGCACGGTCCCTGCAGCACCCGCCGCAGCCGAACCCGTACCTCTTCGTCCTCGGCCTCCTCTGGCCCTTCCCCACCTGGTACTTCCCCGCCGTGCTCCCCCCCCCGCCGCGGGACATCATGGCCGAGCCGTACCGCGTCCGCTGCCAGGTCCGCGATCTGATCTATCTGCGGTCCATGCCCCTGTGGTGCGCGCGCGACACGCCGCAGCGCGCGTTCTATCGCCTCTACGAGGCCTTCTGCGCCGCCGACGGCCACATGATCACGTACGAGACCGAGTATTTCTGGAAGCATGCCTCGCCAAAGTGGGCCACTGCCAACATCGCCGACCCCCGGTGCGAGGACCCGGAGCAGTACGCCGTGATGGCGTCCTTGGCCGAGGTGCTGGTCAACTCGTTCATGTGGCGGTTGGAAATCGGGCTGCGTAGAAACGGCGACATCGAAGGCCCCGACGGAGCCCCGCCTACCGTCCTCGAATTCTGCCCTGCGTGGACTGCTAATGTGCCGCCCCTGAAAGAAAAGCTGATCATAAACCCCGACGACGAGCTGTACTTCGACAGCCCATTTCATGATCGCAACATCATTACAGCAACCGGGCACTTCTACACCGTATGATTAGCGGCCGCTGCGGGCTGGACCGGCAGATAAGGTCGTCGAGATCAGCTTCACTAAGATCGAAGTCGTGCCGGAATAGTTGATTGTTATCCCTAAAACGAACACCCACGCCCACTGAGATTTCTCAGCTATCTTTCTAATGTATATATCGACCCGTAGTCAATGAATATTAACACGCACCAGCCTTTCCCTCGACAGGTTTCCTGCTGGCAGGACACCGCGGCCGTCGAAAAGGTTCGAGCGTGCTTTCGTTAACACCAAACCCACTCCTTATTGAGGTCCTGATACTTGAACTGGTTCCGGTCGGGGTCTCGAATCATTTCTACGAGGCCCACCGCTCCGTACGTCTCCCCGTAGTGCCTAGCAACCGCCCTCAGAGCCTCGTCGGTGGGCTTTAGATCAAATCCGTTGTAGTTGAGGCTCCGGGCGAAGTCGAAGCTCAGAGGCTTGTTCGTCCGGCTCACCATATACTTTATAAGCGCGGCGGCGTCGGGAATGTCGACGTCCTTGCTTCCGCGGCGGTCACGGGCGTGCGAAACGCGGCGCAGTTTCCGCTCTAGCGCCCAATCCAGGCGACCTGCGAAGACGGTGAGGTTGGGTCCGGAGTAGACGGTGATGCCCTGGTCGACCGATTCCAGGAATAGAGCGCCGCGCCGGTCGCGGGCAATGAACGTCTCTAGCTGCCGGTTGAGCCAGTCCTGGCCAAAGCCGCCGCTGCGAGCGACCTTGGAGACGGCGGCCTTGAATTCGTCCGCGTATTCTTTCACGGCGGCCAGGTTGGGATCGAGGACGCAGTCGATATCGTACGACGATTCGCGGTTACGTAACAGGCACACAGCTAGCGATCCGCCGATGGAGATGAGCCTGATGGGCGCAACGCTCATCAGCAGCTCGCTGTTGGAGATCTCGGCATCGAGGAGAGATAGGGCTATTCGGAGACGGCTTCAGTTCGGAGCAGCATATGGAGAGTGTATTGTCTTGGTTAGGAATTGGGGAAATGCGTACCTCTCTGCATGACCTCGGATGTCATGGGGTCTGGGAGCGGCACGCTCCGAGCATGCTGCGAAGCCTGTTGCGGGCCTCCTCGCGAAGACCGCATGGCGAAGAACCAGAGGGTATTGACGATATGAGCAATTAGTTGTCCAGATCTGAGAAGTAGGATGTCGATGGGATGAACAATAGCCGCGGAGATCTCTCGATCTATTTCTTTTCATGGAACTGCACCCACCAAGGTGATGACGACGGCCGCCCGACGCAGAGCACCTGGTTGGAGCCCGGGTCGGACGTGGTCCTCGTTGGCTCTAGCTCTCCAAGTTTTTCCTTGCATTAACGCGGCAATTGATCCCCACCGTCAGAAACCGTGGTAGTTCCCGGCCACGACCCCACGCCGAAGCCGGACGGCCCCCGCCGACCCGAACCCCCTCACAACCCCACACACTGATAACAGGCCCGCGTCCCGCTGAAGCAGGGAGAACGGTTGCAATATCGAGGGTGACGCGCGATATTAGCCATGGGAGGCTGGCTTTAATATGCCATGGGTTCAGTTGCGCCCGTCCGTCCTCTCAGATTTGGCAGGTTAAGCGAATATCAAATGCTGATCTTCGTCTATGCGCTGCAAGGGTTCAACTCGGGATGGTTATTGGAGATTCTAAATAGGTTGCGATGTCACTGTTATTAGGACGGCTTCCACGGTTAACGCGAGGTTCTTCTTACCTCCCTAACGCGTAGTTGCCACGCCAATGGTTCTTCGTAGACCATCTTTTCATGATTCCTTGCGTACCAAGTAAGAGTCTGTGAAGTAGGTTGGGTGTGCCGGCGATTTACGATGCTTATATTTCGGCTGGCCTCGGATCCAGTGCGCAGAGTGCGATAACAATTGAAGTCTGGCTGTGCACGCATAGTTTGATGTTAGGATATTCCACGCTACTTGAGTATTGCGCCAATATATCCGCACCAGGCGTAGGTAGTCGGTAGAAAGGCCTACTGAGACTCGGGCGGGGAGGATTTCGGTTCACAAAGAGGCCTGTTGTCACGTAGAATGCTGCAGGCCCCGGTGGCCAATGGTGCTAATCGTGAGTTTAGCGAAGGATCAGCGGTTATACCAGATGATGGCCCAACTTCCTATTATGTATGGAAGACCTGCTCAGGTAAGCAGGTAAACGGTTGTGCATGGGTCTCGCATAAGCCACCTGAGCCTCGACGCCGCGACATCACGATACGTACACAAGATAAGGGACCAAGGCGGACCCGGCTTCGACGTCCTATCGATAATATACACACACATATATATACATCCGCCTCAGCTGAGCTTCTCCCAATTGTTACCGGATTCTATATCACCCCGTCCACCGCCCACCGTTCGGGCGGACGGGACGCGCGCGTCTCTCACCCCCCCTCCCCCCCTTCTCTCATCGGCGTAACGTAGTCAGCGTGCCCATGGAATCGAGGTCGCGCCGCTTGCGCGTCGCCTCCGCGGCACGGTCGTCGCCTGCCTCTCGCAGCCAGCCCTCGAGCATCGTCAATGTCTCGTAATAGTTGCGCCCGTGGGGCCACGCGCGCGCCTGCAGGTCCGCCGCCTCCTGGAGCTGGTCGCGCGCCCGCCGGTGGTCCGGGCACGTCGTCGCCTCCGCCGCCGCCTTCGCCGTGGAGCGCGCGTGGCCGTGCCGCGCCAGCACGTACAGACACGCGAACTCGAGGTAGTCGGAGGGGTGCGCGGACGCGCGGTTTGCCTCGCGGGCGGCCCCCGCGACTTTGGGGATCCGGTCGTCGCGCCAGGCACTCGAGTTGCCGAGGATGAGGAGCAGATCCGCGCGCAGGTTCGCGGGGTCTTCGTGCTCGCCGAGGCTGGGCAGGCTCGCGGTCGGGATGGCGTCGACGTGCCAGTCGTTGAGGCAGAGGTAGTAGCGGTGGTAGCACTGCTCGAGCGGCGCGACGTCCCAGGGCTCGAGCATCGTGTAGTCGAAGGGTTGTCCGTCAAAGGTGCCGTGGAAGCGACCGGACGACCAGCGCAGCACCCAGTCGATCGCGTCGACATTGTGCTTCAGGTCGTGCTGTGCCGCAAAGCTAGCGAATGATGCGAGCACCCGGTGCAGCGGCTGGTTCATGCCTTCGATCATGGCCGCGTACCGCGACAGGTAGCTCCATAGCTCCTTCATGATCCCCGCGTTCGGGTACCGGCGGATCGAGACGAGCAGCTCGAACACGGAGAGGAAGGCCGACGCCTCGAGCGTGTGGTGCAGCAGCGCGAACGCGTCCCGGCAGAAACGGCCGCCTTCGCGGTTCTGGCCCACCGAGAAGAGCCAGCAGCCGTGAGTCAGCAGTTGGATAGAGCGGAAGGCCTCGCTCGCGTGGTAGATGTCGAGCTTCCTTAGGTAGCCCGTCTCCACCGGCCGCGGCTTGACGAAGTTCTGGGCGGTCCACTGCAGGAAGCGCTCCTTAACGAGCAAATCGCCCGGGGGGTCCAGTAATTTCGGCACCGACGGCGGCGTCCGACATCGTACGGTGGGCGGCAGCTCGCTGAAGTCGGCTGCTTCGACGAGGTCTGTGGCGCTAACCCCCCTTCTCTTCATGTACGCCTCGATGTCCACGGGCTTGCCGTTTCGGCGGAAGACGGTCTCCTTGCCGAGGGCCTGCCGGTTCTGCTGCAAGAAAAGCAAATTCGCAACATCGGTCTGGCGATTGTTCTTGAAAAACTTCCACTGCGTGAGCTTTGTCTTGTACATCTTGGGCCTTGGGGTGTCGGCTTAGTCAACGAGTAGAGGAGGGACAGGAGGTATCGAGGGCTTACGAGGCGCGGAATCCGTGTCTGCTTTCCATGATCTCCATGACATCCTTTAGACGCCGGTTCTCGTCGAGATACAGGCGGCAAATCTCCGCCTTGTGCGTTTCCCAAACATAGGGGCTATGCGCCCTCTTAGGGTGCCGGTGCTTGACGTTCGTTACTGTTCCCGCCACCAAACTGTCCGGCGAACCAAGCTCTTCCTTAGGGGTGGGGGTCTGGGTAGGCTGCCTGTCAACCGGCGACGGGGAATCCAGACTCGCCTGGGTGCTCGCGGACGATTCGGAGGATCCGTCCCGGCTAGACTCGACGGAACCCGATGGGGAATCGATAGGATCGGGGCACAGTCGAGAAATCCGAGGCGAGAGGGCCGAGTCACGGCCCATCGCGTCGGGTACCTTCGCTCGCGGTCCGTGTGAGCGCATAGGAGCGTCTAGTTCATATCCCGACTTCACCGCAGACCGAAAGAAACGACGTCGGGATACAGGGAGCCCATCATCCCGGGTTCGGGAGGGCCCGGTGCAATGAATGTCGGGCCTGGAGTGCAGAGCCTAAGGCGAAGATGGGAGGAAAGGCGCGGCGTGGTTGACGAGGAATTGGCTGGAGAGGAAGATAGAGATTAGAGGCCGCGGACGAAGGGCAGGGCGTGGAGCGAATCATCTGCTTCATAAGAGATTCAGAATTGGTAGGGAGGGGAAGCAGGGAATGGGAGGTTTTTTCTCCTTAGGGGGGTGAAGAGGGAAGACGGTGCGAGTGATTCCGCAGGCCATGCGATCAGTCAGACTCCTTAGCGTAAAGGGGCGCTGGGGTCTTGTCGCCAGGCAATCCAGGAGCCGACAAGTACCTCTATACCTACGTTAGGTACCTACCCACCCAGAAGTACCTACACAGGTACGTATCCTAGGTGGAAGGGGTACCTACCACCTAGGTAGGTCACAGGCCTTGCCCTAGCTGTTACCACGCTGCGTAAGCCCGGCACGAGACCAGTCGGTTGAGACGGAAATCTGCCTCCCAGAACGATCGACTATGATAGGTGATAGATGCATACCTCCTCACAGTGCAGGTATAATGACGCCGATCACGACAACAGCTACGCGCGTAATCTATACCTACGTGAATGACTCGGTGATGAGCCATACGAGAAGCCGGGTGAGGCCGGGCTATCGCGTAACATGTAGGTAATCCAAGCTATGTAGCCTACCACGCGTCAAATACCTGAGTGGGCGACGACGTGGGCGCCGAGGCAAGGCCCTACCTACACAGCCCACGGAAAAGAATTAGGTCAGCATACCGAGCCATCCGTCCTCCATCCTCCATTTGACACTCACGCGTTTTCAAACCACCGCACCCAGTATCAATCCTAATTCGGCATACAGGTTGCATTCTGTCTCTTGGTGCCTGCGTACCTAGTGTATGGATACCTTGACGATACGGGTCTGTACATAATATGTACACGTATTTAGGTAGATATAAACCTACCCCCTTACCAGGGAGGCCTGCTTCTGTTTCAACATCGGATTTCGGTCTGAACGAGGGACATTATAGCGAGTCCGTTAGTAACTGCCACCCCTGCCGGTTCGAAATAGGCAGCAAGCCGCGAATTCCTTTTCCCCAACCTAAGACGATGCCCGCAGTTTCTCGATCCTCGCCTTGGTCCCGGCCGCGATTTTCTCCTCGTCGTAGATCCCCGTCACGCTGGGGTGCTTGGCCACGACCTCGCCCCAGCGGGAAAAGTTCGGCGCCCGCGCAGCCAGGTCGCTGATTATGCTCTCGGGCAGGAGCCCGTGCTTCGGCAGCGTGAGGAGGCGCAAGACGAAGGGACCCGTCAGAGCCTGTGGTGCGAATCAATGCCTACCCTGCTCGTCGTATCGGTCGCGAGGGGCAGCGAGCAGCCAGCGGAAAGAGAAAGAAAAAGAAAGGCACTTACCTCGGCCAGCGTGAGCTTGTCGCTGCCGTTGAAGAAGGGGGCCGCGTTACCCAGCAGCGGCTCGACCTCCTTCACGATCGCGTCGACGTACTCCTTGACGAGCGCGGCCGCCTCGTCGTCCGTCTTGGCGAACACGATCTTGAAGAAGGTGCCGTTCACTTTGGTGAAGAAGGTGTCGACGAAGAAGGCAATCCTAGCGCGGGTCAGGGCGCCGCCGGGCGCGTTCGACACCGGCAGCAGGTGGGACGGGAACGCATCGGCCAGGTAGCCGGCGACCACAGCCGACTCGGTGATGATCTCGCCATCGATATCGATAGACGGCACCAGGCCCCGCGGGTTGACCTTGAGGTACTCGGCCGTGCGCGGCGTGGTCAGATCGATGATCTCCTCCTCGTAAGGGAGCTGGAGCTCGGCGAGCGTGATGTGCGCGCGATGCGCCCCTTTTCCATCGCATCAGCCAAACTCCCCAGCTATCCGCGAAGGGTACTCCCCTAGGCACACTCTACGTACACGGACAACCGTGGTTAGTGTATAGCTTGATCTTGGGGGTTGGCGCGGCCATTGCTGCTAGGTAGGTGGATGTTGGCGAGTAGAATTTGGAGAAGAGTCTGGCCGCTCTCGTGGTGGAGAAGCAGTAGAAGATGTCAGAGAAATAGCAATCGGGAGGCCGGAGCTTGGCTCTTATTTATGTATACGCATCCTAGGCAGCTGTAGGTATATCTAAACCCGAAGCTTAGTCCGGTTCCAACTCCTCACGGCAAATGCTGATTACCAATATGGCATGCGGGGATCGGAGTCGGGACGATAGCAGTCGATATTAGAACGAATGGGCAACTATTTAGTCATTCAGTGCCGAGACGGACCAACCTCGCGCAGGTTTCGATAGGCACCAGAGATAAGCACGCCATCTCTTGCCCCATCTTCATCACCACCATTCACCACATATTCATGTTCATCACGTTTCTCCACGCCCATGGCCTTGGCCGACACCGTCGATGGCTACCAAGGCCATCGATCGTTGTCTCGTTCCCGATGCCCCCAACCTCTGACTTATAATATTAACTACCTGAAGCATCTGCATAGGAAACACAATGTGACCCAGCCGTCTTCTTCTTAGGGAGGGAATGGCCATATAAATGTTGATAATAATTACGACTAGCAGCTCTCTAGCTTAGTAATAGTAATAGTGAGTCACGCCCGCAATAGCAAATCGCAGAATGCGAGGTTCTACGGACGGCTGTGAAGGAGTCAGACGGGTTTGTAATATTCCACAAGACTCTATAAGGCTGCGATGATGCATTCTCACACCCTAGCTACATGCCTACCAAGCACTCTACTCCGGGGCTTCCGGGCCTAGGGGAGTCGTCATCTAGGCACCTCGAAATCCCTCACCAGCTCCTCTTCCGAGCGGCTCTCTTATTGACTTTGTACTCCAAGTCAGAACTTAATATACGATCATCACTCTGTCGCTGCACATTCCAAAACGGGGGGAGCCGACTCCAGTAACCAGGAAATTCAACCGTGGCCCTAAAAGGTTCTGGTAGACACTTGCTGCCGCCATTCTAGAGGATGTTGTATACTAACTATGGCTGGTGAATGCTCGTAAACTTGGGATATTTCTTTAGTTGACATTAAAATCTACGTTGAACCTGGTCTTAGGTAATATGACAGAGGAAAAACCTATCATATAAGTCTGCATGTCCAAACTAGGAAGTGTATACATCTACGTTTTCACATGACATATCAGGGTATATTTTCATGAGGACAACCCGTCTACACAAGTCTTGACAATAGCGCTAGAATAACCACTCTTAAATGTCTACATAAAAGCCAGATCCTAGCTGAATCAGATGATGAGAGAGCATAATGAATGCACTGCGTGCCCTTCTTCGGAGACTATGCGAACGATGCAACGGAAAAGATTTTCACTACCAGGAAACCGATACATATTAACAGCGGTATTTCAACGTAGTTGACGCAGAGGTGCCCAAGCTGTGGAGATGTTTTCCCGTCAGCCGCATCTGCATCCTCATTCTCCCGGTATCTGTTTCCAGCTACCAAGTTCGTTCTGTGATCTGGCAATAAAGCTACACTGGGAAGACCCGCAGGATCGCTCAGCCGTAAGCAGCCGGGAGTGGCTTAGCAGCTCCGGACTCTGAACAATCCAACCGACATCTACGACGGCGGGTCATCTACAACCTCGGCCGCCTTGTAATAAACGAAAAGGTCGAGCTGGGCAATCCAGGCCGGTGAGCTTTCCAAGGATGACTTAAAAGAGTTCGCTAGCCCTCTAACATTGTAGGACGATAAAACCCCGAAACAATTCCTAGTCTGGTTATGTGAAAATAGGCAATACAATGTCTAAGTCACGGTGAATCCTGCGGCTTCTCATGTCAGCGGTAATATGTACCAGTCAAAAGTCAACTCCCGCAGAACATATCGCAGCCTACTAGTCGCGAAAGCCATACCACAACCGCCGACATCTCAAACGCCATCCAACCAAAGCATTCCCGCCAAGTCGGCCACCGCAACGAACCGGCGTGTTCAGCACTAGCTAATATCGCCGACCATGTCGCGTCAGCTACGAATCGCCATCGTGGCCGGGGGGGGGGCTCCTGCTTCACCGGCGCGGCATCCCCTTCCCCATCTTCGAACTGCGCGATAAGCCGACCGCCGAGGAGCTGGCGCGACCGTCGGGGACGCTGGACCTGGACCTACACGAGGAGCCCGGGCCCGCCGCGATCCGGGAGCGCGGCTTGTACGATGACTTGGTGCCGCTGGCGGGGGAGTGCACGGACGACTCCGTGGTGGCGGACCGGCCGCACGCCGCCGCCGAGACCGGGGCCCTCATCGCCAAGATGCTCGGGTCCGACGACGCGGCGCCCGAGGTCGCGAGGTTCTTCGAGAGCGTAGTCGCGCAGCACCAGAAGAAGTGAGGTAGGCATGTCAGCTTACGGCCAAAGGCACGGCCGTCGTGTTCCTTCGAAATGGTTTGCCGTTGTTGGTTATTAATGTTCGGCCCGGTATGTTCGCCCGGGGCAAAAGCGATGCTGATCTTAATGTGACAACGTATTCTTCGCAGCTAGGAATGACCGGCTATAGAGATACCTAATCCATGCATATATTACTTATTTACCTACTACGAAGCAATAGTACATCCTTCAAGCAATTTCCTCTTCTATTTTCACCATGGTTTTCAGGTTGTAATCGAAATAATACGTATATAAGCCGTCGTATTTAGAACTATGGTATACAGTACTAGACTAGATGTCCGGTTTGCTGAGGTGAGCTGCTTTTAAGAAGGAATTCTTGCATTTCTACGGAAAGGTAGATTACTGATATTTTCAAGTTGACGTCTAATATAGGGGCAATTAAGGACCGATGTGTTCATACGACAGATGGGCACCTAATACCCGCCAGCACAGCTATTATTACAATAACTAGGCAACCCCTATTAGGGCTCTGTTCAGGGGTAAAGCTATCCAGTTCTGCTTTAACCTCCCGTCCGGCAGGACTTGCAGTCAGCCAGAAGGCAACGGTAGTCCACCGTTATCTTTAAACCCAGAACTCGATTTACCCGTTCCACAAAGAGGCCGCAATCACTGCATCTCAGGCGACCCGCCATGGTGACATCCTGCTTGAGAGGACGCAGCAGGCTGCGCCTGTTCTAGACCGGAAAGCTTCCCCCGGTGCTCCGATTCCTTGTCCAACTGCTCCCTCCCGTCATCCGATATACCCCTTGAATCAAGTCTCGACAAGTCGACGAGCTCCTCCATCTCGTGTAGCAAGATAAAGTGCTTACAAACGGAGAATGAGATCAACGGCTTCTCTGCGCGGCAAGCAAGAAATTATCCCGGCTCGCTTGATCGTATGCATGCGGTGGAAGGATGTGTCCGATAACGTCACAAAGGCGAAGAACCTTGTGTGTCCAGTCTCTCCCTGCGATCTGGATGTTGGTATCACAGCTCTCCCGCCCCGGGGTGTTTGCCTGCATCCACTCACCCGCCGCCATGTCATCGTCGTCGTATGTGGCCGTGCTACTTCGAATCGGTTAGAGGCTGGTTCTCTGCGTTCTGGCCGCGCGAGGCGGGCAAGTATGCACCAAGCCTTGCTCGACTTGGAGGAAAAGGGGAGGGCGTGGGAGAGGAGGCGCCGCGCCCCGGAGACACGCCTTGTAGTGCTACCACGCGGCCATCGTGCGCGTCCGCAATTGGACTGGACCCGTGCGGTCCTCGCTACCGTGACACGAAGCGTCAGGCGCTCGCGATCCGGCAGCCTTTGTGCGCCTCGTGGGACGCGCGACGCCGCGTCCCGAGTCCGCGTGAGGGCTATCGAGAGGCCTACCGTCTCCTCACACTCGGGATATCGCATGTCGACGTGGTCGCGTCTCGTCCCGTCTCGGTCTCTTGACCCACTTACCGGCTCTTCTCTACTGCTTCTCGCGCTCCTCTGTCACCGCACCTCTCGAGATTCACTAGCTAGCTCTGCTACTACAAATAGCGCCACCTGCCGCGTTACGGGGTTAGCTTGCTCTTCCTCACCTCCCCACGCGCATCGGCTATCCTCACTTGTCCTGCTTCGACGACATAAGGAAGAGTTAGTACCTACCGTTTTCTCGCCGTGCTACTCTCTACCTTCCTGCGCTTCACAGCCCCCAGACACGACCGCATTCTCCAGCCGCACGACCCGACAAGAGAGGGTGGGGATCTCGGAGACGATCGATGGCGGGGAGCCGGCGCGCGGCGATCCCGCCGAGTCGGGCGGAGGCGCTGCGGCCCGTCTTCGACTCGCTGTGCGCGTGGCTCAACTTCAGCGACGAGACGAAGCACCAGGTGCGGCCGGGCATCCTGCACGGCGACCACGTCGCGCCGTGCTTCCGCGAGTTCCGGCGGGACTACCTCGAGCCGGCGGCGGCGGCAGCAGCGGGCAGCGGCGCGGCCCCGGCGCTCGCGCACGTGCGCTGCGAGGAGCTCGAGCGCTTCTGCCGCGAGACCGGCGCGTTCGGGCTGCCGGCGTACGCGGCGGCGCGGCGCCCGCCCAAGCACGGCTGGACCGCGGTCGAGCACGCGGCGCGCTTCGTGGTGCGCGTGCTGCGGCGCAGCTGGGAGGAGGGCGGCGAGTGGACGCACGGGCGCTTCGGGCCTCCCGCCGCCGCCGACGACGACGACCCCGACCTCGCCGCTGAGTCCGACTTCGTCCAGGTCTGGGCCGTGCTGCGCTATCGCCAGGCCGAGTGGGAGGCGGCCAACCTCGAGCACTGGGACGTCGAGCGGCTGTACAGGACCTTTGCGGACGTGCTGCCGAGGGCGGCGTAATGTCGGGAAGTCGAGTACTCTGCTATAGTGAAAGGCTTACTTTTTGAGGGAGGGGAAGGGGGGGTAGAGGATGGGCGTAAGGATCTGTCTACGGCGCATTAGGTTGGGTATGCCGAGGAAGCGCTTGGTCGGAGTGTTTTCCCTTTAACGTACCTATCTAGAATCAGAGCCAGACATGTCTCCCTCGACCACATCTGATTCTACAATTCTGTCAGATTGCACATAGAGTCGGAACGGGAACACCATGATCATCCCGAGCCCTCGCCATGCGCAGCTGTAAACATAAATGACGTCGTAAACGGCCCCCAACCTTCACCTCTCTTGTCTTGGGTTCCTACTCGTGTGTTACTCAAACATTAACGCAGACTGTATCTCAAGTCGTGCTATAGGAATACCAGCTTAGGGCCTAGGGCTGCATTGCCGGAATAATACAGCCAGGGGTGCGGAGGCAGAGAGATTTATATCCATTTCGTGTCGCCGATACACGTCGCGAGCTTCCTCCGAACCCCCCGTTCCGTATTCCTGCTTGGATATACCTACCTGGCTCTTTTATCGGCATGCAAAGTCCCCTCGATAACCTCCGCCGCGATCTTCTAGATGCTCACGCGTTATTCAACGTGCCCTCTTCACTCTTACCGCCCTTCTCACCCTTCTCGTCCTTATCATTCTTCTCGCCCTTCTCGCCCTCCTCGCCCCTCGCGCCCTCCTCGCCCTCCTTGCCCTCCTCGCCCTCCTCTCCTCTCTCGCCCTCCTCGCCCTCTGGCTCACGATTGCTTCCAGCCAACGCGACGTGGCGCGAGTAGTCGCCTGGGCCCTTACTACCGTCGGGCACGTAGAAGCGCTTGTCGAGGCGTGTAGCCGTCAGGATGCTCAGCATGAGGATCTCGACGACGAAGTTGAAGACGTAGAAGGGCGCCTTGCCGTGGTACCAGGCCGGGTCATTGGACGGCCGCGGGCGCGCCCACGCCGTCCCCGAGCGGAATCCGGCGTTGAGCATGGATAGGCAGGCGACGGCGAGCACGATGGCGGCCTTGGCGGCCATCGACCCCGTCCCGAAAGCCTCTTCGTCGCCGGACAGCGGCAGCAGGTAGGCGGCGGCGAGGACGAAGACTGGTAGCGTGGTGAAGACGAGGATGTAAGTGCCAGCGGCGAGCTGGATGTCGCGGCAGACCTGGAGGGTGTGCGGGTTGAGGGAGTAGACAGAGAGGACGATGGCGGTGATAACCATGACGAGGGCGGCGGCGATGGCGGCGTAGAGAAGGGCGCAGGTGGCGCGCAGCGCGGGGTGCCAGCCGACGCGGGGGCGGCGGGCGCGCAGAACACGGAGGGCGAAGAGCAGGTCGAGAACGTAGACGATGAGGACGCCGGCGTTGACGAAGATGTTGGCGGCGATGGAGAGGCGGACGTTGGTGGGGCGCGCGGCCCAGGCGATGCGCAGCACGAGCGTGGCCACGCGTGCCATGCAGAACCCGAACAGGAACACGGACGGCAGGAACTTGCGCCCGGCACGCCGGTTGTACTGGAAGATAGCCATGTTGGCGGCGGCGAAGCCTAGGAAGACGGCGATGAGCACCGCCGACACGGGCACGTCGGGCACGATGGTGGGCAGGCCGCCCACGCCGGCGGTCAACGGCCGGTACGGCGGGCCGGGGCGGTTCTGCTGCTGTTGTGACATGTTTACGGGTATGAAATACGACGCGCTGGACAAGTATATCCTCTCTCACGCTCCCCCCGTCGGACTCGTCCTCGGCGCAGGAACGTCTCGCAGGCCCAGGGCGCTGGGATGGTAAAACAGGGCGGTGGTGGCGCCGACGCCTAGAGCGAGAGCAGGTTGCGTAACGTGTCTACGCGCGGGTGATCGTTGAGGGCGGCAGTGATGTTAGACGAGATGGCGGCAGTTCATAAGGGCGAACCCGATCAGTGCAAAGGACGGCGGGCTTGACTAACCAGGCTGACCGGGACCAGGTAGCCGGATAGAATGCTGGTTTTGTTCCTGAGACCGCGTCTGCGCATTCCAGCGGGACGAAGCAAGGCAGACAAAGGTACGGGTATGGCGGGCGGCCGACGTCGCCAAGCTGCTGATTATATATGAGTACGGGTGCTCGTGGATGCATGCGTGTGTGTCTGTGTAGGTGCCGACACGTAGGCATGGGTGGAATATCTATAAGACACACACATACCTCCTATCTCTCGCCCTACATACCTGGGTAGATACATCCGCCTACATTAACTGCCCCCACACCCGCCCGTGTAATATTCATGTGGTCAGGGAAGCGGGATTCGGGTTAATCTAACGACGTCGTCCCAGCTTGCTTCGCCTTTGTCTCACCGGGAGCACTTAAAAGGGAAACATGAGTAGAAGAAGGACAGCCTGGCACAGCTAGCGAGGGCTCTGCCAGGGTGGGCACCAGCTGAGCGGCGGCGGCAGTGGAATGCAGGTAAACACAGCTGATATCGGACTACGGGGAGTCTTTGCGTGTGAGCTTATGAGTACGAGTAGACTGGCAATATTCGCAGGGGGCAAGCTAGCTGGATTCGTCGCCTCTTCGCGAGACCCGAGGACGCTTGTTGGCGGGCGGAGCAGAAAATGGCTTCAAACAGGAAGACGTGGTTGGCAGGTCGCGCTAACGGCAGATCGCGGACGTTGTCGAGCGCCGACTCGCCGACTGTGGAGCCCGCCGGCTGACCCTGCTACCAGCGTAGGGTACCTACCTAGACGTTCCTGCGTACCGTCTCTGGGCCGAGGTACCTGTGGATACGCACAAACGAGGGCGACCGACGGGGGTACCTCGGGGCGGCCACGGTACAGGCGAGAAGAAGTGACATTATACCTGTCCAGCCCGGGTCGGTGCGACGCGGCACCGACCTGAACAAGGTGGGGGAGCTGTGGAATGGGTAAGTACCTAAGTACCTTGAGTTAGGTAGGTACCGTCTTCTATCTTGTCTTCTCCCTCCCGGGTGAGAATTCTCTGCCTGCCTCAGTCCTCCCTCTACGCAGTGCCAGCGCCTGTCGGAATGGGCCACAGTGATCAATTTGACCATCAAGTGCTTGGTTACTCGGCTCTATTCGCTACATCTCACCCCGGAAATATGCTGTGCCCGTATCGCCTAGTGGGTTGTGCCGCAGGGTCGACGGCTACGAGCATAACGGTGGAAGAGTAACTGACGCGGTAACGAGCAACTGGGTATCGAACACACAACGAGCTGAACACCAAAAACAATCACAATACACCTACCCACCTTGTAAGTCCTATCGGTCCCGACGGCTCAGGGTGTGCGCGTGGAACCGAGCGCAAAGCCAGGGTCGGGGTGATGGGCGACATGTCTCTCTCCCCTTGTTTCTCCACGGTTGCTCACCAACCCCGGTGCGCCTCTCTCCTGAAGATGGCACCCGTGGTAGGAACAGGGACAAACACCTACACGCAAAACACGCACGTCCAGGTATCTCGATATTTAACGCATCGGTCGATCCACCTAACCACGGACCCGTGACCGTCTGCGTAACTTCGATGCGTCCGCGACGGGTGTCGAGAAAAGCAATGTGTCACGTCGTCACCCGTTGGTGGTGGGTGTGTTCGGGCAAATAATGGCAGCGTCAATTGTCCGAAGCCAAAACGAGCCAGCACCCGTCACCCGTCCGATCGTCACAGGTGGCGCGCTGCTACCACAATTATTAACCCGAGAGCTGTAGCCACTGCCCGAAGGAGGAGGCTTTTGGTTGCAAAAAGAGAAGAAAGGGAAAAGGGAAACACGGCTGGCCGGCTGGTCTCCCGACAAGCGATAAGCCCAGCGCCGTCGGGCGTGTCGAAGATCTTCCTCTCTCTCAGCGTCGTCTCTAGATCGATGTGACCTCTCTGTCTAGAGTAGGTACCCCGTGCCAAGGCCGCAGCGATGCCATAAGGTAGGTAGGTACCTTAATTAGACGTCGGAATTCTACTTCGCGTCACGACGCCCATCCCCGCTCCTGTTAGGAGGGAATACTTCACCTCACGTCACTCGACATGCGTTACATACCTACCTACATTGCGCATCCCGTAACCATCCAACGCGACGCGCATCCTCTCCTTATCACGCCAGCCATTCGCCCCTGCGTACAGGCACCAGCCCGAGGTTCGGCGCATTGGGTGGTGCGTCAGTGTACGGATCAATTTTACGCTCTCCACGAATTCCCGCCTGCGTGGAACGGCGATACCGAGAGAATGAGCCTACCACAGCCCCCCCCCGCAACTCTCTACGTAACGGCGCGTAGGGGGTACAGCTGCTCGGCTCTAATATTATCTTCATTTTCCTTTTATATTACCTCCAGTAGGAACGGTGTGCAACCCTATTTATCTATCCCGTTGCTATGAATTCCGCACTTCGCTGCATGCTCCAAGAGATCGACAAGTACATGCTGATTCCCTCATTAAATACCTAACCAAGTACGAGGAAGCTCTAGGACCAGACGGCGTGTAAAAAGGTCTCCCCACCCTCCGGATAGCTTGGGGAAAAGCGCCAGATGCAGAGTTGCTGCCCTGGGAACAGCCATCCGGATAGTCGAAGCGGCGGTATAAATTCGTATAGCAGGTCGTAGGAAGATACCGGATGCCAAACTGGTCGCCGATCCGGAGAGGGTCTGCCCGGATAGATAATCAAACTCGTCCGTGAGCACCGGCCTTAGGAGCAGTCCGAGCTACCGTAGCGCAGTCTCATCGCCGTAAGCCGATCTGCCCGACTCAAAGTCTGCCCGTGATCCTCTGCGATCTCGTCGGTGAAGCCTTAGAAATTCCTCGGACCTTCTCCGCCCGACGATCTCCGTTCTCACCCCCCTGCACCCCAACGGCACTCTGCGCCACGTCCCACGTTACCGTCCGACCCGTCCGGCGCGTCGGCACCTTGAGAGGCACCTTGGAGGCGAAACTAGCGCGCAGGCGCTCGACCAGATGCGAAACGCTAGGTTTATATGAACATATTATTAATTCTATTCCGGGAGAAGATGCTTCCAAAGCTCCCGGCCACCACTAGCGGGATCCGCTTCGCCGCTCCTAACGTGAGCGATAGAGAGACACCGGAGTGCGGCCTGCCGAGAATTTGTGTTGTAACGTTCGAAAGCACAGACTCGCATATGACAGGCCGACCGGGACGTAGATCCTCCAAAGGAAGCGATGTCTCACGGTGTCTCAGTACTGGCGGGTATGCTGCGTTGAAGATCGACCGAACTCATAGGGTGGGGACTTGTCAAAGCCATCATCTCGTCGATCTCAACGACAAAGCGGACAAAGAACGGGGTCCTGCAGGGTCATAGCAAGCGAAAAATACAATGTAAGACTGGTGATAGGATTCAAAAGGAAACAATTGATTATTACTAGGCCCGGTTGAAAGAAACAAAGCGGGATGGTGTTGATCGTACTCCGCCCCTTTGTCGATACTGGAACAATCCTATTTTCACAGCAACCAGAGGAAGCACCGCGCACCATAAAACCCGGCGCTTCCCCAACTGTCTCGCATTCATAAGTTTCACCGCAGGGAATCTGAGAATTCAACTGATATAATCTCTTCGACATCTCGGCTTCGCAAGCTTTCTTCAGTGTTCATCGCAGCTCTCCACATCATACAACCTAACATCCACCCTCCTCTCTCCAACTCCCCCGACAGTACTATCGACGGCGCAGAACCGGCAACTAAAATGAGAGGACTCATCCGAGCGCGTTCGAACACGCAGCTACCCGCGATCCCCGAAGACAAGCAGGCTTGCACCCAGACCAAGGCGTCCGCCCTACCGCCGCCGCCACCGGCCGCGGAATCGTGGCTTAGGGCTCCGATGCTCGAGCTCTGGCGCCCCGAGAACGACCCCGTGAAGCACGCAGAGAGCGCGCCCAAAGCTAACGAGGCCCCAGCGCGGCCCTGTCAGGTGGTCGTGCTGTACCACACCTGCGGGTGTCGGTCGGCGGCGGCGCCGGTATACTTCTGTTCAGCGCCGGGCTGCGCGCACGTCGGCCGGCCCACGACAGCTCTCGTGGGGCAGCTGCCGTTCGCGTGCGGCGGCGCCGGCAACGACGCGTGCGGCGCGGCGGATCCGGCGCGCACCGAGTTCGTGCGCGAGATCGACACCGCGGAGCGGCTCGCACCCCTGATCGTGCTAGAGGACTGCGGCGGCGGCGCCCGTGAATTCCTTGACGGCATGCCGCGGGCCGGCGCAGCGTCGCCGCGGGCACAGAGCTGGGGCGCTGCCGAGCTCCGGAGTCACAGCCCCGAGGCCGGACGGCCCGGCGTCACGGCGCCGAAGGAGGGAGAGTGCGGGAGGGGAAGTGAGAAGCGGCTTGCCGTCGAGCAGCCGGCAAATAGGACGTTCGAGGGGCAGCCGACCCCGGGCGAAGACGGCAGCACCGACGACGAGCTGGAGGGAGACGAGGAATTCTACGACGCGGCGGAGCTTATCGAGAGCTTCCTAAACGCAGCAGCTAACGCTGACGCCGCCGAGGCCGCTCGTCCTGGCAGGGACAGCGATTGCGACAGCTACGGAGACGAAAGTACCGTCGGCATGGACGCCGCAGACGGCCCAGAGGTAAGTGGCGAGGTGCACGGCAGCGACACCGATGCCTACCATAGAATGCTGCAGGAGATCTCCCCCGGTGCGGGAGATGCTCCAGGCGAGAAGACCCCGGAGCAGGAGCAGGGGCGGGAGAAGACGCACGATATGGTTGGTAGTACCGCTTTTCCCCCTCGAAAGAACGCGGGCATGGCCACGGGCGTAAGCGTGCGTGGAAATGCCAACAATGCGGACAACCACCCCGACGAGGACCTCGTCGCCATCGTCGACTCCATGGCGCGAAGGCGGCGGTGGACTCGGACCCAGTCGGCGCCTAAGGCTAAGCGGTCGATATTCGGTAAGGTATTCTCGTCTCTACGGCTCCCCGGGTACGGTCGGAAGTAAAAAGCTACCTACCTGCACTGGCTGTCGGGATGAATCACGTTGGTAAGTAAGTACCCACTGTCTTTAGTGGAGGCGCGTTCGTTCAGTCCGGAGCACGATAGAGATTGGAGTACGATAGAGTAGAGGACACGGAGCGCGATAGAGGCTGGGCCGTTTCAGTGCTTGCTAGTTTCCCACTGTAGAGTCTGTACATATAGGTAGGTACACGCAACAGATCTACTACCTTCAACCCACACAATGCAATTCGTGACTCGTGTGTGTGCCTTGAATATTAGGTAGGTATCTTTTCATCCCCTCCCAGTCTAGAGAAGCCGAGGCTACACGACTCGACGCCGCCTCTTCCCGACGGGCAGTGCTAAACAAATCCTCGGCAAAATCCCATCACTGCAAGAACTGCTCGTGGAAAGTCCCCTCGACCCACTCCACGTCCTCGCCGCCCTCGACGGCGTCAACCCAACGCTCAACCTGGCGGTACGCGAACTCGTTGTCGCAGTTCTGCACCGCGGCCTCGTAGTCACGCAGGTAACCGCAGCGCCGGTACACCTCTACCCACGCGGGGCAGCGCTCGGCCATCTCGTGGAGGAATAGTCGTCGTAGGAGGTATATGTGGTGCTGGCGAAGGGCCTCGTCGTACCGGCGCTGCCGCCGGTCGTTGCCGGTGTCGCCCTCGGGTGACGCGTACGGCAGCACGCGCAGCGGCGCGACCGGCCGCCCGCGCGCCTGCTGCAGGAATGCCGGCAGCCGGCAGGCTTCGTACAGGGGCAGGCAGGACACGCACTCCCAGCCGATGACGCCGCGCAGCACGCCCACGTCGTCGACGAAGATGTTGTCGAGCGAGAGGTCGTCGTGCCAGAGCACGGTCGGCTCGCGGGGCTTCGGCGCGCGGCGCTTCTCTCCCGCCTTGCCGGCGACGTCCTCGTCCGTCGACGGCTCCAGATCGCTGCCGCCGCCGCCGCACGGACTCGCGAGGAGATGGGGCGTGGGGAAGAACTCGTCTTCGAGCCCGCGGAGGCGCTCGACCAGCGCCAGCATGCGCCGCGCGGTATCGCGCTGCGCGGCGTTGGGCGCCTCGAGCCAGCGCTGGCGCAGGTCGGCGGCGACGAGCCGCAGGCGGCGGCGGGTCCACTGGCCGGCGGTGCGGAAGGGCGCGGCGTAGCGGCGCAGCGCGGCGCGCTCGCCCTAGAAGAGCGCCGGCGCGACCATCTCGCCGACGCGCGGCGCGGCGGCCTCGCCATCGCCGTCGTCGTCGTAGTACAGGCTGCCGACGCCGGCGAACGGCTGCGCGAACGCCGCCGCCGCGAACTCCGCCAGCTGCGCCACGACGCGCCGCTTCGCGTCCAGCGTCACCGCGTCCCAGCACGCGCCCAGCGCCGCCCCCGGCACCCGCCCCGCCAGCACCCACTCGAACGGGAGCGGGCCCGCCTCACCGCCGCCGCCGCGCGAGTACGCACGCACCCGCGGCACCGCCAGCCGCGTGTGCTCGCGCACCCAGCGCAGCGCGCCCACCTCCGCGGCCGTCTTGCGCCCGCCCGCGCCCGCCACCGGCAGCGACACCCGCAGCACGAAGTCCTCGGCCCCGTGCCGCACCGCGTACAGCTTGTTGAAGGCGCCGTCGTGGAGCGGCCGCACGCGGACCGGCCCCCCCAGGGCGCGCTCCATGGTCGCGGCGACGGCGGCGAGAGCTGGCTCCACCGTCCACTCGGGCTTCGGCGAGAAGATGTTGCCGCCCTCGTTGACCCAGCGCAGGCCGTAGGCTAGGTCGTCGTTGTCGTCTGGGGGCGGGATCACGGCGTTTTCGGTGTTGGCGTTGGCATTGGCGTTATCATCAGGGTTGGCGTCGTCGTCGTCATCGTATGCCCCAGGGCAGTCTTCGTCGTCGAGAAACTCGGCCGGGTCTCCGAAGAGGTCGTCCAAGCTCGAGGAGAGGGCCTCATCTGTGTCCTGTATGCCTTTGTCTGCCATGACTTGGGCTACAGGTAGGTGCCTAAGCGATGCCCACCGTGCTCTTCGTCAGGTAGGGAGGTAGGTTTGTGTGGTTGGCATGTGAAGAGAACGGGGCTGGCGGGCGCCGTAGTATGGAAGAGAAGTATAAAGAAGGGAGAGAGGGAATTGGATTCCGTACATTTTATTGACGGCGCGACTGACTGACGACTGGCTGACCGACTGACGCGAGTTGGTGATAAAAGGGGTTAAGGGGGTGATGGATGGGTTAAGGGGGCAATGGCCTCGCGTGCATAAAACCAGGTACCCATGAGTGGGTGTAATGTACGGGCACTTGTGCATTTCTATGCATAAGGACCCTGCTCCGAAGGTACCGTTAGTATTAGCGAATACCGGACTTTGGCCGAGAGGACTGGATTAGGTAATTCCGGTGACGATGATTGTGCGTACCTTCCTACCCACCAGGTGCGTCTGTACCTTCCCATGAACCGATCGGCGGAAAAACGATAATCGCACCTTCCCGTGCCCGCCCGGCTTCGTCCAATTTGGGTGTTGAGGTAGGTACTACCTGCCGAACCTACCGCACCTGCATTCCCTGCCTGTGTTCCCTTTTTCGCTTTTTTTTTTTAATTCTTTATTTTTATTTTTATTTTTAAATTTTTTTCCTCCTTCGCTTTTTTCTCCCAACTCCTCCATCCCACCAACAACTCCACCACCCGTCCCTTCGTCCCCTCTCGTCCTTATTTCTCTCCAGCCTCACACGTACTCTCTCCCCCGCATACTCTCTCCCACATAGGTTCCCAATAAAAGGCAGCAAGGAAAACCTATACACCAAGTCCAAGATGGCTGCCGCACGAGCAATTTTCAACGGCATGCAGCGCCGCGCATTCTCAGCCTCGGCGCGAAATGTCAGTCCTTCCCCTCTAGCCTAGTTGCCCCGTCTCAGCTCCTGCTGCCCACCTACCTCCTCCTTGCTATTCTCAGCGGCTGGAATGCGAGGAGAGCAAGCTGCGAAGACCATCCTGACCTCAATTGCTAACCTGCTGGCCTCTCTCCGCCTCTGCCGCCTCCGTAGCTCACCAAGGTCACTGTCCTCGGCGCTGCCGGCGGCATCGGCCAGCCTTTGTCTCTCCTCCTCAAGCTCAACGGCAAGATCACTGAACTCGCTCTGTACGATATCCGCGGCGGTCCCGGTACGCTGAGCCCCTCCAATTGACTCCCATCAGCCATTGGCCGGCTGGAGCCAGCTGTCCAAGGGCAACTGACCTGTAATTGACGCACAGGTGTCGCTGCCGATCTCTCCCACATAAACACCAGGAGCAAGGTAACCGGCTACGAACCAACCCCCGCTGGCCTTGCCAGCGCTTTAGAAGGCGCTGAGATAGTCCTCATCCCCGCTGGCGTCCCCCGGAAACCCGGCATGACTCGCGACGACCTTTTCAACACCAACGCCTCCATCGTCCGTGACCTGGCCAAGGCCTGCGCCGAGTCCGCTCCGAAAGCCAAGCTCCTCATCATCTCCAACCCGGTCAACTCTACCGTGCCCATCTGCGCCGAGGTCCTCAAGGCCCATGGCGTCTACGACCCGAAGCGCCTCTTCGGCGTCACCACCCTCGATGTCGTCCGCGCCAACCGCTTCGTCAGCGAGATCCAGAACACCGACCCTAAGTTTGAGCACATCACCGTCGTCGGCGGCCACTCGGGTGTCACCATCGTGCCCCTCTTCAGCCAGAGCCGCTACCCCGCCCTAAGCTCCAACGAGGCGTTGATCAACCGCGTCCAGTTCGGCGGCGACGAGGTCGTCAAGGCCAAGGACGGCGCCGGTTCCGCCACGTTATCGATGGCCCTTGCTGCCTCCCGCATGGCAAGTGCGCTGTTGCGCGCTGCCACGGCCAAGGACAAGGAAAAGGTCATCGAGCCGTCCTTCGTTGACAGCCCGCTCTACAAGGACCGGGGCATCGACTTTTTCGCCTCCAAGGTCCAGCTCGGCCCTGACGGCGTCAAGGAAATCCTCCCCGTCGGCCCCATTGATGCCAACGAGGAGAAGCTCCTCGAGGCCGCCCTCGTCGATCTCAAGAAGAACATCGAGAAGGGCGTCGCCTTCGTCGCCGAGAACCCCCCCCAATAAAGCACATATATGCGCAACGAAAGGGAAGGGGAGTAGATGGGTATGATATGGCAACTCGGGATGACGCGAGTACGCTATGGAGAATAGCTAGTAGAAAGGGCGTAGGGGGGACATAATCCTAGAAAGGGCGGTATTTCGTTGACGCGCGGATATGCGGTCAGGTGGGCACGCTTGGTCACGGGGCGCGCCCCCTCTCTAACCTGGAAGATGGAGAGGGCAGTGTGGCCTTGTTCTTGTTTCCTTCGGCTTGGTGACGACGGAGTAGATCCCAGTTTCCTCGCTGTCGCCTGCTCTCTCGCTTTCCACGTCTTCGCCGGTAGATATTGGACTATATCCCCTGGCTACCCCTACCAGCTCCTCGTATCGGGGACAATTGTACAATAATAAACGAATACTTCCGAAGATGGAAAATACATGGCTCCATGATACCTCTCTATCCTCCATCGTACGCCCCATCCGCCCTCCCACTCTACAACAGAAACAATTTTCTCCCTTTCCCTCTCTTTTGCTCCCCTGTAGGTGTTGGTCTCCGACGGCGCGCGCGACACCCTCTTCCCCCTCCACAGAGCACATCTCCTCATCGGTCACTCGGCCCCGCCCCGGCCCCGTAGGAGATAGGTCTGTAATAGTTGCTGTCTGTATTCCCAGGCAGACAGAGCCAAGCTCGCCAGCTAGCTAGGTAGCTACCTTGCACCGACCCACTTCGTTTCCTCGATCCGGTCCCCCCCCCTCCCCCCTTACCATGAAAGCAAGCACGCGCGCGCGCGGAGAGGGCCGGCTCACTGGCCGCTCGTGTTGCGGCGGCTCCGCGACGCCTCGGGGCGGCCGATGACGGCCTCGAGCGCGCGCGCGAGCCCGGCCTCGTCGTACCGGAGCATGCCGTCGGCGGCGTTGCGGCGGCCGTACGCGCGGACGCACTCGACGCCGAGGGCGGCGAGCTCGGCGCGGTCGACGCGGGGCGCGCCGGGGCCCTCGAGGTAGACGAGGTGGGTGACGTAGCGGCGGGCGTCGGCCTGGCCGGCGTCGGCGTCGTCGCCGCCCTCGCCGCCGCGGCTCTGCGCCGCCGCGCGCGCCACCGTCCGCACAAAGTCCGCCGCCGTCAGCGCCGCCCCCCGCGGCCCCGTCTCCCGGTCCGCGCGCGCGTTCAGCACCAGCACCTTGTAGCGCGGCCCGCCGGGCCGCGCGAGCGCCGCGCCCACGCCGCGCAGCACCAGGCTCGGCACGATGGACGTGTACAGGCTCCCGATGCTGTACACGACCGCGCCCGCGCCGGCGACCGCGGCGAGCACCTTCGGGTTCGCTAGCGGCCAGATCTCGTGCCCGTACGGGTTGATGTACCAGATGCGCGCGATGCGCGACGGCAGGTCCTCGTCGCCGCCGCCGCCGCCGCTGGTGCTGCTACCGCTGGGCTCGTCCGGGGCGCTATTGCTGCTGCTGTTGTCGGTTCCTGGGCCCGGGGCGGAGGGCGCCCCGCCGCCGCCCTTGTGGAACTCGATGTACTGCTTGCGCAGCGTGGGCAGCGAGCCGGGCAGCGTGGCGTCCTCGATGCGGTCGTGCTCCTCGGTCTCGCTGCGGCGCGAAGACGCGGACGACGCGACGCCGTCGGCGATCGCTCCGGCCGCGGCGCCGTTCCCGTTCTCGGGTAAGGCGGTCGGGGCCGACGGGTGCGAGATGGCGTTCTGGCCGGTGATCTGGGTGCCGTCGACGAGGCCGGCGCAGATGTGGTGCGTGAAGTTGGTGTTGATGGCGGGCAGCGTCGACACGGTCGGCGGGATGCCGCAGATGATGGAGAGCAGGTAGATGGCGGACTCGAGCGAGCCGGTGAAGATGCGTGCCCTACGAGGCCCGGGGGGGCGCGGAGAGAAAAGGGGTCAGCTTGTTGACGCGATCCTTCCTCCCCGTTCCAATCTTGACTTAAGAAAAGTAATGGCAAATAGGAGAGCGAGAAGCAAAGCAGGAAATGAAGGGAAAGGAGAATAGGGAACGGGGAGAAACAAGAAAAACGACAACGACCACTTCCAACATTTTCCCCACGTATAACAGACGGGAGCAACAGTGCGCGGAGGCGCGAGCACAAACCGCAGGGAACAAGCGAAACCGCCTACCCGGTCAAGAAGAGGTTGCCGATGCTGGCGCGGGCGAAGTTGAAGACGGAGCTGGGGCGGGCGCGCTTGACGATCTCGAGGTTGACGTGGTTGAAGACGGAGCGGACGAGCTCGCGCTTCTCGCTCGCGACGGCGGCCCAGAGCGGGTCGCGGCCCTCGACCACGTCGAGCCACTGCAGCCGCGCCCGCGCCGGGTCCGCCGACAGCCGGTGGTTGAACAAGGCCCGAATCGCCGCCCGCTCGCCGTCCGACTCGGCCGCCGGGATCAGGCGCACCAGGCGACCTAGGGCGCGCGCGCAGGCCCAGGCGCGTTAGCGCGCGTAGAGGGGCCAAAGGAGACGAAGACGGAGGACACTCACTGCGGATGTCGCCGATGCCTGGGACCCGTCCGCCGCGTTAGCTTCTCCTCTCCGAACTCGGGCAGCCAGCCCCCGGCTCCCCGGGCTCGGCTCCGCATCCGATGCACACTTACCGGGCCCGCCCAGAACGCGTATGAGCTCGGAGGAGCTGCCGCCGTTGTCGCTGATCGGGATGACGTAGGTGAGCTGGCAGCCGCGGCTCTCGCGGATGCGCTCGAAGACGTCGACGAGGCTGTTCGTCGCCGTGCCCCCGCCGAAGACGACGATGCCCCGCGGCCGAGGCGCGTCCATCGATATCGCGGGTATAGGTAGATAGGCAGGGATTGTATATACCACGCGTGGGTGTGTGTAGCCGTGCAATCGGGAGCAAGGGAGTAAGTATCGGGTCTCCTATCCGGGACCGGGAGCGAGGCTGTCGAGTTTGTGTATGAGAATAGCACAGAGGGTGGAAGTAGGAGGTAAGTAGGTGGGTACCTAAGTGCATATAAACAGGCGGTAATATGGCCTTTATCTTGAATTATACGACAATCAATACCGTTGAGTCTGCTAGTAAAGTGAATCGTACCTATGTGATGCGGATAGGGGGATCTCTCCCCTAGGACGTCAGAAATACGGACATACGTGTATGTCGGAGTATCCTGATCGGGCTAAAACAGGCGCATAGGTAGGTATATATACCTATCTATTCTCCTCACCTTCAACTCGAATCTGGCTGGAATGCTGTCGGATGGCTGCTCGAGGTCTTGGTCTTCGAGAATTCGAGATATATGCCTATATATGTGTGTATATATATATACTGCGTTGCCGCCTAGCAAGTGGATGAGAGAGAATGGATGGATTCTAATACCTAGATAGCGGATGACAGCGGGACTGAATCAACGAAGCGGGATTGGAATGACGTATCTATGTACCTACCTCACTAATCAATTGACCCATCATTTTCCCGGCTCCGATGTAGGATGCTTAGGTAATGATACATCGCTCCCTCCCCGCTTCCCCCTTTTCACCCAGCATATAAGCACCCGGTGATCTCCCCCCGACGAGGTCGAGACGTAGTCCACTTTATCATCTATCCAGTTCAATTCTCCCCGCCTCAAGTACCAAACAGTGTATAGGTATGTGTGTGTGTGTGCATCTCAAGTCTATCATGCAAAGTCTAACTCGTCCTCGTGTATGCAGGACACGACCACGTCCACCAAAGTGCGCAACGCCGACCAAGCCACAATTACCGCCCTGCCTGGTTGTGGCCTGCGGCTTGTTGTTGTCCCTGGTTACCTTCGCCCCATTGGCGAACCCTCTGCCTCCGTTCCTCCAACTTCCTCTCAAACTCCTCCACCTTCTCGAGACGCTTCTTCTCCTCCTCCGCATCCTTCACCGCCTTCTCTGCTTCCTTTCTAACCCTCTCGCGTTCGTTCTGCTCCGGCCGCCGCAACGCGATATCGCGCGGGCGGAAGTCGCTAAACAGTCGCTTGAGCACCACCTCGATGACCCAGCAACCGGCGTAATCGAGAATCATCACCGAGGTCATGGTCGTCTTGAACTCGTCTGTGAATTTCACCAGTTTCATCTGCTCGTTGAGCTCCGGGATGAACTCTGTCGAGCACGAAAAGGCGATGGCGGTGACGGCTATGATGCCCCAGAACATGCCCCGGTTCTCCGTCAGGGATTCTCGGAATGGCCTACCCTGGTAGTTGACGGCAAACGTCGAGATCTGCTGGATCAGCTGTAACAGATACACTGCGCTGTTGAGCAGAGAGGGCGCAAATTCGGCTTCGAGGTCCACCATTTCGGAGCGTCTAAAGTCGAGTTAGCAACCTCCTTCTAAAACTAAACGGCGAGGGTCTGAATATGAACTCACGGCTCTAGTTTGTCGCAGAATCTGGCAATGTAGATCAGCGTCGCGATATGAATCGCGAACTGCCCGAGGATGGAGCCGATGATGTAGACGTTGAAGATGTTGGGCTGCGGTCTCTCCTTAGACAATCCCTCGACCGACCTAGCGCGAGAGATGGACAGGAAGCAGACGCTCATCAGCATTCCGCTGATGGTGATCTGCCCGTCGCCAAATTTGATACCCTCGAGGTACAGGACGCTCAGACTGTAGGCGCTAATGAGGCAGTTGAGGGCCAGGATCTTGTACATCTGGATGGTGGCGACCAAGGTACAGCGACCTTGCCGAATGATGTTAGGGATCGCAATCACGTTCCGCAGCTTGCTCGTGAACGGCGCGGCGACCGAAGCGTCGCCTAGCTTGAGGGTTGGCGGCTCGTCGTCACCGAGCTCTTGTTCCATCATAGCGGTCGTCATCTTATCAGCAAAATCGCTGGCCTTGTTAGCTGCTCCTCGCTGTCGAGCTGTCTTGTGATCGTGGTTGATCAACTGCTGCGCCGCCGGACTAGTTACTGTCTCGATGTTGGTGCCGTTGATTTTAGCCAGCTCCTCGACCGTGATGCCTCGCTTCTGCGCCTCTCGCTCCATGGCCTTCTGGTAATGCGGATTCGAGGGGCCCGGAGGGTAGAGGTGAGCGATCATGATAGGGACCGGCGGGGTGGGTTGGTTGAATCTCTTCATCAGGTCAATTTGCTTCTGGTAGAGTTCCTTCAGCTTCGTGTTGCGAGAATGCTCTGCGATCTTGGTCAAATCCTCCTGTGTGCCGTTGAGGAGAGCGATGCCAATATGAGCCTGCTTCAGAGCCCCGACATCATTCGTGCCGTCCCCAGCCATCAACGTAAAATAGCCCATATCCTTTAGACCTAGAAGGATTTCTTCCTTTTGCTTCGGCGAGACGCGGGCGTACACCCAAGTATAGCGGAGAAGCGATCGCCATGCGGACACGTTATCCTTGAATTTGGCGAGCGCGTACCCAGTCACGCAGATATCCTTGGATTTGATAACCTCGGGGTCGATCGGTTTCGATGGGTCGACCTCGATATGAGTCTTGTCATCCGCGCTGCGCCAGACCAACTTCTCTCCTCCGTCATTGTGTTCCGGGGCGTCCAGGATGAGAACATCGCGGTCAACTATCTCCACCTCCCTAGCTACATGCACCGCAGTGAGCGGGTTGTCTCCGGTGATCATGACAACGCGGTGGCTGCTCTCGTTCAACATCTGCACCGCCTGCTTGGCGTCATCCTTTAGAGGGCATTGGAGAACCAGGAAGCCGGCAAAGACAAGATCTGACTCGACTTGCTCCCGTTTAAGATCGTTGATCCTGCCAGACCCGAGCTCGCTATCGTGCGTCAGCTGCTTGTAGGCAAGAGAAAGGACTCGGGAACCACGGCGAGTGAAGTACTTGAACGTCTCTTCGTAGTGCTGGGGAACGGTAACAAGCATTCTCATGATGGTCTCTGGAGCTCCCTTCACGGCAACGAAAGTACCACGTATCTTACGACCCGTCTTCGGATCGACAGCATTCACAGAGGCGACTGAACTCTGACGTTTCAGGGCCGACGAAAATTGGAACCGGCGTTTGACATGGACAACACCGGAGGTGCCGCCTGCAGCCGTCACGGAGGGTTTCGGCGCAAGGGTATCGTTCCGACCTAGAGCCCATCCAAGAGCCGTCAGGGTGGCTTTCTCCATAGGATCACCGACGATATCTCCCTCGTCGAGCTTGACGAGCGCATGCGCGCTGGCCAGCACAAGAGTTGTCTCCATTCCGACTTGCTTGACAGCAGTTAGATGGCTACGAGGCTCCGTTGTCTCGTGAGCATGCGAGCCAGTGTGGTCAAGCCCCAGTCCGGCGATGCCCTCGACAACCAGATCCTCGCCCGTCAGCGTGCCGGTCTTGTCAAAGCAGGCAATGTCAATACGCCCAGCAAATGGGATGCGGAAAGGCTCGGTACAGAAGATTGCGAACTTGGCGAGGGCCGCCAGACTCGTATTGACCGCCAGACTAAGCTCCATGGGAAGCTCGGGCGGCACAACACTGGTAACGATCAAGACACAATCGAGGAGGAGCTTCGACCTCTTGCGGTCCTTCTTGACGCCCTCATCCCAGACATACCAAGAGGCGGCCAACGCGAAAACGAGTAGGAAGAGGATGAAGAACAGGGCCTCGGCATTGTTGGCCGAGACGCGCTCGGTGGAGTAGATCATGGTTCGAACTAAGCTGCCCTGTGATGTCTCGAAGCCAGTTTTCATCACAATGGCCATGGCGCCCTTGTCCGGGGGCGCAGGGACGCCCGATGCGAGCTTCGGCTTCTCCTCGTCGGGATTGCCGTGCGTGATCTGCAACACCTTAGTCCCACCCCAGAGGAAGGAGTTCTTATCGAGGCCTTCCGTATCCACCGAAGCATCGCCGGGTCGTAGTTGAATCGAATCCTTCAGCAGCGGCGTGCTCTCGCCCGAAAGCATGGCTTCGTTGACAATAACCGTGCCCTCAACTAGCAGCATATCACACGCAACGCCACTGTCCTCCTTGGTGCGGCCCACCGAGAGCAGGTCACCCGGGAGGAGCTTGTCGCTCTGGATCTCCGTCCACTTGCCCAGCCGGTACACCCACACATCGTAAGGTTTGATACTCATGCCCCGGAACTCTGTCAAAGTTCGCTGACGCTGCCAAACCACAGTGCTCTCGAAGGCGACCAGCATGAAGAGAGTGAAGAGCGAGTAGTACCAATATTCGTCCAACATCCATAGGCCGACACAGAAGACCTGGAAGACGAAGAAGGGTGCGACGGCATGCTCTCGGAAGAGTTCAGTAAAGGTAGGCACGGGAATATCAAAGGTGTTGGCGCCATAGTACTGCTCAAGCCTCGTAAGTTCAGCTTGCGAAGCGATACCTCGGGATTTCTGGAATCCGCCGATCTTCGGCTTAGGCTCCGCGTCAATCTCGTAGGTCAGAGGACTGAAGGATTGCTTCGTCGGGTCGTAGAGAAAACGGCGCTTCTGGAACAGAAAGGACAGGCTCGTCTCATCGCCGACCTAGAGGGGCGAGGTGCGCTTGTGTTAGCTGGGATGGTAGAGCGGGGATGGAATGGACGGATGGGGCCGGAGGACACATATCCACCAGCAGCCCAGCGGAGCGGGCGCAGCGGGTTTGACGTACCTTTTCGCGATTCAGCTTGCAGATATCAGCCGAGCCAGCATTGGCGATGGGGATGACCTTGATCAGCTCTGCATCCTCTACCTTGTCGGCCTTCCTAGCAGTGAACTTGGCCTTGAGGTTGACGCTCCAGTTGGTGCTGAGCCAAACCAGGCTCTGCAGAGTGATGATGCTGCCGCACCAGACGAAGGTCCATTCTGAGGAGCCGATGTGCTTCTCATACAACTCGGGGGTGTAGAAGTACCGTGCGAACACGGGCCATATTATGGCGAAGGGGGCGACGTAGGCATGAAAGTAGACGGGGAGCGGCGTGAGCAGCTCGGCGCTCTTGATCTGGGGGTTGTCGACAAGAGCCATTACAGAGAACGCCCCATCTGAGATTCCATATGTCAGAAGCTACGGGGGTTTCTAATTGATCGCGCGCTATTTTCCCCCCTTCTGTCTGCGCACTCGGGATTGTCGGGATGGTCAAGGAGAGGCAGAGAGGCCGACGAAGCGTGACGTTTGGTAGAGTGGTGATGCAGAGAATGGGGGGGTGCAGAGTAGGTACCGGACGGAAAGGTTGCAATTTAAAGCGATAGGCTGCCGCGCTTCGAAAATTGTCGTGACGTGTGGCAAGAATTTTGAGACTGCGCAGCGTCTTGCCAGCTGGCCTCGCCAGCCCGGTATACACGTACGTATTTCAGTACTTGTGTTATGATGTACTCAGTACGAATATGACCGTCCGACACACGGCCTTGTCCCAGCATGGCCGACTGACAGGTTAGGTACCTGTACTTGAGAACCTTCAACATGCCCTAAGGTAGGTATATCCCGAATACCTGGCAACTGCATAGCCCTTCTTTTACAGGCACGCGGTATTTAGATATTCGCCCTGCCCACCCACCTCAGGCACCTAAGGGAGCTCACCTAAGTAGGTGCGTAGGTATGTGTGTAATGGAGAGGGTTGCGGGAAACGGGAGCAAAAGCGAATACTACCCCCGGGTACGCAGTGCTGCGCAGTAGGTAGACCTAGAACTGTTTCTACTACGTAGGAGGCACCAAGCTAGGTATCGCATTAATTAGTATCCTAGACCCGCTTTATACATCTGCCGTTTATATGCATTTACAAGACCCTCAACGTCTCGAGTCTCACATCCACGCGATCCGAGCCCCCCGTCAGGCTTACATAGTTCTTTCCCGCCGCCAACACGACAGAGGCCGTGGCGCTGAGGTACTTGCCTTGGCCCGGGAACAGGGTCAGATTCCCTTGGCGCACCTGGTTAACCTCGACGCCCAGTTCCACCGTCACGTTGCCTATGTTCGAGTAGCTGAGCGCCAACTGAGCGGGCCCGCCTTGAGAGGCGATGCCGGAGAAGGCGACGACGCTGTCCTCCCTCACGCCGCCAACCACGGCTCCGTTCGCCGCAGCCGTCGAGAACTTGTCAAATACGACGCTGGTCTCCCGCCCGGTGAGATGAGCATCGACTGCGTGGAAAGTCGAGCCGGAGTTGGGCGGTATCCAAACCTCCAACTCGCAGATACCGACGTACAGGTTGGGCGCCTTTCGGAATAGGTTGACAGCCAGGAACTGCGTCTCTACCGGATGAAAATGTATATGGTTCCGGTCGTTAGGCAGCAAGGTAGAGCTATCGTTAACCGTAGCTAGCAATCCGCTGGACCCGTATACTTCTATGCGGGCAGGAATATCCACGCCTCCGCCTCGGGCCACGTCCGAGAATAGTGCGAGAGTCACCGAAGAGATCCTCCTCGGCCGCGCAAAGGTGACGGTGAGGGTATCGTTGAGATTAGGAGATCTGTAATTAGTCCATCTGTTATCGGGGATCGAATCGTAGTAAAGGACTCCGTCGATAGCTTTAAATTCGTAGTCGCCGGCATTGGTGTACGTAGCCTTGACCGCCGGATACTGGCCAGGCCCCGTGGGATTGGCTACGTCGCGTCCATCATCAGCCGTCGCACTATTAATAAATACAGCATCGGATTGGGACGAAAGTAAGGTCAGGGTCCAATGGGTGTAGAGGGGACAGCCGAGGACGATAATTTTGGCATCCCGCACGACTTAACGAGCGTGTAATTGTTCAAAAGGAAAGCCCAGTTACTCACCTGCAATATTTTCCAATGGAGCAGCTGGTAGTATAGGAGGAGCAAGGGGTACCCAGGCCGTCTTCCTCGGCCCGTTGAACACCCATCTCCCGTCGACAAAGACAGTCAGGCCTTTCCCTACTTTATATCTTGATCCCTGTTGGTCGTACAACACGGTGACCAGGTGGCCATGGTACGGCACATTTTCAATGGCAAAATACGTCCAATTCTCGGGGACGATGGGAGAAATCATCAGCGAGTTTCCTGGCTGCGGCAGGATCCCGAACAGGCCGGTGATGACGTCGTCGTTATTCGTCGAGTGAGCGTAATGCTCGGAGTGATTCCAGCCATCGGCGGTCCAGCCATTCAAGAAAGGATAGTGGGACTCGGCGACGTAGGGACGGCCGTCCTTTTGCTGGGTTCGCGCGTAGATCTGGAGATATTGGAAATACTGCTCTGCTGTGAGATTGGTAGTCCCCGAGCGGTATATCGCCGCCAGTGACTTCAGAGTGTGAGATGTCGAATACGGCCAAGACATGCCATTCCAATAACAGCCTGCGGGAGAAGTCAGCAAACGTAAGGAAGAACCTCGCGTAAGGGTTAGGGCGTCGGTAGCGGGGACATCCTTACAGTAGGCATCAGGCCTGACAGACATGAACCACGGGTCTCGTACTTCGAGCGTCGTCGGGCCGTATGGTGCCATGAACCCGTCGGGGTCGAACAAAGAGTCGACAGCAGGCTGAGCATGGAACGTATCGAGCCCGATACCGAAGCGATAAGGGAATACGCCGACCTGCTCCCGTCCGGTGAGCCGAGTCAAATTTGGGTTGTTAGGCTTGATGATATCCATGAAAAACTGTTGCTCGGGAGCCCACATCCGCTGTAACATGGCGGCTTCAAGTTGGTTGGCTAGCTTCAAAAATTCCGCCTCGCGAGCAAAATGGCGGACGAGACGAGCAGCTCTCGCAATAGCTCTGGCATTGGCAATCATGTAAGCATTGTGGCTCGGCCTGAACGTATCAGGGCCATCCTTCCTCAAGTCCCAGTTGGTATTATTCGGATCCGCGATAAACCCGGGCAGAGATAATTCCTGGGCGTCCCACACCGGCTGGTAATAGTACAGGCCGGCGGCTTTGTCGAATACGTGATCCCATTCATGCCATACACGAACCATGTCATCGAGCTGGGCAGCGAAGAAGCCCTCGTCCCCGGTCACCATGGCCCGACGGCTCGCCGCATCGAGAATCCACTGGGTGTACTGGAGCGAGTCAGCTGGCCCACGAGTGTAGAGATGGATGTAGTCATCGCCATACGACGTGTCTCGCAGCCACCTCGATTCGTCGATGTGATGACCGGCAGCGGCGTCTATCGTGCCAAAGGCCTTGGCGTACCAGACAGGTTGGACGAACTCGGTGCACATGTAGCCTATCCCGGCCTTGATGTAGCGCAGATTCCTCTGGATGGACGTCCACCGGTAGTAGTAGACATCTTGGACCAGCGAGTCGGGGATATCGATGAACGGGATGTTTTCTTTCAGGAACGTTTTGCCCGCAAACGCGCTGATGGGGCCCTCGTGATCGAGGAATGAAGTACCTTTGGCGGCTCCATCCTCCGGCAAGGAGACTACTCGCTGTCCGAAGGGGGCGGCATGAAGTAGCGTCCAGAAAATAACCCCGACCGCCGATATGACGGCAGCGGCCTTGAGAAGGAGGTAGTCGGCGCGGGACGGCTGACCAACTCGTCTCTTCGACCCTTTAGCAGGAGCGAGGGGCAGAGGAAGGGAAAGGGACTCGGCTTCGGCTTTGGACTTGACGTCGTTGCGGCCGGCCGAGGCGAACGTGTTGTACGAAGGTTGCGCCATTTCAACAAGACTGAGACATGGAAGTGCGTCTCGACTGGGCACAGCCCGCCGTGGGTGACACCTGCAAGGTTGCCTCCCGAACCGGCAGCCTGCGGCTAAGAGAAAGGTTCGAAGATGTGGCGAGAAGCCACAGACAGGCGACGGCAGCGCTGCCAGTAGGGATGGAGGGAGGACTGATGCAGCTCGCAATTGGAAGCAGAAGCGGCGGCAGCACCGACGTCACCGACACGACGTCACGGAATTCAGGGGCACTGGATGTAACCCACTGCCTGGATAGGGAAACACCCGTGAGCGTTAGTAAGGGAGTTGCTGTGCGTGTGATTGGGCCGCGTCGTCCGGGGGGCACGTGCTCACCAGAGGTCGGAGGCGTGCGGGGATAAAGCTCCAGCCACCCCAACAGAGCCAATCACAGCGATCCCAGATTATTCGGTAGGTATCGCGTCGGCGGATGGCTGCGATTCGCAAATTGCCTATTGCGCGAACGATCTGCATCCATCTACGACAAGGTCTCGAACGGGAGTTGTCAATGCCATCTTTATATGCCCGTGGCCATGAACGCGTCGTCCTTGAGGCTGGACATCCCCCAAGCTCCCTCGGCATTAAAGAAAGAAAGGGTTGCGACATTTCCACACACGCGCGGACTAAGAGCCAGCATGCCAGGGGCAAGCCGGCCATGTGGCCGGGGATAGGGTGGTCATACGCATTACCCCATGGGTCATTACCCGCCAACCCGTCTACCTAGCTGTCGACTCGGCCAGCTTGTGATGGTGTCGGCCGATTCTGATGCCCTCGCAATGTTACCTAGGGCTTCACGTTTATGTAACAGCGAGCACACGACACCGGCAGCTGTCCCCTCTTCCCCCATACATGGAGTGGAGGCCTGTTACATGTTTGGAAGGTCGAGCGGACCGAGGAAGGGCGGGGACTCGTTGGCTGCCATGGATACTCCGGTGAATGGGTTGGATGGATGGATGGGAGGCCGACCTACTATGTATGGCCTTAGGTAAGCCGGCCCTTGACATACCTAGGTGGTATGTGCGTGCAGTGGGCGGGCCGTCTCTGCGCCGCCTTCGGCTGACAACAGGTGCAACGATCTCGGTTTATTGAGGAATTGCCCACCTAGGTAGGTATGACATCCAGTCTAGGCCCGCCTACGTGCCATACACAACACAACATAAGCACCACCACCAGAGAGAGCTTCGCGCATCTGATAGATAAAATTTTACACGCCTGTCGCTCGTAGCTACGTCGAGCGGCCATGTCGTTGTCCCAGCTCCATACGCTATTACCTTTACCTGACGCCGAGTTGAAGCAAGTCTGGGACTATGCAGCCACGTTGTCCAAGTCAGAGGCTGCCGAGCACTTTCGCAACCTGCTCGGCGACTCGCCTCAGGCCATCGACTTCATAGCCTCGTTTAATTCTAGGAGGAAAGACCCAAAGGCTCAGCCAGAAGCGTCGGGAACGCCCTGGTCGAACACCGGACCAGCACCCAAACCGATGAAAGGATCGAAGAAGGCGAGACCCCAACTCCATACGCCGGCCCCACGCCAAGTCACCAACTCTGGCCCTGCACCCGGTGCAGCATACAACAAAGATGTCGCGGCCGATTACATCGCTCGCCGTCCCAGCCCTGTCGCGACGTCGAGCGCATCTGGGACTGCTGGAGGTAGATCAACGCCCCAGAAATCGGCGACGCCTCCGCCGGCGAAACTCCCTCCTTCCGCTGCAGGCCATCTGATATCAGATATCCGCGCGCAGAAGCCAAAGTCCACACCAACCTCGCGCTCTTCGACTCCGACTCCCAAAGCTAAGGCCTACGTCGCCGGTGGCACTGCCATGCGCGGGGCGTCTACGGCGCTGTCAGACCTAGACGACGCCATTCGCGTCCTCGAGACGACCATGTACAGTGCTCAAGCGACGGACGACGCCGCCAGGCGATGCAACTGCGTTGGTGCGAGACACCCTCTCCTCGCTGCCGCGCCCAATTGCCTACACTGCGGCAAGGTGATATGCGTGAAGGAGGGACTCGGCCCCTGTACTTTCTGCGGAACTCCCCTTCTGAGCTCGTCAGAAAGGGAGCTAATGATTCGCGAGCTTCGCGCCGAGCGGGGATTAGAGAAGTCGGCAGCCGACCGCGAGGCTAACAAGCGGGCGGAGGTATCGAAGACGCCTGCCCCTTTCTCGAAGCCCCGAGAAGTCACGGGTAGCCCCAGCGAGGCGCAGGCCAAGGCTCTGCAGCACAGAGACCGTCTCTTGGGCTTCCAGGCTCAGAATGCGCAGCGAACAACGGTTAGGGACGAAGCGACCGACTTCGACGCCAGCGGCGCGATGACCGGGTTGGGGGGCAATATGTGGGCCACCCCTCAAGAGAGGGCTCGCGAATTAAAACGCCAGCAGAAGATCTTGAGGGAGATGGAATGGAACGCTCGGCCGGACTACGAGAAGCGGCGACAAGTGGTCAGCATCGATCTTGTTGGCGGCAAGGTCGTCAGGAAGATGGCGGCTGTCGAGCGGCCGAAAAGCCCCGACGACAGCGACCAGCAGGCCAGCGCGGCCCTGGCAGAGACCAGGGTCGGTCACGGGGACGGCGGGGGCGGGGCATTCAGCAAGAACCCCTTGCTTGGTGCGCTGATCAAGCCGGTGTTTGACGCGAAGGGCAAAGGGGCGCAATTGGATGGCCGCAAGGCCGGAACGACGCGTTGGAGGCGAGCGCAGGACGATCTTGACGACAACGAAGCCGTCATCCTCGACGGCGGCGCCTACGGTGGGAGGCTAAGCCAGGGGACTGCCGACGCCGCGGCCGACGAGCCTGTCTGCGGATGAGGGGACTTGAACGGATGCGAAGCACTTCACACGCTCGGACTCCCCAGACAGAAGAAAGAAGGCTCTATCCAACCTGCGTAGTACTACGGATCGCGAACCTCCCTCTCGACATACCCCACGCACGTGTCATCTCTGGATAGACGTCGAATGCAAGACGCTACGCGATCGGGCATATACTCGTCGCAAACGCACACACAGTTGTTGATATCGTGATACAAAACAGAATAGATGGCAGCGGGGCATTTCGTTTTGGGGTTGGCGGCAATTAGCACACACAACGAGATCTAGATAGAATAGCATAAAGGCGGGGGGGAGTTCTGCTTGGGCTACCCTCAAGATATTGCCTACTATATCATAGCATCCCCAATGCTAGCGCTGCTCGCAGTCTCTCGGAGCTGGAAGAGACGCGCATATCAAGCATCCGTGATTCCCGAATTTGCCCCCTCTCCCATACCCTTTCCGCATCTGACGAGCCAAGAGGACGATGCGAGAGAAACATGGTGGTAGGCGCCGCGGGGAACTGGTTGCGGGGCGGACGGCATGTGCGTATATACATGCATGTAGGCATGTACATAATGCAGGCGAATCCTTACAGTGCGGACACGACGGCGAAGAAATGGCGTTGAGAAGCAAACGACGGGCAGAGGATAGGAGGGTTGTCGATCCACACCGCAAAGGTTGGGGGATGGAGTCGATCGACGGATGAGATGGAGAGACGGTCGCCAATCCGGCAGAAGAGGGCATCCCAACGTTGAGCCGGTTCCGTGCCAGCGCTTCATATACCTACCGTACATGGGCGGATAGGCGTAGACACGGCACGACGGGGCGACGCCGAACCGAGAACCCGGAGGGATTGGATCGCGTGAATAAAAACTAGGAGGAGAGAGAGGAGAGAGAGGAGAAGAAGCCCTGTACGCAAAATGGGCGGCACGACAACGGGCACGGCGGGATGCCTTGGCCTGGTAGCGACGCCAGGCAGGCAGATGGAAAGGAGGCATGGAACGTACCAAGGCCGGCGAAGGATGTCGATAAGCCTCCAGTCGGAGTAGCGGGAGACGGAAGCAGGTGGCTAAGACGGCCTAGGTAACAGTACCCCGCCCTATTACGGCATAAGTCCACACAAATCGGCGAGGGCGATTTCACGTGAAGATGGAAAGCTGGCACGTTGCGCCTCGCGTAGACACCAAATGTATGTACCTAATGTAGGTATGTAGGTATATGCATGCACTACCTTATGTACCTAGGCATGACCCAACATCCCCTGCCCCTACAGTGGGTACCCGCCTACCCATTAGGTGCGTGCTAAGTGGACCTACCCTGCGCGGCCGCCGAGGAGGTACCTAACGAGATTGTCGGTAGTATCATCCCACTATTGAAGGGTTTAATTGTAGGTAGGTAGGGACCTAAAGTAAGTTAGGGGACTCAAGGCGGGAGGTGGGTAGTTAGGTACATGCCGTGGTGAGAGAATAAGTACACAAGACAGTGTGAAATTGTGTATATTACCTGTTGCGCTTGTTCGAGATAACTAACCATACTGTCGTCGCATTGCGTGCTATTGGCTATTAGAGCGCACCTCGTGGGTACATCCCGTAGGCGAGGACAGCACGCCTAAAGACAGACCTACCTACCTAGGTACAGACAGTCTACGCCAGGGCAGCCCTTCGAAACAGCCAGACAACCGGCCGGCCGGTGGTGTACGTACAAATGACCTGCGCAAGGGCAAGTTTCCCGAGACCAGAGGCCATCAGCGGGACATCCGGACCCCATTCGACCTTATAGGATCCCGCTCCCGAGATTACGGGAACACTCAGGTCCCTCCCTGGCGACCGGTGCGCACGTAGACATAGGTATGAGTAATTATGGGATTTCAAGACGTCGACGGGCAACGCGTGGTATTCATCACACGGAGATGGCCTGCGCTGGGCAGGTGGCGAAATGACACCCTAATACGAGATCGATCCGATACCGTGGGTACTTAATATAATATATGACTCTCTCTACTACTAAGCTGCCTCCTCCTCCCTCTGCCTCGCAAGCTTAGCAGGCCAGGTACCTACACTTAGGTAGGTAGGTAGGTAGGTAGGTAGGTACTTGGCCTACTTACAACTGGAGGGGGATATCTGAGGCCCTGAGGTATTAGTAGTTCCCCCCGTGAGTTGTCACCTGCAATCCGCATCACCCCTCGATCGAATCACCGCGAATCCCTGTGCCGACCGAGCCCACCTACCGCCTACCCAGCCAACCACCCTACCTGGTCGTTGACCGCTAGATGAGCCGGACTTGTTCGTTTGCTGCACACCCCTCATCTGCGGTCCAGAGCACCCCCCCCCCGGGCGCACATCCCTGGGTTCCATTCCGAGAGGGCAAGACGGAGAGAGAAGAGAGAGTGTGTGCATACGTATATGATATATAGAGAGATATAGAGAGATACAGAGAGAGAGAAAGTTAGAGAGGACCTGGGAGACGAGTGAAGAGAGAAAAGGGGGCAGGTATACATAGATAGGTATGCACACATACGCAGATCACAAACGGTGGGATATATATGCCTGTCTTCAGTACGTAAGGAATCTCCTATAGACGGATAAGAAAAGGTGAGAAGTTGACAGTGCGGGTTTGTGATCCCTACCTCCTATCGGTAGCTACCTACCTCTAACCTACCTGCCTACCTACATCAGATGTACAGGCATCAGGGCGAACGGGGTACTGGGCAACGCAACACCCACACAGTAAGCAGGGTAGCCCATGTACATCAGATGTACATCGGCGCACACCAACTGACAGATTGGAGGTGGGGGAGAGAGCAAGTCGGCGAGGGGGAGTGAGAGAGAGAGAAAAAAAAAAGTCTCCTAGGTGGAATGAAATTGGTGGTTGTTTTTTTTTTCCTTTCTCTTTTCTTCTCCTTCTCCCCCCTCTCTCTCGCCTGCCATTGGGAGCCAGAGTAGTTCAAGTTCGAACCTCTTCCACCGTCTCCTCCTCCTGCTCCCCTCCTCTCTGCCACTCATCCTCTCTCCCTCCCCTCTCCGGCCTATCGCAGCTTTCCCCCCTCTCTTCCACTTGTTCATGTCATGCATGCGTCGCCTCTCTGTGGTTGATTGAATGAGTGAGTGAGTGAACGGATACCTCTTTCTCAATTCTGCGGTTTGATTGATTGAGATCGGCATCTATTGAGATACCCAACAAAGCCGGCCCCAGTTCTACCATTCGTCTGCTCACTCTGCTCTCTCTCTCTCTCTCCCTCTGGTGCAGCAGCGGGGAAGTCGAAGCGCGAGCTACCATCGTACGAGAGAACCTCTGGTTCGCATCTGCACCTGTACCCATACCCGCACCCATCCACCGCCGCACCCACATCCACCCCAATCGGCAAATAAATTCCTCTTCGTGCGAGAACAGTACCAGGCCTACTTGCCTCGTGACTTATCCCTAGGGGCATAGTCGCGAAGCACAAGAAGCATCAGGGTACCAAAGAACAGAAAGGGAATAGACGAGGGGAAAAAAAAATACCAACATGGGTAACATTCTCTCCACCTTTTCCAGCGCCGCTGCGGCCGCTCAGGAGGAGAGGGCAGCCATCCAGAAGAAGCTTGACGAGAGGGATGAGAACATCGCTACCCTCAAGAAGGATATAACCACCAAGGAGGAAGAGCTTGAGGAGGCCAAGAAAGAACTCACCAAGACCACGGAGGAAGCCGAGACCCTGCGAAAGAAGGTTGACGAGCTCGACGCACGATGCGCGAAGCTGCAGGAGGAAAGTAAAGACCAGACCAGCAAGCTCCACACCGAGCTGAAGCAGGTCAGCGATGAGCAGCGTCGTGCCCTCGAGGAGACCGCCTCCATTCATACCCAGGAGCTCGAGACCACCCGCAACGAGCTTACCGAACTCGAGGCAAAGCTGAGTGCCTTGCAGAAGTCCAAGAGCTCCCTGGACGAGGAGCTGTCCACTGTCAAGCAACAGCTCACCGAGGCTGTCAACCAACGAACAGCTCTCGAGGCCTCGCTCCAGGCTGAGTTGGCTTCCGTAAAGGAGGGCCTCGCTGCTTCGACTAGCAAGTACGATGCTTTGCAGAGCGACCACAGCGCGCTGGAAGCCGAGCTAGCCTCCGCGAAAGCCCGTCACAGCGAACAAGAGGACGCCCTCGCCAAGTCCCGGGACCGGTACCTGGCCCTCGAGCAGGCCCGTGATGAGCTCAAGAAGGCCTCCGACGAGTCTCTCGCTTCTACGAAGCAGAGCCTCGCCGAAGCCCAACAGAAGCACGACGAACTGCAGCAAGCCTACAACCGACTCACGGCAGAATCCGGCGAGCAGGCGTCCGCTGCAGAGAAGGGTACGGCCGAGTGGCAGAAGAAGCACGAGACTCTGCAGGGAGACTACAACAGCCTCGCTGAAGAGGTGGCGGCGGTGAAGAAGGACGTTGCCGAAGGCGAGGAGAAGAAGAAGGCCCTCGAAGCCGACCTAGAACGCTCCCGCGCCGAGATAGACAGCCTGCAAAAGAATATCGCCGCCTCGGAGGAGGCGCAGGCGAAGCTTCAGGCCGGCCACGCCGCCGAGCTCGAGGCCGCCAAACAAGAAGTCGCCCAAGTTCAGGCCAGCCTCAAGGCTGCCCAGGATGCGCTCGAGTCTCTACAAAAGCAGCACGACGCCCAGACTGCCGAACTCGAGAAAGCCAAGCGAGAAGGCTCCGAGCTGCAGGACCAGTTGAACTCTGCTCAGCACGAACGTGAGCAATTGCAGAAGCAGCATACCGAGCAAGCAGCAGAGCTGCAGGCTAAGCTGGCCTCGGCTCAGAACGAGCGCGAGCAACTGGAGAAGCAACACAGCGAGCAAGCGTCGGAGCTGCAAGCTAAGCTGACGTCGGCTCAGAGCGAGCAGGAGCAATTGAAAAAGCAGCACAGCGAGCAGGCAGCCGAGCTTGAAAAGGTGAAGCAAGAGGCAGCCGAGCTTCTAGCCAAGTTGGAGGCCGCCCAGGGGGAGCAGGAGCAGTTGCGAAAGCAGAAGGACGAGCAGACGACGGAAATATCCAGTCTTCAAAGCCAAGTCGAGGAGGCAAAGGCCAAGTTGGGCAAGGCGGAGGGCGACCTCAAGGATGCTCAGGCGGTAAGATGGTCATTGATAAAGGCGCTCCGGGTCCCCACGGACCTGGCTGGATAGAGTATAAGCTAATTGTCAACCGTTGCCAGGACAAATCCACGCTGGACAAGCAACTCGCCGAGCTCCAGTCCGGACGGGAGCAGGACCAGAAGGCCCAGGCCGACCTGAACACGAAGCTAGCGGAAGCCCAGGACGCCATCGCCCGGCTCGAGGCCGAGAAGAAGACAGCCACGGAGAAGGCCGAGGCGCTCGAGAAGGCAGCCAAGCAGGTAAAGGAGACCGATGCCCCCGCCCACGTTAACGGCGTCGCGGGGACCAACGGAACGGCCGAGCCTGTCGCGGCCTAGACTAGATACCCATCGCATAAGCAGGCACGTGATGGATTGTCTCGCCATCTCGAGTGACGGAAATCCGGTGTCGTCTTCTTTATTTTTTCTTCTTCTTCCTCTTGTTTCTTGTTACGGCAAGGCGAAACCCGGACAGATGCGACACGCTCTCCCCCCTCCTCTCCTCCTCCGTGCTCGGCTAGAACGATTACGATGACGACAAAGACGACGAGCACCTGCCCCACCAGTTATGACCGAAGGAAAGGAAGCCTTAATATTAATGTCACAGCCGGTCCGCCGGTCACACCCCAGTCACCCAGATGGTTGGTCGTTCGGTCAGTTAATCGGTCGGTCGGTCGGTCGGTCGGTCGGAATGGTTTTGTAACGCTTTTATGTACGCATCTATTTGCCGGTCGGTTTCTATAGTGGAAAGCAAGACGAGGGCGGGCAGACAGAGCAGAGCAGGCGAGGCGAGGCGAGGCGAGGCGAGGCAAGAAGTTGGGACCACGGGAGCCTCAATACCGGATTGGTGAGTGAGGTGGAGAGGTGGATAGAACGAATCGATTGATGAAGCAATCTTGACGGACGATCGGGTGCGGGATGGCGGCTCGTAGGAAGGAAAGGATTTCTTGCTCGTTACCCTACTCGCCGGCTATGTATGTATGGTATGTACATAGTGACGTTACCGTAGGTGTATGTACATACGTACGTACGGCCTGGGCCTCTTTTCCTCTTTATTTCTTTCTCTGGTCCCTCTCTTCCTCGGCCCCCCCCCATAAGGAGTGTTCATTCCCAGGTTCGACTCGTTTCTGAAGTGTCTGGCCGCCTTCCCTGCTAGCTGCGTGCGCGGATAGTAGGTACACAGGAATATACCTAGAAAATGCGCTCGCCTACCCGGAGTGCAGTCAGCGTCTGGCCGCGCCCGGTGTATTCCTTCGCGCAACTACTCGATACACCTATTAGTCGGCGAGTAGAGTAGGGAACGTCGCTTGCGAGTGTGGCCGAAGTTGACGTTGGGCGTCGAGCTCTAAAACAGTACCCTACCTAGGTAGGTACCTTAGGTAGGTATATCTTTATTATGTAAGGAAGGCCAGGTCATCACTACATCGTGCAAGACTGTGGAAGAAATACAACTTCATTCCTCCTCTGCCGTGTCGTCGAGCCCTCGGAGTCAACCCGACAAATCGAGCCGGACCGTGTTCGCTAAATTGATCCCCCCCACCTTTGACATCTATACGACAGGTGCATTTGTACTTCTATATACGGAACGACTGCGGTCGAGCATGACGAATGAGGCCGGGGCTAAAGCTGGCGTGGTCCTTGTCCGCTGGAGATGGAAACGCAGGGGTCTCCTCCGCGCGCGCAGCCCTACGACTACCTACATACACGACGGATTCAAGGGTCGCCGGCCCTTTTAAGTAGGCACCTACGGCCACTCGACTCCTCCGTAACCATCAAATCCCGGTGTCTCGTTGCTGCGACCGCTCAGACTTTCTTCTCTCACGCCCTTCCTCTAGGATATACCTACCATCACTACCCTCCCTCGGGCTGCTCTACATACTCGCGCGCTACCTGGCCTTTTGTAGAGTTTTCCAGTTAGCCTTGAGCGAGACGCGTCTGATTCCGACGTCATGGCCAAACGATCCAACACGGGCTGCATTACCTGTAGGTCAGTCTGCACGCTCGTCGCCGCGCCGGTCCCTAGTCTGATGATGACCACAGAATTCGACGCGTGAAATGTGACGAGGCCAAGCCAGAGTGCCGGCGGTGCCAGGCCTTCAAGAGAGTGTGCGATGGCTACCTCTCCGAGGCGGTCGCCATACCGCGACGACGCCTCGCCCACGCCGTACGCAACCTCTCCGTCGTAGGCCCCGTCTCTCGCGCGCTCTCGCCCCTCGTAGTTGCTCACGCCTCGTCTTCGCGGGCTTCCCTGCCGTCGTCCCCCTCGGGTTGGAACCGGGACCTCATCTTCTTCGACCTCTTCCGCCACTCCACCGCCCCGAGCACCGGCACCTTTTCCCTCTCGAGCTTCTGGTATCGGCAACTTCTCCAACTCGCCCACAGCGAGCCCGCGATATGGCACGCGGCCGTGTCCATCGGCGCGCTGCATCAGAACCTCGATCTCGAATTTTCGGGGAGGACGGATGGGGTCCTCGTGCGGACAGCGATGCTGCACTACGGCAAGGCGATGGAGTTAGCTAAGGATCTCAACTCGCCCTCCAAGGTCCTCGCCCTCAGCATCGCCCTCATCAGCTCGGCGAATCTCCTGTATCTCTTCTCCGACATCTCAAACCACCTCATCGCCGGCCTGAGAATACTGCGGGAGGCCAGCCTCGAGAATCTCGAAACTCCCCACCTCGCTGAGGTTTTGACCCGGATGGACATCAACGCTATGACCTTCAGTGACTCCCAGTCTCCTTACCCTTACGCCGACGCACTTTCCCTAAGGGGAGTTGGCGACGGTATGCTCCGCGAGAACGAAGACATCCTCTCCTACGGACAGGCGACGTCGGCACTGTTTGTCCTGCTGAGGAGGCTAATACTTCTCGACGAGAGCCTCGCCTACGGGCTGTACTTACCAAGCGAGTTCCATGCGCAGTACGCCATCGTCTGCCGCGACTTAGAGAACTGGGAGCTGAAAATGGCTTCGTTTGAAGACAGCCGGAAAAGGCATGCTTCGCTCGATCCCGGCGACCTATCCCACGCCAACCCCCCCCCCCAAGCCTACATCACGACGATACCTCCATCGCCCGCCTCAACATCCGCTTCTGGCACGTCTTTCTTCGCCTCGCCATCAGAAGCTCCTTCACGGGCAACGAGACCCGTTGGGACGCCCAACTGTCTTACATGGAGCGTATGGCGAACCTGGGTGCCGCCATCGCCCGCCTTCTCCGCGAGCGTGCTGCTCCCAGCCTGAGCCTTGAGCCGGGAGTCATCGCGTCGCTCTTCTTCCTCGCGCATCGGTGCCGGCATCCCGTGCTGCGGCGCAGGGTGCTCGTCACGCTGCAGCGGATCAAGCGGCAGGAAGGGAACTGGCGTAGCGACGTGGCTGCCATGGTCACGGAGCAGATCATTCGGACTGAAGATGTTGCAGCGCGGGCGCTCGCGAGCGCTTCCGCCGGCGGCGGCAGCGACGGGGGGGACAAGGCGCCGATATGGCCGTTAGACGAGGCCTCGCTGGTCGAAGCGGGCTTTTTGTACGAGCCGGACGACGAGGAGGTGGAGAGGCTGTTGGCGATTCCCTGGCAGGCTTGGTCAGGGCCCAACTTCCGGCCGCCTTCGAAGCTGAGCTGGAAGTCGGACGGGACTCCCATACCGCGCATTCCAGAGTTAGCTCGCGTCAAGATTGTGTCCGTATGCACATTATTTGTCGAGAGGCAGGTCCGGCTCGAGCTGCTGATGAGTTCGGCGGGCCCCTCGAGGTTTTCCGGCACGAAGATAAATTCCGTTATTCCTTTCTAGCATAGACACGTAACAACATGTGTAATAATAACCTGGACCACTACCAGGCAAAAAGCGATAGGCGCGGCGTAACAGCCCCTATAACCATCATTTACCTACACATCGCCAACACCTAATCCTCCTCTATATGCACCTGTGGCCGCTGGGTTATATGTGGCTCGTCCTCGGTAATATGGTGCTGTGCACAAGTGTATATGCACTCCCTCTCGAAGATCAACCTAGGTAGGAATTAGGAATTAGAACCTAGGAGCTGCACAACGAAGTCAGTGTCAATCGCGTGCGGAAGAGCCGTGCCATAGAAGGCTCTTTGAGGTTGGCCCCCCGGTATCCTAGAGGTTTGTCAAGCACGGATGCGGCGCATCAGGATTCAGGGGCTCCTCTATGATTGTGAAGGTCTCCACAGCATCTCGATTCCTGACTTGCTGGCTCGCCAAACCCACGATGGAGAAGTGCCACGCTTATACACGCTGCGCCCCCAGCAAGACCAGACTGACTGCGGGAGTGCCTCGACCCCGTCGTCGCCTCTGAGCCCCCTGATTGGCTGGCTCGCCAAATCCGTCGCCGTCTAAGAAGGAGGATTAGCATCGAACAAGGGCCAAAGAGAGTTGCAGTAATAACCTCGAAATGGCAAGTCTCATCCCCAGCCCAAAGCGCCTTTCGACGTTGATATTCCAGAACACGCACCGCCTCCTCCCGGCTGCTCTCCTCCCTCAGCTCTCAGTCACGGCGCTAACGTACGGATTATACGGAAACTCCCCGAATGGAGATAAAACTGGGTGCCGTGGAGCCCAGCCCTATGCATCGATTGCGGGCTATACCGTCCGCCTCCTTCTGACTGACAATGGCCGTCTGCGCGTGGTGGTATTGGCGATAGAGCCAATCAGAGAACGGGCATCAAGCAAGGCTCCAATATCGGAACGCGCTGCTGCTATGGCTTCATTCTGCCGGGTATAGGGGGCGTCGACGGTGAGAAATGGGGATAAAAGGTGTTGTCGGCCGACATAAGAGTCTGGAGTTTTGTCTTCATGATTCTACTCTCATTAGTGTCTCCCTGCATCTTTTCGGCCATCTCAAGTTGTCTTTCGTCGATATTTTATTCATTCTTTACCTAATACTAGTCCTCAGCTGCAGTTCAAGCATATTGTTCCTCGCTGTTGCTCTTGCTGCGGTCCCGCCGAATCCCCCTCACTCTCTCTCGATCGACGAAACACTCGCTAGCTCTACGACGGCCATGAGGGGCCTTTCCGATACCATCTTGCCCTGGGCTGCCTTGGCTGTGCTGGCCGCCGGTCAAGGCTTTGTGCCCGCCCCGAAGAATGTGAAGACACTCTTGTCCGAGAAGTTTCCGGGGGCTGAGATCTCCTACAAAGAGGTTCGTCGGACGCTGGCGGAGATCACCAATTCCACGCGTACAGAAAGATGTCTAACGAGTCCTTGTAACAGACGAGTATCTGCGAGACCACAGAGGGCGTCAGGTCTTTCAGCGGATACGTGACCCTCCCGAAGGCCCTCCTCGATGACACCGAGGGCTGGGACGAAGGCGTTGCTGCCCACCTCTTCTTCTGGTACTTTGGTAAGCCTGATATTAGCAGTTGGCATAACTCGAGCCTGCGCGCGCCGATCTAACGAGCCTACGCGGCAGAATCTCGCAACAATCCCGAAACTGCGCCGACCAGCATCCGCATCGGCGGCGGGCCCGGCGCCTCTTCGTTTGATTTTACCCCCAACTTCCCTTGCCAGATCAACCCCGACTCCAACTCGACGACGCTCAGCGAGTTCTCGTGGAACCAGAACTCCAATCTGCTATACATCGACCAGCCCATCGGCACCGGCTTCTCCTACACCACCCTTCTCAACGGCACCATGGACCTTATAACCTCTGTCTTCACTGCCGTCGAGGATGGAGGCACCATAGATGAATCGCAGCTCAACTTGACCACTGTGAGGGCCACCCTCGACCAAAACTTGCAGGAGCGGCAGTTTGTCAACTTTGCTCTGATTCCGCGGACCACCCTGAGCGCAGCCAGGACCCTGTGGAAGTTTGCCCAGGTTTGGTTCAACGAGTGCGTTGCCGTTCCCAAGCACCCGGCGTCTTTGATTATGGAGCGGGAAGACTGACACTCGGCAACAGGTTCCCCGAGAGAAGAACTACGAACGAACAGATCAACCTCTGGACTGTCTCGGTAAAGACCTCGCCTAGCCCCTGGCTTTTCCTCGTGTTTTTTCCCCCCTCGCTAACATCCACACGCACAGTACGGCGGCTTCTACGGCCCCTTTTTCTTCAGCCACTTCCTCGACCAGAACGAGCTCATCACCGCGGGCCAGTCTCCCCTGGCCAACGCCACGCCCCTGCAGCTCGGGATCCTCGGCCTCGCGGAGCCCTGCATCGACTCCCTCGCCACGGCGATAAGCTACCCCGACTTCGCGCGCAACAACACCTACGGCATCAAGCTGTACCCGGAGGAGACGTTCGTCGAGCAGATGGGCCGCGTCGAGGCCCCCGAGACCGGCTGCCTCGCCTTGATCGAGAAGTGCCACGCGCTGGCTCGCGAGGGCGATCCTCTGGGCGCTGGGCTCAACGACACGGTCAACGCGGCCTGCGCCACCGCTTCCGGCCTGTGCTTCGGGGACATCCAGGCGGTTATTAGTAAATTCAGCACCGTGAGTGTTCCTCCTTCTCCCGCTTCGACTCCCCCCCCCCCCCACTCTGCGGCAGAAAAGACCCCTAGGTAGAGACTAACGGGCTAGCAGCGCGCGCCCTTCGACATCACCTTCGACGAGCTGGTCCGGCCGCACGAGGAGAAGGTCGCGTTCCTCAACCAGCGCTGGGTGCAGGAGGACCTCGGCGTGCCGCTCAACTTCACCGCGTCGTCGAACGTCATCGTCGAGACCTTCTTCGGCGTCACCGGCGACCCCATGATCCGCGACCTCTCGGCCCTCGCCAGCGTCCTGGCCCGCGGCGTCAACGTCGTCATCGCCAGCGGCGACCGCGACTACCGCTGCAACTGTGAGCCCCATCCCCCCTCCCCCCTATCTCTTTCTCTTCTCCCCCCTCGCAGAGATCTCTCCCGATAGCCTCCCCCCCTCCTACTACAGAGCTAATAACCGCTTCTCCCTCGCGCCCAGGGTTCGGCGCCGAGAACGTGACGCTGAGCCTCGACTTCCCCGCCGCCAGCGCGTTCCGCGCGGCGGGCTACGCGGCGCTGCGCACGAACGCGTCGCACACGGGCGGCCTGGTGCGGCAGCAGGGCGGGCTGGCGTTCGCGCGCGTCTTCGCGGCGGGGCACGGCGTGTCGGCGTACCAGGGCGAGACGGTGCTGCGGCTGTACGAGCGCGCGCTGGCGCGGCGCGACGCCGCCACCGGCGAGGTCGCGCTGGCCGACCGCCCGGACTACGCGACGGCGGGCCCCGCCGACGTCCGCGCCGTCGCTAACGAGGCGCCCCCCCCCGCGCTGAGCACCTGCTGGCTCTACGCCGCCCCCATCAGCTGCACCCCCGCCCAGCTCGCCGCGCTGCGCGACGGCTCCGCCGACGTCGAGAACTTCGTCGTCGTCAGCCCGCAGGGCACCCGCGGCCGCTGGCTCGACGGCCCGGGTGTTGGCGCTGAGCCTGCGCCCGCCCCTGTGTCTGACGCGTGCCCTAGCAAGAGGCGCCGTGCGGCCGCGTAGGTGCGCCCCGAGACGCGTGTACGTGCGCTCGGGGTCTGGGACTGGCTTGCCTTTTGCGGAACGAGGTTGAGAGCCGTGGCTCTGCGGTTGGGCAGAGCGGACTGATAGCACAGACGAGGCCTTCCCCGCCTCCTCAGGCTCTTTAGACTTAGTATTTGTAGACAGACGCTTGCCCTTCGTCTCTTGGTTTTCAAAACTTTAGACCGGGGGTTTCTTGAAGATGGTGCGGGGATAGAAAATAGTACAGAATAATAGAACTAGAGTGATATGACTTGGAGCGCAATATTAGTTTCTGCCTGTCGCATTTGATGTATATGACGGTGCGTGGTGGTAGGGATCGCGTGCCGCCGCGGAAGGGTGCTTTGCGAGGCTGGAAGAGATGTGGATATTCAAGTAGGAGAACAATGCATCCCGGCGATGAGCATCCTGTGAAAACGGAGACGTGTGGATTTCTCCGTTTAGTTACGCAAGTTTATGGATCTAGTTTTCTGTCTAACTGTCGGGTTTTAGACGTGATATGAGGTCAACGGAGAGAGGAGGGAAATGGAAGTGGAAAGACTTATCAATGTCGGTACGAAGGAAACATACCTAAGTATCTTAATCAAGCCACATAAACCTATAGTATCATCCTATCCGGAGGATAGTTATAATACGCATAACCCCCTGTCATGCTAATTAATTACGGGGTTAAATACCCCTGTAAATAGCCCTGTAAATAACCCTATAAATAACCCTATAAAGGGGTTATTTGGGGGAAACTCTGTTTTTACTAGCTAAAAAACGCGCTATGGGTTCCTAAAAATGCGTGTACCCAATAAAAACGGCGGGATAAATGGAGTCTTATAATTTAAAATCCTTACGTATATTTACTGATGCGTTTTCTACCCCTATTTCCTAACCTTTTCTGACGCGTTTTCTACCCTTATTTCCTAACCTTTCCTGACCTATTTTGCCGTAACCTTTCCTAACCTTTTCTAATCTTTCCTAACCTATTTTATAGTAACCTTTCCTGATCTTTCCTAACCTGTTTTGCAGTAACCTTTCCTGATCTTTCCTAACCTATTTTGCCGTAACCTTTCCTAACCTTTCCTAATCTTTCCTGACCTATTTTGCAGTGACCTTTCCTGATCTTTCCTGACCTATTTTGCCGTGACCTTTCCTAACCTTTCCTGATCTTTCCTAACCTGTTTTACAGTAACCTTTCCTAACCTTTCCTAACCTATTTTATAGTAACCTTTCCTAACCTTTCCTAACCTTTCCTAACCTTTCCTGACCTGTTTTGCAGTAACCTTTCCTGATCTTTCCTAACCTATTTTACAGTGACCTTTCCTGATCTTTCCTGACCTGTTTTACCGTAACCTTTCCTAACCTTTCCTGATCTTTCCTAACCTATTTTACAGTGACCTTTCCTGATCTTTCCTGACCTGTTTTGCCGTAACCTTTCCTGACCTTTCCTAACCTTTCCTGACCTGTTTTGCAGTAACCTTTCCTGATCTTTCCTAACCTGTTTTGTAGTAACCTTTCCTAACCTTTCCTGATCTTTCCTAACCTTTTCTGACCTATTTTACAGTAACCTTTCCTGATCTTTCCTGACCTATTTTACAGTAACCTTTCCTGATCTTTCCTGACCTATTTTGCAGTAACCTTTCTTAACCTTTCCTAACCTGTTTTACAGTAACCTTTCCTGATCTTTCCTGATCTTTCCTAATCTTTCTTAATCTTTCTTAATATTTCTTAATCTTAGATTTTAATCCCGTTAAAAATTATACATAATTTCTTGTCACGTAGAGAGCCACCTATACATGGCTCCCTACTCCTTCTCTAGTTGCTCGCTTACCTAACATAGCTCCTAGCTTCCTATCGTCTATATATAGGTAGCTCGTATCTCCTTTATTTATCTCCTTCCTTCTTAGATAGTTAGTTAATTTACCTTCTTCTTCCTATCTTTCGTTACTCCTAAGAAGTAACCTTAGTACCTACGTAGCTCTCCCGATCTACGTATTAGTTATAAGCCCGGTAGCCCTTTTAAGGAGCTAAGTTAATTAAGGTCTTATTATATAAGCTTTCGAGTAATCTTATTATTTATCTCTATCTCTTTAATCTCTCGATTAATCGTTTTCCCTTAAACATCGCTCTTATCTTCCTTTCGAGTAATATATTTATAGTAACTATTAATACTAGCGGAAACTTCTTTATTAAGAAGCTCCCTATTAATATTAACCTACGTAATGAAGAGGAGCAGAGCGTACGCGATACTAGAGACCCGGATATATTCACTCGAAAGTATATTCTATCGAAGACTATAATACGTACGATAGTCTAAGATAAATAAAACTAATATCGCTATATTAATCGAAAGGTAAGGAATCTAATGTAGTTATCGTATCTTAGCTATGCCTCTTAGTCGTAGAAATGTAGTAGTCGCTAGCCCGAAGGTATAAGAGATAAGGAAAGAAAAGAGGTAAAACGCAAAAGTTACTTATTCGGCTATAGCGGTACGACAAAGTAACTTAAGCGCCCGTAATTAAAATAAATATATTAATCGGAGAATAATAAATCTAATAATAAAAACGAATCTTTAATTAAGGTAAAAATAATAAAGATAGTAATCTAGCTAAGTAATAAATTAAATAATAAATATGGCATATTCCGTATTTACGGGAGCTATAGTTATTCTATATAGGTATAAGGCCTATCGTAACGTATTACGTAATATATTAAGAGGATATATCTTACCGTATTATTATAGCCTCCTTAATTTAATTATACCGTAAGGAATAATTAAACTAAAAAGGGTAGTACGGTAAGTCCCGATTAATATCTTTCTTTAAAAACTACCGCGAAATTCTATTCCTTCGGTTATTATTTAATTACTACGGCCGCGCTTTTAACTTCTCGTTTAATATTATAAGGAGGCCCTTTTATTATTTTATAATTAACTTAGCCCGGTTTATCCTTACCGATCTAGCCCGATTAGCGTTCTCTTTCTTTATTTCGGTTACTTTCTTCTTAGTTTCGTCCTAGCCCTTTTAATTAAGGGAATGGTAAAGAAGCGGGCGCGTTCTGAGGATTAATTAGGTATCTTTTCTTTACTTATAAGGTATGGAGGTCTTTCCGGACTAGAAAGCTTTAATCCTTACTAGGCCGGAGGAAAGGAGAAAGCGGGTCGTAACCTTAACGAGGTCGTCGTAACGTAGGTCGGTATCTACCGATACGAAAGAGTAAGAAAGGTTAAGTATTAAGGCTATAAAAGAACGGTAGACTTCGGCTTACGCGATAAACCGAACGGAGGATTTACGGCTAAGGGGCTCGTTAATCGGCGTACTTTACGCCGAAGTTATAGCGTTAATAAGGTCGATTTACTTTTAATAATTTACGGCTTACCGGAAACGCTTAACGATACTAACTCCTCCCTTTAAAACCCGAACGCTATAAAATTATTTTACTACCTCGGCGTATTCTCTTATGGTATTAAAGGAATTAAGGCCCTTATTTTCTTAGGCTTAGCGCGCGACTTCGATCGGTCGTTTAAAGATAAGATACGGTAAAATACCGCTTTAAAAACCGTAACTAAAGCTATTTTATTAGTTTATTAACGCGATATAATAAGTAGACTAAGGAATTATATTAAGCTCGAGATTACCGTCTTCTTATATTCGCCGTAGCTAGCCGAGCGCGTACGCCGTTTAATCGAAGGCGCCGTCCTTAACTATATTAAAACTAAATAATCTCTAAGGCTTAGAAAGGTATAGTATTACGGCAAAATAAGCTTAGGAAAACTTTAAGGGGTCGGTAATAATTCGTTCGGGGTTTACTAGATCCGTATAGATCGTAAAAACTAAAGTAAAGGTAAGGTTATCGAGGAGGTATTAACGGGTTAGGAAGTTAAACGATTCTACCGATCGGTAGCTTATCGTTTAATACGGGTTTATTTCGAAGGCCGCCTTTCGGCTTTTAAGGTCGTAATTAATTATAATATAAAAGACGCGGATATCTTTATTAATAAAGTAGTCGTAACGGGCGAGACATACGAAAAAGTTAACTAGGGCTACCTTCGTTTATTTCTATAGCTATTAATTTATAGTTCGGGATCGATTAACGGATAGCCGAAAGGCTTAGGCTATATCGGATCTTAATTCGATCGGACCTTTTCCCGAATCGTAATTATCTAAAGTACTAAGTTAATACTTTTCTATATTACTTTAGTTATTTTTATTACTATGAATCTCCCGTAGGAGTTCTATTAAATCGGTTAGATCGATACGACGTACGTTTTTATAAACGGAAGGAAGGAAGAAGGAGGGGGGGATTCCGGCGGAACGGAAGAAAAATATAATAAAAATAAAAAAAAAAGAATTAAAAGGAGGGAAAGAAAAGATAATAAATTAAAGGTAAAAATAAGAATTTAAATTAATAATAAGAAAGGTAGGCTAGAGATTAATAAGAATATAATAATTATAAGGGAGGGGGTTTTTAAAATGAAATGCCTAAAGAAGAAAAAGAGAGGAAGGGAAGGAGACGTATTAGCGATATAGTTAGATATACCTTTACGGCTAACGCTTTAAGAAAGCGCGTTCCCCCGCGTACGTATAAAGCTATAATAAAAGACGCGTTAGCTTATAGCTTCTTATTATATACTCTTAGTAAAGTAATAAGTACGTACGTTCGTAGATTCGTAATTAAACGTAGGCTAAGGTAGGTATTATCGAGACTCTCCTAAGTACGGTACTTACGACCTAAGTAACGTATTCGATTTTCTCGTTCTCGTCCGACCTTTCCTCTTATTTCTCGCTATTTTACGGTTCCGATCTACTTCCTTTCTTTTATTCCCTAGGTTCTTTATCTTCGTTTTAATTCGTTTTTCGATTCTTTTTAATTTTAGATTTATAATTTCGTCGTTTCTATTTCTCTTTCTTATATATATATTGTTACGTAGCTGGCGAGAGCTAAGCTTAGGTTAATAGGTTATTCGTAAAGAGAGTAATGGAATGAGGGTAAGAAGGTATATATTAACTGACTAGAAAAGAAGGAAAGCTATTAGAGAGTATAGAGCGATCTATAGGTATATATAGTAGTACTTAGCTAGCTTAGGTAAGCTAGGTAGTTCCTACTAGGGGTATATACCTACGTAATATATCCCCTAGTTAAGCTTAC